GGAATTTTCCCAACCAGCGCAGAGCCCGGGAGACCAGAGTGAGTGCTACGACTTTAGTGCTCTAACACTCAAACAGCAATTTCTTCCATTCAGTTGGGTTGTGGGTTGACCAGGCTATTGCAGTTCATATTACAGTGACACTTTACCAAAAAACAGTACATATTTAAATAAAGTATATACACCCTCCGAAATAAAGATACGCGAGCTGTTACTAGAGTGATACCTTTTTAAAAGGTACACATTTTTATCTTAAAGGTCCATATTAAGGGTGCATATTACTTACTTAAAGTACAAAAGTGTTTCTCTTAAAATTTTTAGGTACTAATATATACTTTTGAGGTACCAAAATAGACTCTTTAAGTTTTTTGAAACTTTTGAAAAGGTACCACCCCAGTGATAGCTCGCATACATTTATTTCAGAGAGTGTATGAAAATAGACATTAAATATGTTAAGATACACACAAGTAGACTAGTGTTCAAAATAAACATTTAGCATTAGCATGTTACTAAATGTCACGTCATTCAGTCATTGACACTGATGTTTAACAGGATGGCCTGTCTCACAATCTCTACTCATTCATCCCAAAGCTCAGTGGGCTTAAGGTTCCTCCACATCAAACTTTCCATTGTCCAGCTGTCCTAAATCCTCAATAGGTGTGTAAATGCAACTTACATTTAGACACATAGACCAAATGCAACCCCCCAAAAAAAAAAAAAAAACACTACATGGAAACTAAACAAGTTTATTCAATGACACAAGGAACAAAATAAAAAGGAAATTAGTGCTTATCTGGAATGTAATGATAATGGAAACCTCCCTTTAGATGGGAAATTCTGAAGGCTGTCTTAAGAGGTAAACTCAAAGAAATATCTTCTTTCATTCATTCATTTTCCTTCAGCTTAGTCCTTTTGTTCATTCACAGCAGAATGAACCGCCAACTTATCCAGCATATGTTTTACACATAAGATGCCCTTCCAGCTGTATCCCAGTAATGGAAAACATCCATACACACACACATACACCACCACCTTTCATTCATTCATTCATTTTTTTGTCGGCTTAGTCCCTTTATTAATCCGGGGTCGCCACAGCGGAATAAACCGCCGACTTATCCGGCAAGTTTTTACGCAGCGGATGCCCTTCCAGCCGCAACCCATCTCTGGGAAACATCCACACACACATTACGGACAATTTAGCCTACCCAATTCACCTGTACCACATGTCTTTGGACTGTGGGGGAAACCGGAGAACCCGGAGGAAACCCACGCGAAGGCAGGGAGAACATGCAAACTCTACACAGAAACGCCAACTGAGCCGAGGTTCGAACCAGCGACCCAGCAACCTTCTTGCTGTGAGGCGACAGCACTACCTACAGCGCCACTGCCTCGCCACACTACCACCTATTTGGTGTATTCAATTCACCCATAGTGCATGTCATTGAACTGTGGGGGAAACCAGAGCACTTGGAGGAAACTCACGCCAACACGAGGAGAACATCCAAACTCCACACAGAAATACCAACTGACACAGGCAGCACTTGAACCAGCAACCTCCTTGCATTGAGGCGACAGTGCTAACCACTGAGTCACCATTGTCAAAATCACTCTCTCACCTTCACCTTATTCTCTGCTTTATCAAGAGTCACCACAGCGAAAAAAATCATCAACTACAGCTGCAACCTAATATTGAGAGTACAAGCCTCGGTGATGGGAAACACACACTATGGTTAATTTTGTTTGTCTAATTCACAGAACACCACGCAGAGGACATCCAAACTCCGTACAGAAAGACTTCCTGATTACCCGGGACACGAACCAGCGACCTTCTTGCTGTGAGGCAAACACTCAGTCAAAAAATGTTCAGTCATCTAGCACATCTTATATTAATGTAAAATTGAAACAAGATATTATTATCTGGACATAATGATCAAAACTTCTTAAATTGAAATGAAAATGAATACATCTGAACAGAAAACCATAGAGACAGTTCACCCCAAAACACCATTTGATCACCGGCACCGCACTGATCTATAATAGAGCACATATTATATATCATTCAATATAGATTAGTAGCTCACTCTCAATTGGTTCCAAACCTTTATGAGTTTTTTAAACCCAAAATAAGATATTGTGAAGAAAGCTGAAAACCTGTAACCACTTACTTCAATAGTATGAAAACAAAACAAATACTATGGGAGTCAATGGTTACAGGTTTCCAACTATTTTACAATATCTTCTTTTATGTTTAACAGAAGAAAGAAAACCTGAACATTTGAAACGTAAAGAGTGAATATATGACGAAATATTTTACATTTTTAGTTGATCTATCCTTCTAAATGAGTCTAATATGGTCTAATGATTAGTTAATATTGTTTTTATCTAAACTAAATAACATCTAATAGGCGTCCTTTGTAAATTGTGATGAAATTGTATATAGATAGTGTTTTGTTTTGAAAAAAACAAAACAAAAATAAATGAACACATTTATACCATATATACAGTTGAAGTCAGAATTATGAGCCCAGTTCATTTTTCCCTAATTTCTGTTTAACGGTATAAGAAGATTTCTTCAACACATTTATAAACATCATAGTTTTATTAACTCATTTCTAATAACTGATTTATTTTATCTTTCTATGATGACAGTAAATAATATTTTACTAGATATTTTTCAAGACACTTAAAGTGAAATTTAAAGGCTTAACTAGGTTAATTAGATTAACTAGGCAGGTTAGGGGAATAAGGCAAGTTATTGTATAATGATGGTTTGTTCTGTAGACTATCAAAAATATATAGCTTAAAGAGGCTAATAATTTTGACCTCAAAATGTTTGTTGAAAAAAATAAAAACTGCTTTTATTCTAGCCAAAATAAAACAAAACACTTTCTCCAGAAGAAAAAAATAAGATCAGAAATACTGTGACAATTTCCTTTATCTGTTAAACATAATTTGGGATAGGTTTTGAGTAAACCTTTATTTATAAATAAATAAATAAATAAATAAATAAAAGGTATATTGCTTTTTTTTTCTTGACTCTTGAAACCATTTTGTGTATTTGACCGAAATTGTACATAGTCACATTAAGTCTAAAGTTTAAAGGTCCCAAAATCAAAGTGCAAATTGTATTTTGTTTAAATAGAAAATTACTAAAGCTAAACACTCACTGTATTTTCTTAATATTAGTAGTGCTTCATATTGTTGTAATCAAAAATGTATGTTTTATTTAATCTATTAATTATTATTATAATTATTATTTTTAATATTATTATTATCAATAAACATTTATAATTTGTTGCTATTATTACTACATTCATAATTGTTTATGTAAAATTTATATATATATATATATATATATATATATATATAATTCTCTATTCCCCTAAAATCTCAAAATACTATATATGGTAGTCAAAGGTTTCCAACGATTTAAAAATATCTTCTTCTGTGTTTAACAGTAGAAGGAAACCATAAATGTTTGAAACAAGTAAAGGGTGAATGGATGATGACATATTTGACATTATTAGTTGATCTATTCCTCTAAACAAGTCTAATATGTTGTCAAATGATTATTGTTCTGATATAATATTGTTTGTATATAAACAGAACAACATCTAGTAGGTGTCCTTTGTAAATTGTGATAAAAATTGCATATAGATGGTCTTTGGTTTTGCTAAAAAAACACATTTATACAGCATAGTTGAAGTCAGAATTATTAGCCCCCTGAATTATTAGACCCCGTTTACTTTTCCCCAATTTCAGTTTAACAGAGAAGATTTTATCAACACATTTCTCAACATAATAGTTTGTTCTGTATACTATTGAAATAAATATAGCTTAAAGGGGCTAATAATTAATTAAAATACATTTATACAACATATATGCTAGATTTTGAGGAAATGAATAAATTAAAGGTATATTGCATTATTTTTTTTTCTTGATCATTGAAAACCACTTTGTGTCTTTGACCTAAATTGTAAATATAGTTAAGTCATGTTTCTAAAGATCCTAAAATCAAAGTGCAAATTGTATTTTGTTTAAATAAAAAATTACTGAAGTTAAACACTCACTGTATTGTTTTCTAAATAATAGTAGTGTTTATCATTGTTGCAATCAAACCTTATGTTTAATTTAATCTATTGATTATTATTATTATTATGATCAAATATTATAATTTGTTGTTGTTGTTTTAATACAGTTATAATTTATCTATATAAAAATGATATGTATAAATTGCTATTATCAAAAAAAATCTCGAAACTCTTAAAATAAATAGACGCATCTTCATCGTTTGTGTGTAGCGCATCCCGTGCGTTAAACGTGCGTGAGCCCCGTCAGCTTCCGTAGATTCTCGAGCGCGTGCGTGACGCAGCAGCGTCCAACGGTCAGAAGAATTTTCACAGGCAAGATGGCGACTTCGGAGCCGGTAAGAGGGATCGGGCTTGGTTCATTTAGGGCTTCCCAGCTGCCAGAAATGGTAAACCGTTGTCTGCTGTGTTGTCTACGGGACATGTTTAAGCAGTGAGCGGTGGCGTTAGAAGCTGGGGGTGTCTTTGCGGCGTTTAGCTGTTTTTCGGGGCGGCTCTGCTGCTGGTGACTTTAGAGACAGGGAGGGTCCGGACAACGACAATTCATCAGTCCCAACACCCGCTAACGGCTCATTTCACTCCAGTGGAGCGATACCAACCGGGTTTTGAGGCAGATGGTGTCGGCTTTTCTGTCGTCTCGACGTGATGCGACCATCTCTCCAGACATCTGGACACGTGTGTTCGTTGCTAACTGTGTTCGGCTAGCGTGCTCAGCCGTGTCAGCTTGATACGTTTCGATATTCAATATTTCAATTAAACTTGACCCTTCAGAGTGCACGGGTTCATTACAATGGAGTTTAATTTAACGAATATCACTGAAGTCATTGATCGCTGAATTAAGTCCGCATGTGTTTAGAGCAGTCTGTACCGTGGCGGACAGTAGAGGGTGTATGACTCCAAATTGAACTGGAAATTATACTTGCCGACTAACGTTATAGTGTGTGTGTGTGTGTGTGTGATCTGCAGTGTACTAGAACATGCTGTAATCTAGCTAGTTGTCTTGGTAACGGAGCTCAGGGTCCCGTCAAGTCTGATCAGGTATTCCGGGGATTTAGTAGTATTGAGTATTTAGTAGTATTGAACTGAAAAGGTTGCAGTTGCAACATCTGTTTCATCCAGTATGTTTTCTGTTAACGTTTACCAAAACAAAGATGATTGATTTGTCCAAGATGCCCTTTAGCAATGACGATGACAGATGCTGTATGTCACTATGGTTGAGATTGAGGTAAAGTTGGTTTTATGTTATTTCTAATAGGGCAATCGTATTAGCAGCCAATGACTATCAAAGTACAAGATTGTTCACAGTCAAATATATAGTGCTAATGTTGTTTTCAAGATAGAGGTAAAGTTGGTTTTATATTCGCACATTCGTTCATTTAGAAGTCTCCATATTGCTTACCAGTTACTTTGAATATTCAATCGGAATGAACATTTATGACTTAAAACAACATTAACACGATCTTATTGACTGCGAACAATGTTAAACTTTGATAGTCATTGGCTGCTTATTTGATTTCCCTATTTAGAATTTGCAAAGAATACTTGTCAAAAATGATGTTATTAAGGAGAATGTCTGAATATCTAAATATAAAACCAACTTTACCTCCATGTTTTCAAGTCATACTTGCATGCCATTTCAGACCGAAAATTCAAAGTAACATGGTAAACATGTTAGACAGTTAAATGAACGAATGTGTGAATATAAACCAGCTTTACATCAAAGGGGTTGAGGACCTTAAGACTAGCGCAATGAGGGGATTGTCTGGATATTTCCTTTTACACGACTGAATGACCTTGAAATTTCTGTTATCATTTTTTCCAGCGTCATGGAAAAATCTGGGGATTTCAAAATAGACCTGGAATAGTCCTGCTATGATTATGTTAAAGTTTTTTTAGTGTGTATGTTTGTGTGTGGTGGAACCATAAACCTCAAAATAATATATTACATCTTATTACATTATTAGAAAAAAAAAAGGAATCTGTTAAAGTTTTAAATTGAAAACTTTAGTATAATGCCATTATTTGGCAAATACTAAACTGAAAAAAAAAGAATTAAAACATAATAATGTAGAGCGTCATGATTTTTCTAGCCCCTCTTGGAAAAATGTACTTTTGGAAATTCATGGATGACAGCAATAGTCAAATTAGTATTTAAATTAATTTTATATGTTTTATATCTGCTTTTGGTGCTTCACACTTTTTAATTGGTCATTTTATATTTTTAAGAATAAGGTTCTAATTTAGGACAAAATTTACTAATATTTTCTCTATTTAAATTCAACACTGTAGGCCAGTAGTAAAAGATGACTTCACGTCACATTTTTGTTTTCTTGCGCAGCTAGATGTTGGACTCAATGTTTGCTTGCATTGGTTAAAACTGATTAGCTGAAGTCACCCAGAAGGGACAGCCAGAGGATTCCGCTTGGTCTTAAAGCCTTTTTTGATGGGTTATTTTCACAATTTATGATGGAATGGTTGTCAAAATAGGACAAGTGAGCTCATGTATGGGACAAATTCTGGACCTTTGTCAGTGAGGGGTGGGTCTTTCGAACACTGGCTATGGGTCTGTATACAGTCAGTGTATACAGCAATTGAAGTGACAAGAAAGGGTGTTGTTAGGTAGAATTAGGATAATTGTTTTAAAAGTTTTTGCTCCAAATATTGAATAATACTATACACCAATCTGGTATATATCACCATTCACCAATTATTTTAACTTCATTTACTTATTTTTAACTCATTTAAAAAATTATTAAATTAAGTTGTTTTTGGTTAAAAATAAAATAAAACCTCACCAAAGTATTAGTCAGTGTGAATCTTACTCTGTTAAAGTAAAAAACTGCTTGAAGTGTTTGAAATTCATTGATTCTGTTTTGTTCATGTAGCGAGGAACTGAAACTGAAGAAGTCCGCTCTGATAGTCCTACGGCTGTTGTGACGACAAGTCCTGAACAGTACATCAAACACCCTTTGCAAAACAGGTAAATGAATTCTACTATGAGTTAAAGGCAGTTTGGAGATCATATCAACTGCATGTTTGTTAAAGTTAGTGGCCATCTGAAGTGGTGTTCATTCACTGATCTGTATAGAGGTAAATTTGGTTTTATATTTGGATATTCAGACATTCTCCTTAATAACGTTATTACAGAAAAGTATTCTTTGCCAATTCTAAATAGGGAAATCATACAAGCAGCCAATGACTATCAAAGTACAACATTGTTTACAGTCAATTAAATAGTGCTAATGCTGTTTTGAAGTCATACTTGCATGCCAATTCTGATCGAATATTCAATGTAACATGGTAAACAATATAGAGACTTCTAAATAAATGAATGTGTGAAAATATAACCAACTTAACCTCTATCTGCTCTGCTGATCATTGATGGAATGTCCCATTGTGGCATCAAATTAAATGAATGAATGTGTTTTAAATGCATTGTAAATGCAAGTGCTTTTAATGTTTCAATAACTTTTGTAAAAATAAAAATTGTCAAAATCTGAACGTAACAGATATACGCATAGATGGTTTCCGCTACATTCATTCCTCCATGGCGGGGCGCCACACCAAATTCATCCTGCCACAGCTACATTACAGCTTCTCATTTAAAACTTTCAGTCATTGTTTTTTTTTACTAGCGGGTTATAATAGCACCAAAGCATATTAAAACATAAGTGAATTATAACAGCGCAAACTTTTTTTAATTGTTGTAGTGCTGTGCATTATTTGTTAAACCCTTTAAGGTGACGTACAGACAGACAGACAGACAGACATGGCTGCGCGATGCGTGAGGCTAGCAAACAAGGCATAGCTTTCAGTTAAGATGAAGTTTCCATATATATATAGTTTATAAATGAAGGTCTTTGGCTCTGCATAAAATGACTTTATTTTGCTGGAGTTTATTACCGTTTCACTTTACTTCAGGATGCATTAATGCCGCTCTGTAGGTCTATTGCAGACATTCGTAAATAATTTTTGCAAAACTAATAAAGGTTGGAGACATACTCCTTACATAAATGCACTAGATTGCACTTGAGCAGCATATTATTTACTGCAAGCGCACAAGAAAATCTGCACTTGAGCAGAGTATAATTGGGGGGAGTGCAAGAAGTTTGTGCACAAAGAGGAAATCGACATGCAAGCAAAGAGAATCGCATTCTTGTATTACATGAATGCGATCTCGATTTTTAATACTGCGCTCACGACATTTGGCATTTAAATAACGCGGTAGGTATTTGGTAGATCTGTGTAAAAGATCTGTTGCCACAGCTAGAAAAAATCCTGCAAAAATCACTGACATATAAAATAAAATATGCATGCTTATTTTGATCTGTACGTTTTAAAAGTGTAAAAAAGCGATTGGTTTAAATTTGGACAGGAATAGTTTTTAATTTTTTATTAAACATTTGACATGCTAAATAACTTGTTGCTGACAAATAGGTGAACGGTTTGAAGAATGGGAGCAACAAATAAAAGAATTTTAAAAAGCTGGGTTTAAATAAAAACATTTAAAGGACCTATTGTACTTTTATTGTTATGAGGCCTAAAAACACTTTTTTTTTTGTATTTGACCAATGTATTAATATTGAGTAGGGATGCAATGATTTATAGACTTTGGTTGTACCGTTATATTCACGGTTATCATGACTACTAGATTAGAAAATCATATGAAAACTTATATTTTAAAGTGTTATTTATTGCTGCTCAGTAACTAAATAGTACAGCACAATATAAGTAATAAAATACAAATAGTCTATTTTTCTTTGGACTTAAAAATAAGTGAGGTAAGTAAAAAATAAGTAAAGATTTTTGGCTTAAACACAAGTAATAATTTTACACTGAAAACAAATGACGGAAGAATAAATTAAATAAATAAATAAATAATATTTGTCTAATGTAAATCTAAGCATCACATTAGCTAAGTATGTCCATTTTAAAGAGAACAAAAGTAGTCAAAGGCTGCTGAACCTCTGTCTGTAAGGCACTTTTGATCAACTATATTATAAAGTTGTTTGGTATTTTCATTTTGTATTTTTTTACTGACTCTATTCCCTTTATTCTTCGTGTACGAGCGGGTGCAGCCATTTGAATCTATTTGGCTCGAGTCTTGCGTTCTCATTCACTCCCATTCATTTTTAGAAACAGCTCATTCTGCTACTTGATGTTGCAAACTGATATTTTCTTATTATATTATTCTACATTCTATGTAAAGTCACAAACACACTTGTTTGTAGAGCAAGTAGTTTGACCGTGTTCTGTGGTTTATTTTTCCTAGTCATATCTCCCATAGGGAGGTGAATCGGAAGTTCTAAAAAAATTGCAAAATGCGTGCACTTCCGCATTGAAGAATAAGGTCAATACTGTGTGTGATCTGCAGTGTACTAGAACATGCTGTAAACTAGCTAGTTGTCTTGGTAACCAATCGGTACTGAAATTTTAAAAACGTCCATTTCCCACTGACATTTCAGCGATGTTCAGTGCGATCTTAAACAGTGCTGATTTGCTGTTGTGTTCACATGCTCAACAGATATAACTCATCAGTTCACCACTGTAACACAGATAAATGCACATTGGAGTGGTTTAAAGCCACGTAGATCAATCGATTCATCAGCGGATTGCTCATATGTCAACTCGTAATCAGACTCGGCACATCTTTGCGGCATTAAACAGCTTCAGTGTCTGTACCTGTGTTGGCACTCGGTAAACAGCGGTGAACTGATGACTATCACGGCCAACCACAGTGTATTCTGTTAAGCATGTGAATACATTGGCAAATCAGTGATCTTAAAGAACGCGCTCAACTGCGCTTGTGTGTTAGCGGGAAATTGACTTTTTTTTTAAAATTTCAATACCAAAATTCAGTATCAACAACACTAGAAGTAGCATTCAAATGTAGTTTGTTAAAAGTAATTTTTGGAAAGAAATTAATATTTGTATTTGTTATAAATTATTATTATTATTACTATTTACATTTTCTCATTAGTGTAACTGTATTAAAAGCTGAGATGATATGGTCGATTCCAGCTTCAAGCAAATGCTGTTCTTTTGAACTTCCTATTTACCATAGTTGCTTTAAATACCAAATCAGCATATGAGAATGATTACTCTGACATTTTTACCGTCACAGGATTGAAATTCAGCTTTACCAGCACAGGATTGAATTGCATTCTATCATGTATATATGATAATAACATATTTAACTGTATTAGTTTTACTACGTATGTGATCAAATAAACGCAGCCTAGGGCATTTTAAAACAGACTTCTGAAAAAAAATTATAAATTTTCTAGAGACCGTAGCTATAAAGCAAATGCTTTCAGAATAGTATGTTTTTATTTGTATTTTTTATTACTATTTAGCCAAGCAGCACATATGTAGAAAGTGTGACGTTTGCAGAACTAGCCTTGCGTGACGAGTTACAGAGTCAGATTTTAGCTGGCAGTAGTGTTTAGTGTCATTCTGAGCTCAAAAGTCATTTGAGCGGTGCAGTGGCAGTTGGCCAGTCTGCTGCAGGAAGTGCTGACTTTACATGTTGAGCTGTGTCTCATTCCAGCCCTTTCTGCCTTTTCACTGCCTGTGGCTTATTCCTGTCATGTTTACAGTTGTGAAGAGGGCACACTTTCATAAATGCAGTCACTCTCTTTTGACCATAATATAGAGTACAACTTTCAACTTGTTTTGCAAGATGCATTGCAATACAATTTTTTCTGAAAATAACTATAAGAATATTTATCCTCCAAATATTGTTCTCCCAGTATGTTACAGATGACCAAAAGTTTAAAGTTCACTATGGGACATGGCTTCAGTACAGATGAACTCTATAGTATCAGTGTCATATCCCAGACCTCTCTGCTCTTTCATGAATGACTCCTTTTGTGGTCAACGGTAACAATAGCAGCTTTTGTTTAGTGGAGCTGCATTGTTTCTGTCTTTTGCCTTTTATGTTGATGCTTAGAATAAAGCATTGTCAAGGGTGAAAGTGCTCTTGTATACTAGATTTTTTTGGGAAAATTATAGAAAGATGTTTCTATGTTCCCCGAGGTTTTCCCATCTTCCAGCAACATTGTATTACATATACAATATTGTATACATTGTATACAGTATTATAAAAAATGTAACATAAATATAAACCTGAAAGCTCTGCAGTCATTATGTCAGTTTACATTGTCGCATGATCTTTCAGAAATAATTCTATGATGCTGATTTGGTGCTAAAAGAAAACATTTCTGTCCAATTAATATTTCTTTTTAAACTATTATGAATGTCATCTTCGTTTTTGTCCATTTCTTTGAATGGAGAGTTCAAAAGAACCACTATATTTTGAAAAGAAATTTGAAAACATTTTTATTTCACTCGATTCATTTTAATGTTTAGTTTTAATTACAGCATCGTTCAAGCCATTTAATCCGACTCTTCTGAGAGATTTTACCAATTTGTACTCATTAATGCTTTGACCTGAAATGTTTAACTTTGAGAGCTAATTTTGGCACAGCAGTCTTGGTTTTCCATTGGTTAACAGGGCAGTATGAGTCATCTGTCAGATGATGCAGCTCTTTGAGAACGTCTACATGTATATTATATGAGTGACCTAATGAAACTCCTTCTGACCTGTCCTTATTTGCATCCCTGCAGATGGGCCCTCTGGTATTTCAAAAATGACAAGAGCAAAAGTTGGACAGAAAACCTGCGTCTCATCTCCAAGTTTGACACAGTGGAAGATTTCTGGGCGTAAGAATTATTCTTTTACTAACTTTTGAATTTTTCTTGTTTTCCTCGTTTAGTTAAATACACATACATTTAAATGGAAAATCATAATGGATTTTTTTTCATTCTTCAGATTATACAATCACATACAACAGCCCAGTAAGCTTGGATTTGGCTGTGATTACTGCTTATTTAAGGTAAGATGGGGAAGTGGGTAGTGACAAGTGTAACATTTATAGTATTTGATAATAACATTTTAATGATGTTTGTGCCTGCAAATAAAAAAGATAATTGGTTTTGAGAGTTTAAAAGCTTTCAATGTGTTTATGTATGTCCCTGTAAATCAAATTATAAAAGTATAAAAGATGTTTTTCATATTTTTTAAAATAAACACAGAAATTTCAGTAGGTAATGCAAGGAAAATAGTATTTCTTACTGTAAAAGCATTGTTTTATTGTGATTCATATAATGCAAAACTGGATAATATAAACCACTGAAACACCACAAATCATTATCATAACATTTATTGAACTAATAGAATATTAATACTAAGACTTGAGAAGCACCCAATGATTTATTGATCTATTTGTGAAGTTTTTTTAACAAATCATAAATGGCACTCTATTTTTAAAAGATCTTTGAATGATTTAATAAAACGCGTTTTAATATAGAATCTTGTCTTGTCATATTTGGCCATAACAGGCATAAAGCCTGCACAACATAATAGGGATGGATGATACTGGGAAAATATGCAGTATTGTTGCTGTTGAGTATTGCGATAACATTTCTTTAGAGAAATGCTGTGTTTGTTAGCTATTTTTAAAAATAATTTAGATAATTATAGTATTAAAATAAACAGCCAAAGATATTACGCAGATGTTGTGACACTTGGATGTAGTCTTTTTCATCACTTGTCATCTACTTCTGCCATCTGCCAATAGCATAATAACACTTACTGTGAATGAAGAAATAAAGAGTAAAGTAAATGTCTATGGACCACAGATTCATCAAGTTTGGATGAGCAACTTTTGAATGCAAAACTCAAATATGATTACATGTACTGGCATTGCGATTGCAATAATCTTTTGATATATTGCTATTAGGGGTGTCACGATTATCGAAATGTATGCTCCATTTCAATTATCGAATCAAAAAATAGAATCGTCGATGCTGCCACGCCCCCATGTTACGTCAGCTTGGCTTGCCAAGCAGGAAAAAAACAGGCTTGTTGAAGTGCTTGTTAAACTGCAGAAGCAGGAGACACGTCGACAGAGCTTAAACCCTCTTTTCTTTCAATGAAGTCACCGGTGTGTAAGCATTTTGGATTTCCAGTGAGTTATGTTGACAACGTTCGTGTTGTCGACAAAAAAAAAACACAGTTTTGCAAGCTCTGCTATGTACGTATTACGTACGGCTCGTCCGATAGACAACACCGGCATCGCAATCCTCCGCCCGCCCCAGTTGCAAATCCGCTCGCGAAAAGTACACACTCAGGCCCTGTTTACACTGTCTTTGTTTTTAAATGGCATTTTAGAACGACAACGATTTGACATTTACAGTGGCGTGTTGCATTTCTGAGCAGCCCTCCTTCCTCTCTACCTCTGAAAATGCACATCACGTGACCACACAGACACAGCCATGCGCTCGAGACAGCAGGTCCAGGCAGTCAGAGGACTGCTTCAATCTTTTACTCACTTGTACTTAGTCATTTTAGCAAACACCTCAGATACTGTTGGCTGGTTCCTGTTGGTTGTGCGTCTTTTTTACCGACGCCATTATAACGACACAGATCACTGCCTATTCACGAGTCCCGCTGAAAAAGTGATTGACAGGTGGTAATTATGTGTGTAACTTGCCTTTATTCATTTACTGTATGATTTGTTTATGGGTAAAACAAAGATCATACAGGTCAGGTAGTTTAAATGGTAGGCTACAAATAATTAATTGGTCATTAATTAATTATTCATAATCGAAAATCGAATCATGCCTTTAGAATCGAAAATGTAATCGAATCAGGGATTTGGAGGATCGTGACACCCTTAATTGCTATATTTTGGCAGTATTACTCACCCATTTTGATGGAGCTAAACTAAAATGTGTGGCATTATTGCAGAGCATTCAACAGACATTTAACGGACTATAAATAACTAATTTTATGCTAATAAATGCATGAATGTTAGGCCTTAGCAACAATTACTAAACTAATATTGTGTGTTGTGTCTCAGGATGGTATTAAACCCATGTGGGAGGATGATAGGAATAAACTGGGTGGACGGTGGTTAATGACCCTCAGCAAACAGCAACGGCACAACGACCTTGACCGCTACTGGATGGAGACCGTAATAGTCTTTTTTTTTTTTTTTTTTTTTTTTGCTTGGGTCATATATTTTGATAGACAGCTGGATGTGCATTTCTGACTGTCCATGTGTCTGTCATCTTCTTTTGCAGCTGTTGTGTTTAATCGGAGAGTCCTTTGACGAGGCCAGTGAAGATGTGTGTGGTGCTGTTGTCAATGTCAGGCCAAAAGGGGATAAAATAGCCATTTGGACAGGCAACTGCCAAAACAGGGACGCAATCATGACGATAGGGTATGTAACCATCCACACTTGAAGACATTGTTGAAATAGTGTACATCAGAACAGATGTAAATGTTCTGCTTAGTGTAGCCATGGAAAAATACACCATAATTCAAACATTTTAGGTTATTACTGTATACAAGTTGGCACCTGCACTTTACTACATTATAGATTATTCTAATATTACATTTTGTGGCTTAGAAATGCACAATTGACAGCTTGAACTGACAGTGGCAGTATGTAAAGTGTGGGTTAGAGGCTGAAAATAAAAATTATTTGCTCAGATTGAACTAATCGTACATTAACAAAGCAGTAAATATTGTCTACAGTTGGTAAACCACAATGACCTCAAGCAACTCAAAAGAGTGATAAAAATAGCCTTACTATATAGCTTGCAGCCACATCTGATCTCTGGTCAAGTAGTATGATGGACCTATTCTTGAGCCTTATTTGCACTACACTGACGATGATTGTAAGCTGCGCAGAGATGCCTTGAGACGGCATGGTTTCCATTACATTAAAATTATTATTAACATGAAAATATTTGTTTACAGAAGATGCAAGAAATGCACTGTTTAAAATATTATTTACAGGATATGCAATAGTTGTTTTATTTAGAAGAGATGCTGATTGTTTTCTACTTTTAATATGAAAAACAAATGAAAAATATATATTTTTTCCAAAAGTGCAAATTATTTATTTTCACTTTTTATTAAAAAAAAAAAAAGTGACTGTTGGTTTAAGGCATTGTGTGTTTTAATTTCAGTTGTTCAATGATGATATTCAATAAATAATTATAGATAGTAGATAGTGTGTGTTTCCTTCAATTATTTTAAAATCAAGTTATGAACCCTATATTAAAAATCTCTTGTAGTATGTGAGCATATTTACTGTACAAAACTTGTAAGTGAACTATGAGGGCAAACAAATAAATCAATAAAATAGTCGTTCAATCATCGTAATCGTGTTAATGTCTAATTGATCAAGATTTTTGCTTTTGTTTTTTCGATTAGTTCATAGATCAAACCATCGTTATACAATAACTTGCCTAATTACCCTAACCTGCCTTGTTAACCTAATTAACACGGTTAAGCCTTTAAATGTCACTTTATACTTTATGTATAGAAATGTATTGAAAAATATCTAGGAAAATATTATGTACTGTTATTATGACAAAGAAAATAAATCAGTTATATGAAATGAATTATTAAAACTATTAAGATTAAAAATGAGTTGGAAAAACTCTTCTCTCCATTTAACAGAAATATGGGGGAAAATAAACGGGGGTAATAACTTCAACTGTATTTATATATGATACATCAGATATAAGTCCAAAATGCTCAGTAAATACCTCACATGTTGAACATCGGAAATGAACCATGGCCTACTCATTGCAAAACCTCCTTAGTTGCTTATGCATTTACCATTATGCAGTAACCAACTCTTATGATATTTATCCATGGTTTGTCTAAGAGAAGATGTAATTTTGCCCATGTCAGATGTATCTTTTATCAGCACTATCCACTCTTTAATAGTTGCATTCTCATTCAGCCATTTTGTAGATATTGCTTTTTTTACTAGGAACCAATAACACTTTAAGAAGGTATTTGTTCTGAGCATTAAAATCTGTCATGTTTTCTACCCAAATAGTTCCAAAGCTGCGTCTCAAAACCCATTATGTGACGATCCCATTTGTTCGATGTTGTAAAGTTCTTGGGATTGAAAAATGAAAGAAATGTTTAACGGATGTTTGATGAAGTCTGAAAAGCATACTGACAGTGCTGTATTTATTTATTTTTTGCTTTTCTTCTTTAGGCAACAATACAAAGAGCGTTTGAGTCTCCCAAGCAAAACCCTCATCGGATACCAGTCACATGACGACACCTCTAGCAAAAGCGGCTCTACAACAAAGAATATGTACTCTGTTTGAAGAAAACTAATCTCAACTCATTGTAGGTTTATACAATTTCAAATTTGCATCACATTAATACTTTTCAGTTGTCAACTACTGTAGTGTCCTTCCTTTTTAAGAAAAGAAAATAAAAAAAAAGTCAAATGTAAATGTAGTGCTCTCCAGCCTGAATCGATCAGCAGCGTCACCGTGTGGATCAGGCACCGTCTGCTTGTTTTAGACCTGAGAGAGGAGCGCCAGTTGAGCTAGACGTTACTGATATCATTTTAGCCATTCGGGAGAGTTTAAAAGGACTAATCCAGACTTACCTAGATGAAGAGGTTCTAAAGCTTAGACACGAGAGACCAACCGCTCTTCGCTTTAACCTTTCACTTTCTCTCACGCATCATCAGTTGTTTCTCACAGTCAGACGAACAAATAAACCCACCACTTTATCCACACGGACGTTTTAAGGGCCCAAACTGTTTTAACATGCTTTGGTTGGAGGTGTTTGGCATGAGACGAGTGTGCAGAGGCACCTGCAGACTGACTATCTTAAAGGTTTGTAAAGGATTACTTTCGGTCGCGCTCCATGTTTTGAATTTGGAGGAGTGGTCGTTTATTGTTTCAGCTATGCTGGAATTGTGGCATCTTGCTTGTAGACCTATTATCTAACAGTTGTGTTTCTCCTTCATCCCCTTCATCTATTTATGATGTATGCATTGCAGTTCAACTATGTATAGTGAGAGGAAGACCATGGAAATCAAGCTTTCTTTCAGTTCTTTTTTTTTTTTTGAGGTTCTTAGCGATGTTGGACTACTGCTTGCTGTTTCTCTTTTTTGTTTGTTAGTTTGAGCTTCTTTTTTTTTTTTACAGTGTATTCAGTGAATGCCTGGACATACATGCTTATTAGGTTTGCTTTCACCTTCCCCTCATTGATACTGTAGACATTTTCTAGTTTGCCCCCACTCTTTGGATCATTGAAAGAAGAGAGGATTCATTCATTGTGAATTTATTTTGCTCATAATGTATCTTTATTATCTGTAATTCCAGGATGTATATTACCTTCTTTCAAAGTAAAGGTTATGTGCTTTGCATTAACTTTTGGAGAGTTTTTTTATTCTCTTGCCTCATGGCAAAAAAAAAAGAGGGTTTCTGTCGTGTTTTCACACCTCTAGTTTGAAAAAAAGTCAGGAAAGTGGATGTGTTCAGCTCTGTTTAGGTCGAAGAGGGAAGGGTTTGCATTAAAATGTGAGTTTCCGTTTGGGCACTCGCTGAGATAGATAGATAGATAGATAGATAGATAGATAGATAGATAGATAGATAGATAGATAGATAGATAGATAGATTACAGATAGATAGATAGATAGATAGATAGATACATTTAAATGTATGAAAATATTTGATTCTATTGTAAAAAAATAATGTATTTAAAAAGTACTGCTTTGCACAATTTACAGAAAAAAATCCAAATATTTCAATAAATTATCAAAATTATAAGTTTATATTTGACTACAAGCTTTCAGTTAATTTTGTTTGTGTGCAGTACTGAACATTATAGCCAGATGGCTCTATTGGTGACCACATGAGGGCACCTTTATTTCTGTGTATTGTTGGAGTGATGTAAACCACATTTATTTTTCAAACTTTTCATCATATTTTAAAGTATACATCAAATTCTAGAGTAGTATGGGCAGTCTGGTGGAAATTATAAAAAGTTTTAGAAAAAAACAAATAAATAAAAACTGTGACAAGAAAACAAGCTGGGATTGTTTTTCATAAATGTTAAAGGATTTTCTAACAACTGTTTCTTAAAATATAGAACAGATGTTATTTTTTTTATTTTTTTACATATACTGAACATAAAGATAAGGTTGGGAGAGCAACTAGTAAATGGGTTTTAATCTATTACTGTTCTTGTATAAACAAACAGCGGTAAAATATGGTTTTAATCGAAGGGTCTTACCTTTCAAATGATATATGCTGTTTACATTTGCAGTCAGAATTGTTTTTTCTGTTTTAAATTTTTTCCAAATGATGTTTAACAGAGCAAAGAAATTTTTAGTTTGTCTGATAATATTTTTTCTTCTGGAGAAACTCTTATTTGTTTTATTTTGGCTAGAATAAAAGCAGTTTTTATTATTATTATTTTTTAAACATTTTGAGGTCAAAATTGTTAGACCCTTTCAGCTATATATTTTTTTCCATAGTCTGCAGTTCAAACCAACATTATACATTAACTTGCCCAATTACCCTAACCTGCCTAGTTAACCTAATTAACCTAGTTAAACCTTTAAATGTCACTTTAAGCTGTATAGAAATGTCTTGAAAAATATCTAGTCAAATATTATTTACTGTCATCTTGGCAAAGATAAAATAATTTAGAAATGAGCTATTAAAATTATGTTTAGAAATGTGTTGAAAAATGGTCTCTGTTAAACAGAAATTGGAAAAAAATAAGCAGGGGGGCTAATAATTCTCACAACAGTAGATACTTTGTCATGATTAATAGCATAAACTTAAGGAGATAAGAAAACAGTCTTTGCATTTTAAAAAGAAAAAAAGTGAAGAAAACGTCGTCTTTTGTTTGATGGAACTTGATGGAAGTGCAAAAAAAGATTCTTTATCACTTGATTCTTTCAGGTCCAAAGTCCTGCGGCATCTTTGTCTTCCACCAGTATGTGTACATAACCTTTCCAAACAAAGTCACTCCTCCTGACTGACTTGAGAGTTTAACTGTTTGAACAAGTAGCCCTGTGTCAGTCCTTCCTGCTCTGAAAGTGTCTCCGTGCCTTTATAAACGATTACGTATTGGATTTACCACCAAGTAGACTATGAATGTGTGCCAAATTATTGGGTTGTGAAACCTTTTAATCACCATGTTACATTCAATAATAAAATTATGTTTTCAGCTTCTAAATTTGGTTAATTTATCAAAGCTGGCTATCAAATGAAAATGTTAACAGAAAAAAAAAACAATGACAGCTTCACCAGGGCTGATACATTGCAATTTACAAGAGTAGTGTTCTTAGTTAAACACAATGGGTGTGTCTGAATTACAGAGAACAGGTGTTTCAAGCGTTGGTGCTTTCATGGCGTTACATTGCAACACCACGCTTGACTTTTTATACCCGTTTGTGTGTGTGTGTGTGTGTGTGTGTGTGTGTGTGTGTGTACCTTGACAAAAACAAACAATATTTTCTGCTTGCTTAAACTATACATTTAAACTTAAAGATGAAATATTCAATCTTCGAGGAAAGCGTTGAGCCGAATTCACCTACAATTGTAAAAAATATTAAGTTAACTTAATCGGTTTGTGTTTTTTCAGTATATAAGAATTATGTGGAACCCAACATTTTTCACGTTGTGTGTGTTCAAATCTTCAGCCTTTATAAAACAGTCCATATTCCAGGCAACATTTAAAGGGATACACTTAAAAATACAGAACATTTTATCACTGATTACTCTCACTCAAGTGGTTCCAAACCTTCATGACTTTCTTCTGGTCAACACAAAAGAAGTTGTGTTAAAGAAAGCTAAAAAATAAACTGTAACCATCAACTTCTATAGGAAAAATCAATACTATGGAAGTCAACTGTTATAGGTTTCCAGCTTTCTTCAAAACATCTCCTTTTGTGTTTAACAGAAGAAATAAAGTCAAACATGTTTGTGACAAATAAAGGTTGAGTAAATGATGGAATCTTTATTTTTGGGTGAACTGTTACTTTAATTTCCCTCAGGGAACCAGATGTACATCTGTACACTGAAAACTAGGTTGCTTTTGGGAATGGTGTTAGAGAGGCCAGCAGGGGGCGCTCAACCTACGGTCTGTGTGTCCTAATGCCCCAGTAAAAGTGAAGGGGACACTATACTGTCAGTGGACGTCGTCTTTAGGATGAGAAGTTAAACCGAGGTCCTGACTCTTTTGCTCATTAAAAACCTCATGGCACTTCTTGTAAAGAGTAAGAATTGTAATCCCAGTGTCCTGGCCAAATTCCCTCCATCGGCCTGGTTTATACTCGACGCATCCACTGGTTCGCTTGAAAAGATTTTGTCTGAAACAGAATGACTGTACAGACACCTTCATGATCGGGGATCATAGAGATAACCAGATGATCAATAAATATTGGCTAGAAATTGCAACATCTGTGGGAAAGGAGAAAGTTTTTGGTAAAAGGTTTGGAAAAACCTCCTGAGAGAAGTTTGTTAGAGCCTAAAGAGGACATACAAAAGTGGAGAGCCAAGTACACAATTACAGAAATATGTTTTTCCACTGTTTACAGGTTTAACACTGATGTATATGTTACAACTTTAAATTTAAAACAATTTAATAGTTACACTAATTAAGGAACAAATTATTTCTTTGATAACTGGAAATTAATATTTGAACCTGTCTGTTTACAATGTCATCAGTATCAGCCTGTTTTTCTGGGCTTTATTGGTAATAATGGTCAGGCGTGTCGGACCATTACTTCTTTTTTAAGTAGAGGACAGAAGCTCGTCGGACAGTATGTGTAAACTGTGCAGCGGGCTAAATCTAAAAAACACATACACAATGCACTATATAAATCCACATTACATTACATCTGTAGTTTCTATTCAGCAGCATCTCAACATTAAGCAACCTTTTTAAAAATGACTGATTTTCAACAGAATTAAACTGTTTATTGCGAGTTGATGCATGCAAATTTACTCTAATGCCTCTAGGCTTATCATAACATCAGAAACAGGTAAGATCATGCAAATTATATACACTTACAACAATAAATGACAACAAACTATCTAACAGAGGTAGAACATGCGTTTCTTTTGTTGATTTGTGGAAGGAAGTACTTTATTTGCATAGGAGTTCTCTGATAAAGTGTTGTTGCTTGAGTGAAATTTCAGGAAAATATGCCAAGCGAAAAGCACCTCTTGTTTGTTTGCAGTAGTGTACGGATGTACAGCTCAAACAGAAGTCTGCTCTTTAAATCAAATGTTTCCTGTTTGTCAATGAATTTGAACCCGTTGTGAAATCTGCATGATTACATTAGTGAATTTCCAGACTAGTTTAGAATCAGATTGTATCTGTCCACTATTTCAGCAGATCTAATGTTTTGACAATGGTACTTTCAATTGTGTTAGAATAAATATTATGATTGACTTTTTTTCGCCATGTTGTCTCCTTTAATGTTGCATCTTTGAGCCAGTTTTAACTATATATATATATACACACACACACATATATATATATATATATATATATATATATATATATATATATATGTGTGTGTGTGTATATATGTATATATATATATATATAATAGTAAAATAATTACATTTTATATATAATAGTTATATTTTGCTGACTTATATACTTGCATTATCCCAAATGTATCCCAAGAATGTTCTAATCTATAGAAATAAGCTATTTTAACTGGTAAAATGCTAATAACATCTCACAAACTTGATTTCCACTTTGGTTTTATAGAAAATTGAAAAATCAAATACACTTTAATATTTTGTGCATTTTATTAAACACAGAGCAGCATAATAACAGAACCCTAAAATCTATTTAGTCTGATAAAACAGGGCCGTTTCTTCTCCATGTGATCAGAAGCAGTGAACTTTGACATAATAAAAGCTCTGCTGCTTTTGTCGCATCACGCTTGTCTAATCACAATAGCTTCAGCGCTCGATTGGTTTGATCGCTTTCAGTCTTACTCTGCTTCACTTGATACTGATTTGTGCAGGACTCCCAAGAGATGTAATGAAGACCACAATTCCATTATTCCTCACTCAAAATACGCCTTTGTTTCACACCTTCATCAGCAAAATGACTGTGCCTTTAAATATCTGATGACTTAATAAGTGCAGCAAGGTGATATTATCAGATCCACAATGATGTTCGGTTTCACATATTACCACAGAGAAAACTAGAGATTATCATCAACAAATCTTGACTTTTTTTTTGGCTTTTAACCCATCTGATCAAATGTAAGTGTCACTGCCACTTGATAGTGGATCTGGTGAAAAAGCTCACAGTGACCAGAATATGGATTGGGATGTTTTCAGAAAATGGTTGACATCGCGAATATGAGCCAGATGCACTGTAAAAGATGCTGGATTCCACAAAGTCGATTCACGATTTGTGTTGGGAATTAAGTTAACATAGTAGTTTTTACAAATTTGAGTAGATTAAACAAAACAGTTAGGTTGGGAAAAAAACTCAAGAATTGTGTTGTTTCAGCTCATTTCAAATTAGTATTAAGGTAGAACAAACACCAAACGTCACTAAATATTCTTGAGAAGCGTGCTGTGGTCATGACAGATAGTAAAATCATCAGCTCAAATGCTTTCCAAGTCCCAAAATGTAACCTAATATATAATAATACTCTGTGCTGGGAGAGTTTTTGCTATTGCGACAGAGAGATCGGTTTGTACACTGAAAAAAGGACTTTTGCTGCTTGTTTACTTATTTAAATGAGTTGAAACAAGTCTTTTTGGCACAATTAAATGTTTTAATGTTCAAGCCTTTTACTAAATTTGTATAAACAAATAAGTTAACCTTATTTATTTGTATTTTGATGACATGAAAAAATTGTAAGACACCCAGCATTTTTTACAGTGTGCGTAGGCGAAACATTAATGCATTTAAAGGCAGAGTTGACCCAAAAATTCAACTTCTATCATCATTTTTCATCATATTTGCTTACGTGTTTCACCCAAAAAATTAATGTTACTCCCCTTCCCGTTGACTTGCCATCTTTAAAATCGTAACACCTTTGTTCAAAACCAGCTTGAGTTTCTTCCTTTTGTTGGTTTTTGGAAACCGACAGTCGTTTGCTTTAATAGTATCTTTCTCTGTAGATGACAGCAGCTGCTGGTTACCAACATTCTTCAAAATATCTTTCTTTGTGCCAAACATAAGAAAGAAACTTGCGACTGTTTGAAAGCACTTAAGGCTGAATAAAGAGTGTACAGAGTTTATTTTTTGAGTGAACTAGACAGAGTGGGCGGAGCTACAGATCTCTTTTTGCTTCCCTGATAGGTGGAATCTTCTGTACAGTCTTGGCAGTGCACTTTATAAGCACAAATTCTCCCATTAAACATAAATGGTTTCAAAAATAAATTAATTCAACCACAAGGGCTTCAATCAAAGTATATACAACCTTACAGCTCACATCAGCCTTTCTTAAAGGTTTATGAGGATTATTGGTAAAAGTCTCTTTCCCTATGAGGAAAAAAATAACGGTAATTTTCAATCCCATGACCCACAAAATGTATAACGTATAGCATAACAGAAGTAAATATGACCACATCTTCAAGTAAAATATATCAATGACCTTCCTTATAAATCTTAAGGGTTGCTTGAGGTAAACTCTGTTTACCTGTATTCACCCTTTATCTAGAGCACAGATGCCCAAACTAGGGCCCACGAGCCAAAGTTGGCCCATAATAACCTTGATTTTGGCCCGCCATCCCATTTGAGAAGCGAGGCAGAATGATAGGGATGATTTCGAGATTATCAGTTCAACTTGAATGCAATGTTTTATTGTTAAACGCTGACTGAAATAAAATGTTTCAATTAAATAGTGTAAATAAATTAGATTTTGTTTAAATGTACACAACACAGTGGCAGATTTAGGCATGGGCAATATGGGCGATCTTGTTAGGGGGTGGCGTGGGAAGACGATGCAAAAAAAAAAAGTGCCCCAGTAAAAGGTTTGAGATAAGATTTACTTTATTCTGGGATAACCACTTTATACCCTTGCATAAAGACATTAGGGGCCATTCACTGTCTTTTGCACACGCGAGTTTGTTATTCTTTATGTGCAACAGAAGCAGCTCTGGTGAAAACAAATTGATGCATCAAGCCATCGACACGCGCTGATCCTGATCCCGGTTGTTTACATGCACATCAATATGCATCGACATGCAAGTCGACAAAACGGAAGTTTATATAATTTGATGATGTTACTAAGCATGGCCAGTGTTGGGAAGGTTACTTTGGAAGTGTAATAGATAACAATTATTACAAATGACCCTATTTAAAATGTAATAAGTTACACTACTTTTTGATTACTTTCTGAAAGTAAAGTAACTAATTACATTTGATTACTTTTTGATTACTTTTAAGTTTTTAATAGATATTTTCAAAGAACTAATTTTCAAGCATTTATACCGAGCTGGTGTGAGCTTACAGTAGCTCTGTTTACTGTTAAAATCTCAAAATCTTTCCATCACTGTGTGTGTGTGTGTGTGCGTGCGTGCGTGCGTGTGAGCTGAATAAGCAGTGAGCCAAACCACTGTGAGGAAGGGGAGGGGGGACTGTTTCTAAATGCATTTTAAATTATATAAGTGCGTTTTTTCCATTTAGACAATTATTTTAGGTATACGTACATATATTTTTCACAATAGAGAGTAATTATATATACATATTATATACAATTATATATATATATATATATTTTTTTTTTTTTTTGGTGGGGGGACAACTCTCGGATGGGAGGGGACATGTTCCCGCTGGGATTTATGCCCTTGGGTGTGCGGCAAATCAAAAGCATAATAGCGCTGCTTTGATAAATGGCCTTAGCAGAAGGCATCGTGCATGTCAAAATTTTCGCAAGAATTTTCACAAGTAAATTTAATTTACTTACACACTTTTTCTCTGTAACAGTAACAAATTACTGTTACCTTTATTTTGTAATTAAATTACGTAACGCCGTTACGTGTAACTAGTTACTCCCCAACACTGAGCATGCCCTGAAGCAGAAAGGAGGGATAATGAGTCAGGGAGGTAACTGAGACTTCATAACGTCAATTTTCAGCCATGAGTCGGGTCTGAGACAACAATAGTTCTATAGAACATATTTTTTTGTAATCTATAGAACTTTCATAATCATTATTCATGCACAAGTCTTAGAATATTACTCCAGATGTGCCTTTACATTGTTTTTCAGTTACATTTAGGATTGATGTCTGTTATTTAATTAGAATAATAATTGTTTGATAATGATAATAATAATAATAATAAACAAATTGTTATTTATTCATTTTCTTTTCGACTAAGTCCCCTTTTATTTATTTAAAATGAATAAATATATTAAAATGTTGTTATAATATTTATTTTAAATGTATATATTCAAAATATGTAGTTAAATATTTAAAATATATGTAAAGTCAGTCTCATAGTGTCTTTATTTCTTAGGGGAGGGGGTATGTTGGGAACTAGAACCGCCACACAGTCACCCAGTACTGCAGAGACTATGGTGAGCAAATCAAGTCAAAGGCTGATTCTGTTTGACTGGTGTATTCAGCATTGAACTCCACTGTGTTATAAATGTGATTATGCTTTTATTGTTAATAAGTTCTCATTTAAAACGTTACACTGCATTAGGTTAAATGATATAAAGTGACGTTTTCTATTAATTTTGAAAAATTATTTAATAAATAAGGAAATTACCCATGCCGACTTTAATGTAACGTAGTTTGGTGTATTTACCTTCAGCCCATGGCTCTCAATGATGTTTTGTTTTTGATCCTTTAAGTGAAAAAGTTTGGGCACCCCTGATCAACAGTCGAAATTGAAATACCAACACAATACAAAAAGATAATGGCAAATAATTTAATTTGAGATAAACCTATGACTGGGTCATTCTTATCTTTTTTCTATATGGCACTTTCAGTTTTGACAACATATCCGGCCAGCAGCTGATTCTACATTTTCAGGGGCCTGAACGATTAGATTAAAAGCCTGAGGTAAACACTGAACAATCGTTTAAGCTGCATGAGCCAACCGAGTTACCCTACCGCACAGGAAATCTAGATATCAGGTCAAATATTGCACCTGTATGGTATTATATACCATTTCAAAAGTAAAAATGCTTAGGAACTTCAAAGTGCCTGTTGCTCCACTTGGAGTAAAAACAAAAAAAGCTCCAAAGTGAATCCAGTGCTTGCGGTCTCAAAGGGTCTTTAGTGTGCATTCAAAATGATGTGAAAGTCTTCAAACGTCTCCTGAGTCAACCTTATGAGGTTACATTTTAAAAGGGCATCTATTTAAACCCATAAAGGACAAAAGAAACACTAACAAAAACTAAAGTTCCTAGTGATTAAGATAAAATTAGAGGTTTCTCCTCTTCTTTCTTGGCTAGAAGCACTGAGAGCATCGATGAGGAGAAGAAGTAAAACTCTACGCTGTAGCTGAGTTCGTAGAGCTCCAGATTGACACACAGAAACCACTCGAACACTGCTGAGATCTGCTTGTAGAAGTAATGCTCCTGGATGAAGAAAATGCCATCTGATGACGTGAGAGTCAAGGAGAAAATACTTGTTGAGTTCATTTTTCAAAAATGAAAATAATTTGCACATTCCTAAGACATTTCAAATCTGGGTGAGAATAACACAGAAAGACATGGGGATTGAGAACAAGACAAACATTCCAGTGGAGTCAAAAGGACTGAAATGGCTTGACTATCAACATTCTTTGGAATCATCTTTTGTGTGAAACAATATGAGATATTATTTTCACCAGAGAATCCCAAATAAACGTTCACTGAGCATCAAACCCGCATATTAGAATATCAGAACAAGCATGTGACTACTGGAAGACTGCAGCAAAGCTTTAAATGAAGAAACGATCCATTATAGAGGTTCACACTGTACAGATTGTAAATTGTAATAATTCAAAATATTGTTGTTTTTAATACATTTCAATCACAGAAATGCAGCCTTGGTAAGCAGGGGGGCTTAAAATACATTAAAATGTTAATATTTATTAATACTATACATTTTTCAACACCCTGCTTTATAATTGCTGAGTTTTACTCAGGGTATATGCATGAATCCTAAAGGTCATTTCAATACCTTTTAAAGACTTTTTTAAAGACCTTGTCAGAATATGTTAAGACCTCAACACCACTTTAAGTTCTAATCAGTATCAAACCTTTAACTTAATAAACAGATGTTGACAAACAGTTGTACTTAAATAAATGAATGGAGCACAACCATCCAACAGAACTCATAAGCTCAGAAGAAACAAAGCTTGAGAGAATAAATTAGGCGGGTGTTTTCAGCGACAGACTTCAGCCACTGCCTTGCCTTTCTCCAACCAGGAGTACGCAAACTTACATTTTCCCATTTTGCTGTCTGTCTCGCTCAATAGTTATGTTATCTACTCTATCTCCATCGCTACATGTGGAGAGCGTCACATGTCCTTTCAGCATTTGTCATTACCCAGACATAGGAGTTGGGCTACACTCGCCCCAACCCGAATCAATCACCTGGATTGAACACGCTGTTGTTAATATTAGGAGGAAAATAAATTTATTTATACTTTTTTGGAGTCAACACTTTGTACAACGCTTAAACAAAATTTAAGATCTCATAAAAATGCAATTAACACCCTGTTACTGGACTTATGAATGTATACATTAACTATGAATAATAAACTAAAGCTTGTCCTAACATTGTAATTCTGAGCAACATGTTCAGCTCAGACAGAGCAGCATTTACAACACAGAAATTCAAACTAAGCAAAATCAAAATTTGATTTACATTATATTGAAATCAAGATAATCATTCTGTGATCCTGACATCTTTGCTTCTCAGTGATCAACATCTTTGTGTATAAAATGCTGCATGTGAAATATCACATTTCAGCTTGATCTCATGAGGAAACGTAAGTATTTTACGCTTTGTTAGTTTAGCAGCTAATTCAGTCATACCAAAATGTACAATTTTTAAAAGGAGGCATGGCACCAAACCCCAACCCTAAACACAAAGGGGAATTAGCAAATCATACTAAATTGTTCAAATAAGATTGTATGGATTCATACGAATAAGCCGCTAAATTAAATGGCTATGAATTGCTGGGAGATATCGCTGCACATTTCATAACATGTTTTTACTCCAAACTCGCTTCATAACTTCAGTCGAGGATTTGAAATAAATCTTTTTGTGAGATTATTATGATTATATTATAGTCCTGCGATTATTAATCACGCTAAATCAGTTAAATCTTTTGTTATTAAGCAACACAATGGGGATTTCTTGGCATGAGAGCACCCTCTGGCCCTAGGAAGAGAATTATTACTGCACACACAACTGTACTTCCCTGACAAGATGTGCAGGACGATGGGAGGTATGACTTATCTTGCTTTAGATGTAATTACTATAGGGGGGGGGGGGTAAATTTAGTAATTACAATGTAATTACTAAAAGGGGGATAAAAATCTTAATTTTAAAATGGTTTAAAAAATGAATACTATTTTTATTTGGGCTGAAATAAAACAAAAAATTAACTTGCTCCAGAGGAAATACAATTATGGGAAATACTTTGAAAAAATTCTTAATCTGTTAAACATCATTTAGAAAATATTTTAAAAAGAAAATAAAAAAACATGGGAGGGTGAATAATTCTGATTTTATGTAAAATAGATTTGACTCGCATAACACATGACATGTCGAGCATGAAAGGATACAGAGGATGGTGGCAGAAACCTGGATGATGGTTAAGATGATGCGTAGTGGGTAGAGAACCTGTTCACAGCCCGTCAGCATACATCTAGTGGTGAGCGAGGTCAGGATGATCATGTACAGGCACACAAACACAAAGCTCACTGCAGCACCCAGATAATGGAGCAACACAAGCTCTGCCGGCTGCAAGAAAACACAAACTAAATCACTGCTAAATCACTTTTTTTGTAAAACACAACAATGCAAATAACTTTTCAATAAATAATGCATTAACTAATCTTTCGTTTTAATAGTTTGAAAGAATATTTTCTTTTACACTCTCTTAAAAAAGGTTTTCTTTCAGCATTGATAGCTCCATGAAGAACCGTTTAATGTATGGAGCCAGATCAGTCTCAAAAATAATACATGTCCAAAACAAATTCATACGTCCACAACGCAATTCACATTTACAAAATCCAATTCGTGAATTCAAAACACGATTCAAAAATACAAAAATCTAATTGGGAAGTTTAAAGCATGAATCAAAAGTACGGAAATCGAATTTGGAAGTTCAAAACACGAAACAAAAGTAAGCAAATCTAATTTGTAAATTCAAAACACGATTCAGAAATATGTAAATCTAATTAAAAAGTTCAAATTTAATGATTTTTTAATGATGCCTTTATAGCTCAGGTCCAAATATTATTAACAAATATAATGTTTGATTTGAACAATGTACTTGTAAAAACTTACTGTAAGTTAACATCAGCCAACATTAAAGAGTAATGTTACTTTTCATTTTATATAAGGAAAAGGATTTCTGAGCATAACATAATGCATGTTTTTCATATTTACACAGAATACGCCTACAGGAAACCAAGCCTGCATACAGTTTTGTTTGAGTTTTGTGACTCCACCTATAATCGACTTGACATGAATGTTGTCATACAACCTATTATCCAGTCAAAGACATGGTTAGATGCTTGATTATTGTCTATTTGTTTAAAACAAGGCCAAAGGTAAGTAAAGTGTCTCGTAGGTTTTGTCATCAGAAAACTCATCACCAGCATATTTATTATCCATTTACATGAGAAATGATGGACCAAAAAACCTTTGACTTCTATAGTACTTTTTGTTTCTACTATGAATGTAAGTCGCTGCTTTTGTACAATATACTTATTATATTGTTTTGTGTTCAACAGAAGATTGTAAGCAAATGGCCAGGACATTATCTTTTTTTTTTATTGGTTGAACTATCCTCAAACTGATGATGATGATGATGTATTTATATTGAATGCCATGTTAGCAGCAAAGGCTATATTCATAATTTAATCAGGTTCTTAAGTAGCATTTATTTATTTACACACATTTTTTTTTAATTTAACACAGAACAGTTTTAAATTCGCTGTGTAAAGATGCCTATTCTGTAATTTAGTTTAGGTTTTGTCACCAGAATACTCATCATCAGCATATTTATTATCTATTTACATGAGAAATGATGGATCAAAGAGCCTTTGACTTCCATAGTATTTTTTGTTTCTACTAGGGGTGTCTGTGGCTGCATTTGTGCAACATTCTTATAAATATTGTTTTGTGTTTGTATATAAATTGTCAGGACATTTTCTTTTTTTTTTTTATTGGTTGAACTATCCCCAGATTGATGATGATGCACTGTAAAAAATGTTACTTAGATCTAACTTATAAAAAGTGAGGCAAGTGGTTGCATCGGACGTTTTAGGTTGATTCAACTTCCAGCCTTTTTTAAGTATTTTAAACACTAAAACATTGCTTAAAACAAATGCAATAAAATTAAGTTGAGCCAAATAATATTTCTAAAATTACTCAAATCAGATAAACTTACTTTTTTTGTTAAACTTAACTTACTTATACATTGCTATATGTTGACTGTACTCATTTTAATTAAGTATTATGAACTTAATGATCTAAATAAAATTAACCATGCATATGTCATTTAAAACGAATTTAATTGACTTCTGGCTGTAACCTCAGAAAATAAATCAGCGTTTCTATATTGTAAGCACAATATACACTAGTAAACACAGATAAACAGACTTTCCTGTCAATAACAATTAAATAAGAATGGGAAGATTGATTAAAGACCATAACATGTATTCAATATCAATCGATGTTCCTTTTAATAGTGACTACAAAATAGGCCATTAATGTGGCTACACGTACATAATACATAAATAAAAACATTAATAATACCAGATCCTATTGAGAAATCATCCAAGGCAACTCAGTGAGGAGATTTGCATATTTTGATGAAGATTTTGGATGCATAATGTCCAGTCCCACAAAGAGTCTCTAATACATCTTAAATGTATACAGTTTTGATGGATACTTGAAGTCGAGGACATCGGTAAGTCCAAACAGGAGCCATCATGCATTTGACAGGTTTGGCAAACCTCTGACAGTCCTATGATAATCCAAACTGTGTTGGGCTGATGGCAAATTTTTCCCGTGGGCAGCCGCATGCACCTCTGATTCCTCACAACTCTATTGGTAGAGACAAAAAGAAACAGGAGTTCAGGTGGTTGCTACCAAACAACATTAAATAGCTACATACTAAATAGAAAATAACTACAAGTGAAGTTACAAAAGTCCAGTGAGAATGATGCATGGATGAAACACCTTAGTTTATCAGTTAAAAATTACCTTAGTTAAAATTACCTAACTTTTATTTAAAAAATAAAAAAAGGTTATAGAGGTTGTGTAATTACATTATTCCAGGTGTTTTTAGTTATCAAATTTTAAAGAAAACTGTGATTTTACTCAGTGTAACAGTGCATGTCATTGTGGTTTCCTGTCAATCACAGAATTGTTAAAATTTAGGTATTACATTTTTTTGTTTATTTTGGCAACTTATAAAGCATAAGAATGTGTATTTAATTTAGATATTAAAACTGTTTGAAAACGGCTATAAGAAAATTATAGAATACAAATTCTATAATTTAATTGTCATCTTCATTTTGCACCAAACTTTGCACGTCATAATACAAATTTTATTAAATAAATAAATAAATACATTGCCATTTTACACATTACATTAAGGTTTACATAAAATTTTTGCTAAAGCTACATTTAATTGACTTTTTCTTCAAATTTAATGTCACTGGCAAATGACAGTTTAGTGATTCAGTGTTATCATTTAGCTTTATTGAAAGACTGACAGATAATAAGAAACTGCATTAGGATATTTTTATACTGTTTTTACTGTCGCACACATAAAAAAATCTTCAGATATCAAATGTAAGTTAATTCTATGGAGCCCACTATTGTTTGCAATTTTACCAATGTTTTACTTACCTGCAAATAATTATAGCTGTAATTGTATCTAATGTTTTTCTTACCTGGATGTGAAGTTTGAAGATCCACAGGTAACAAAATCACTTTGGTATCTAAAGACCAAGAACATGCATTTTAGAATGAGGTGCATACAATTTAAATGGTTCTGTAAACATCAGTAGTAAATGTAATTTAAGTTAAAATAAATTGTAAATCTGTAATTTATTCACCATGCAGCATTAAAAAACTTATGGACTAAATCTCTAAAACACAAACTTTAAGTTATACTTTCTCTTACGTTAAACACAAACTACTTAACTGTTGCATACGTTTCTGAATTTAATATCCATCCTTAATGTGCTGCTATAACTTAGGTGAGCTAACTTTAGCTAAGTTAGCGCTAACAAACTGAACCCCCACACCCCGACCGCCCACCAGTGACCTTGTTAATCGGTTCTGCAACGTTAGTTTTACCTACTAACTTAAGTGTTTTAAAACTAACGTTACTTTCACTATTTTTCTCAATAATATCACTTTTAATCGTTAGTATAAACTAGCGTTGGTTAGCGTTAGCCAACTTAGCTTTCCATGTGAGAGCAGTCTAACTGTTAACATACCTGAGGCTACAGTACAATTTACAAAGCTAAAACCTCACCTGCCTAGCGAAGACAGCAGTTTTGCATGACTTTACAATTATCATTCGGCTAAATTTGCAACTTACCGTGTTAATCAGATCCGCTGCTGGGAGCAGTTAATGTCGACCATTGCAGAAGCTGCGTCTGCCTGCTAAATCCCGGGCAATGAAAAAGGAGTCACGCCAAACTATTAAAATCACGTTTTATGAACACCTGCCCACATCGACAGCTGCTCTAATAAATTGTCTGTGTCAACTCACTTTTATAACATTTATTCTACACAATAACCACGTACAAAAATCTACTCAAATAAATTGCATTAGTTTTATTTAAAATATACAGTTATATAAAAACTGATATATTTTAAGTAAAGAGGAAGCTAATTTTATTTTTTTGGTATAAAACAAATAAAATTAACTAGATTGCAATTATTTAAAGTAGATAGAACCAACTTTGTGAGTGTAGCACTTTTTACAGTGTGATGATGATGATGATGATGTATTTATATTGAATGCCATGTCAACAGCAAATGCTATATTCATGGCAAAAACATTTCATTAATAAATATACAATTTAAAACTAAAAACTTGATGAATACATAAAGTAAAAAAGATTTTTAACACATGATAAAAATTCTCCTTTTTTTCCTGGTGACACTTTGATGAATATCTATTATGCCCAGATTAAATTTCTGAATGGTATCTATACTTACATTGCAGTTGCCAGCCATGAAAGCGCTCGCAGACACCACACAGCCCATAATCAGAGCAATCTTACTGAGAAGAGAATGAACGCTGTTTCTATCCAGAATATGTGCGTGATGGAAAACACAGAAAACCAGAACTGTGTGAAGAAAAACAGAGGGAGGATTTAATAGATGTTCTCTGACATTTGTTAAAAAAATACAATCCCAATCATGAGCACTAAGAAGAGTCCTATAGACTTTTACCTTTACTAATTCAATCACATTTTTTATTGCAATTTGAGAATATTCATTTTGCTCTTTACTCTTATAGACATCCCTAACACAAACGTAATGCCTCATTTGGTATTGAGTTGGTTTAATTTGACCCTGGACAACAAAATAAATGTTTTTGCATTAAGATTTGTACATCACTTAATAAATCAGCTTTCCATTGACATGGTTTGTGAAGAAACGCCATTACTTGACCAAAATACAAATATTTGAAAATCTGGAATCTTAAGAGTTTATAAAATATATATTATTATTGAGAAAATCACCTTTAACTTTTGCAGAAATTATGTTTTGACAAAATATCTTCATGGGACGTGATCTTTACCTAAAAGACGAATGATTTTTGGTATAAAGGAGAAATCTCATTTTGCACCATACAATATATTTTTGGCTATTGACAAAACTTTATCCTTGCATTTTAACATCCTAAATGTCTCAAAGGAGGTTTTATCGCAATAGTGACAAGTGGAAGCAGAATAGTCAGAATTGTATTGGACTTCAGTTGATTTCAATTGTTGACAAGGCATCATTTTTTTAATACCACTGGTTACAATTGAGGTTATCTGACACTTTTTAGATGTGCAAACAATAAGTAGGTAATCTGATCAGATCTGGTCATGTGACATTGAAACATTTTAATCCAAGCAATCATTTTTTGATAAAATTTTTACAATCTACATTATCATAGTTTGCTATTTTACACATTTTTATAAAAGCAATTTTTAATATAATTATGAAATTGACAATGCTATTTCAATATAAAAATACTTCCTATATTATGTTGTTCCCAAATATTGCAAATCAAATTTTAGTACACAGTAAAAAAAAAATCTTGCTGCCTTAAATGTTCTAGTCGTCTTAACTTGCATCAATCAAACTGACTAAAAGAAATTACTGTAGGTTAAAATAAACTATATAAAATACCGTTGTTTACAGTGAAGTATGATCATTGCAGTCAGACACTATTTTTATTTAAAATGTATGTTCAATTTTTTATCATACTTTATCAGTGTTTGTTATTTTACACATATTTTACACATATTTAGAATAGCAATAATTATTATAATTATGAAATTGACCATGTTTTTTCAATATAAAACTAATCAATATGTTGTGCTCAAATATTGCAAATCAGTATTTAGTACACTGTAAAAAAATCTTGCTAAATTTTTTAGTTGAATCAAATGAACTTTTCTAGTCGTCTCGTCTTACATCAATCAAACTGACTAAAAAATTAGGTTAAACTTTGTGTAACTTTAAAAAATGAAACTGAAACTTATTAAAATAAGTTAAAGCAACATAAAACTATTTGTTGTCTTGATTTTTTTTCATTAAATTTTTGTTTACTGTGAAGTATAATTAATGCAGTCAAATACTGTTTGAATTTAAAATATATGTACACTGTAAAAAAACCCTGATTGCCTTAAATTTTTAAGCTGAATCAAATTAACCTTATGAGTCCATTGCACTTTTATTATGTTAAGCTAACTTAAAAAAGCTTGCGTAACTTATAAAATTAAGTTAGAACATGATTAACTTAGTTTAATACTTTACAATGAACTAAAAACATACTGTATGTTGTTTTGACTAATTGATCAAATAATGTTTCATTAATCAATAATATATTCAGTTTACAGATTTCAAACATTTAATTGTAAACATTTCTTCCAAATTCATGAGGTTATACTGTACTAAATTATTGCAGCTACTTTTGCATTAAATTCAACTAAATTTGATCCAAATTAACATTCATTCTAACTTCAAGTAAACTGACGTCAAAAATGTGCATGATACATGTTAAAAAACACACGTTGTCATGAGTTTTATACTGTTTAGTGTATTTAATGAATTAAAGTTACATATATATACCCACATAGAAATGACCCAGCACTGATTGTTGCTGTGAAAAGCGAGTTTTCCGGAAAGTTTGTTCCACTTGCGCTGCAAAATAAACAGAACAGTCCTGTCATTGCTTTGATTTCCCAAGTGTAAAAAGACAGCAGTTTGAGAGATTCATGTGTTTTACACACCTAACAGTGGGGATGTTGTTCATCGTGCAGCAATTCCCCGTTTCATTCGGATGACAGGAGTTTCTATATTCCCTGTTCAGAAAACCAGCCATGTTACAATAAGATATAGCCTACCAATGACTGAAATTTCAATCAATATTTGTTAAATGCATCACTTTACCAGGTATTAAGAGAGCAGATATGATTGTAACTTAATGCAAGTCCATATCTGTAGAAAAAGAAAAAATCAAGACTTGAAAAGATCCTTTTAAGTCACTTCTATCTATAGTGGCTTAATTACTTTTGTATCATGACTATAAAAGAACCAAAAGTAATTTGTTGTTTCTGTGTTCACTGTCTATTTGCCCTTTAGTAAAGATGCTTAACCCTTTAACTGCCCCACCAAGAAAAATTATTTTGGATTGCATTTCTTAACACCTAATGTCACTACACACTCCATGAATTTTTTTTCAACGCATCCCTCTATCACATGACTGATACAGTTGAAGTCAGAATTATTAGCCCCCCTTTGAATTTTTTACTTATTTTAATATTCCCCAAATGATGTTTAACAGAGCAAGGAAATTTTCACAGTATGTCTAATAATATTTTGTCTTCTGGAGAAAGTCTGATTTGTTTCATTTCAGCAAGAATAAAAGCAGCTTTTAAGTTTTTATAAAGCATCTTAGGGTCAAAATTATTAGCCCCTTTAAGCTTTATTTTTTCGAAAGTCTAGAGAACAAACCATCGTTATACAATAACTTGCTTAATTACACTAACCAGCCTAATTAACCTAGTTAAGGCTTTAAATGTCACTTTAAGCTGTAGAGAAGTGTCTTGAAAAATATCAAAAATATTATGTACTGTCATCATGGCAAAGATAAAAGAAATCAGTTATTAAAAATGAGTTATTAAAACTATTATGTTTAGAAATGTGTTGAACAGAAATCTCCGTTAAACAGAAATTGGGGGGAAAAATAAACAGGGGGGCTAATAATTGTATGTCGGTTTATGGTAAAAGTACCAGAATTATTACATATACTAAATCATCTTTATTTTTTATGTATGTATGCCATAAAATATTTCAGATTGTCATTTAACATGTTTTCTTTTTTTCTCCTTCTTACAATACAACCAAAATCAAGTGTGGTAATGCAACAGGATTATGTTTGATTGATTTTTTGTAAACCAATAATGCGATGTGTGTAAACCATTATTTTAAACAGTCACTCTGTAAATGATTAACAGTCATTATTTAAAATAGTCAAAATATGGTCAACCATTTGGTAGAGCAGGCAGTTAAAGGGTTAATAAAGACATTATACCAACTGTTTATTTCATATAACACGAATTATACATTGAGTTTCACGGAATATCTCTTGACACAGACTAAAGCCTACAGCCTACTCACTAACAAACCGCTAATGCTGTTTTTAATTATTATTATTATTTTAACAATTCCTTACAATTTTGAAAAAGTTTTACCTAATTACATAATTACTTAACTGTTATCTTTTTTACATTTTAGTCTTTCAGTTGACACTAAAAAAGTTTAAACAGCTTTTAAAATGTTAAAGGTTTGTACAAAAATGGTTTAAACATTTCAGAAAAGAAGCATTTTAAAAAATGTAATCTGCGGTTTATATAAATATATATAAATATATATGAAGTCAGAATTATTAGCTCCGCTTTGAATTTTTTATTTCTTTTTTAATTATTTCCTAAAGGATGTTTAACAGAACAAGCAAATTGTCACAGTTTGCCTGATATTATTTTTTTTTCTGAGAAAGTCTTATTTGCTTTATTTTGGCTAGAATAAAAGCAATTTTAAATTTTTAAAAGCCATTTTATGGTCAAAATTATTAGCCCCTTTAAGCTGAAATTGTATTCGATAGTCTACAGAACAAACCAACGTTATACAATAACTTGCCTAATTACCCCAACCTGCCTAGTTAACCTAATTAACCTAGTCAAGCCTTTAAATGTCCTTTTAAGTTGTATAGAAGTGTCTTGAAAAATATCAAGTCAAATATTATGTACTGTCATCATGGCAAAGATAAAATAAATCAGTTATTAGAAATGAGTTATTAAAACTATTATGGTTAGAAATGTGTTGAAAAAATCTTTCTTCTGTTAAATAGAAATTGGGGAAAAAAATAAACAGTGGGCTAATAATTACTGATTACTACATTATATATCTATTTTTTATTTAATTTATATTTACTTATTATTTTTATTTATTTTTATTATTTATATTGTACAATTTTTATATTATACAACAGATCTATTATTCGTTCATTTTCCTGTGGCTTAGTCTTTATTTCAGAGGTTGCCACAGTGGAATGAATCACCTAGATCTATTATAGTGATACTTATTTATTGATTTTTAGTAATTATCAATCAATAATTTATGTATTTGTCAGAATTTTCAGCAGTTTTATGGTCAGTAAATATATTTGTAGCTGGTACATTGTTTTCTCAAATCCCCAACACTGGCAGGTGTGGCAAAATGCTACTTTTATCCCTGCTTGTACGATTATGACATCAGCATCAAAATTACTGGTCTTGTTGTTAAGCTGGTTATGCAGCAATCTTATTACACGTCAGCACCAATGTCATAATGTAGATATTAAGAAATTATGACTAAAACATTGTAAATTCTAAAATTATGTCATATATCTCTGTCTGTTCGGTCTATCTGTCTGTCTGTCATGTCTGTCAGTTCGGTCTATCTATCTGTTGGCCTGGCCGTCCAAAGTTCTCAGCATGGAAGAAGAGAAATAAGAAGTGATAATAATTTAATGACATTTAAACAAACTGTATCAAAACTATTATTCAGAGTCTCAGCTGACATTGAGTAGCACAAATTAGCAAATGAAACATGAAGGAAATGTCAAAAGTTTTGTCAACTCACACTGTCCAGCAGCCGATGAATGAGACAGCACACAAAAGAACAGGTAAAATAATCCAAAGAGCCATGACTGTTGGAGAAAGATGCTTGCAGATCAATGTAAAGTGCCGGTTATATTCAGTGGTGATCCTTCAGTGGAGGTCTTGATCAGCTGACTGACATATTCACCCCTCAGTAACATGTAAACAGGTCCTTTACCATCTTTCACTTTTCACGCTGGCCTTACCGGTTTACTGTCTCTTCACCTGATGAGCTACATTCTTACTTAAATACGCAAGGGAAGCTTTGAGACGTGCCACCACATCAAGCCACTCCTTAATGCTGATCTCTAGGAGGAGAAGAAGAAAAAAAAAGAACAGCCACAAGGAAATATGACTTGAGTCAACTCAGTGTTTGCTTATGCTCTTACTCATGGTTTGTTAGTTTAGAGCAGGCAAGTTTTCATCCCACGTGGCTCCTTTAATCAAATCAGATCATCCACAGTCACAACAATGTTTTCTTGAAGATTCTTCATCATTGGGTAGATTCCCTGTCTTTGATTACAGTCATACTGACGATTTACCATTCTAATCTGATATTAGTGTGATATGTGCTTGATAATCGGAGACGTGACTGAGATATCAGCAATGCGGTAACAGTGTTTCGTCCTTTTGTTTTGTAATTAATTCATTTGATAATCATGCAATCGAATGATGTTTTGTTCTTGTTCAGTTTATGTCTGTTCCAGTGATGAGCTGCAGCACAACCTTGGAGGGAAAAGATATATGCCTGTTATCTAAATGTGTGCGCATGCAGGGGGTTGTTTATTGTGATGAAAAGCAAGTGACCATGCACAAGCAAATAGCTGTACAATTGAACAGCCTTCAATTTCCTACATTTTTTTAATAACAGCTTAGTCCTTTTCAAGTTATTGTACACTTTCAAAAATAAAGCTACGAGAGCTGTCTTCAAAAATAATCAAAATTTACAACTCTTCTAAAACTGAATAGTTGAGATTTACCTTTCTATGATCCATTCTGCCAATTTCCTGGTCTGGCAGGAACACTTTTAGCTTAGCTTAGCATAAATCATTAAATTAGATTAGACCATTAGCATCTCGCTCTAAATTTAAAATAAAGAGTTTCTATAATTTTTTATTTAAAGTTTGACTCTTCTGTAATTACAGCATGTACTACGACCAATGCAAAATGAAAAGTTGCTATTTTCTAGGCTGATATGGCTAGGTACTTCTCTAATTCTGGTGTAATAATAATAATAATAATAATAATTCCTTACATTTATATAGCGCTTTTCTGGACACTCAAAGCGCTTTACAGACCACCTGGATGATGCAATGGCAGCATATTGTGCCAGACTGCACACCAGCTGATCGGTGAAGATGAAACAGAGTGATGAAGCCAATTATGATGTGAGGATGGTTAGGAGGCCATGATGGACAGAGGCCAGTGGGCAAATTTGGCCAGGATGCTGGGGTTAAAGCCCTTTTCTTTTTTGAAGGACATCCTGGGATTTTTAACAACCACAGAGAGTCCGGACCTCGATTTCACTCACCTACTGGGCAGTATAGAGCACCATCAATATACTGGGGCGTTAGAGCCCACACAAATGAAAGGTTGAATGCCCCCTGCTGGTCTCACTAACACTACTCCTGGCAGCGACCTTGCTTTCCCTTGTGGTCTTGCATCCAGGTACTGACTGGGCAGTCAGTACAGTTAAGTTTTATCTTTCTATAATCCAAAAGCAAATAGCTGTACAATGGAAATCAAAATTAGAGAATAGCCTTCTATTTCCTACATTCTTTTGATCACATTCTTTTTGAAAACAACTAAAGCTAAACAGTTGAGTTTTATTTTTCCTTTAATCCATTCTGCCAATTTCCCGGTCTGGCAGGAACACTTTTAGCTTAGCTTAGCATAAATCATTGAACTGGGTTAGACCAGAAGCATCTCGCTCCAAAAAAAAAAAAAAAAAAAGTTTCTAAAATGAAAAAGTTTCTATAAAGAAAAAAAAAAGTTTCTATAAAGAGTTTCTATAATGTTCTTATTTAAAGTTTGACTCTTCTGTAGTTACAGCATGTACTAAGAGCGACACAAAATGAAAAGTTGCTATTTTCATAAATTGGAACTAGGTTCGGATTTTTCCCTGAGAGCTAACGGTCAAAGTGAGAGCGAGCTGATGGAATCGGAAAAACACTCTGGATACTTCGTCTGTATGTTTTTCCAGGGTGATCGACAATGTCACATTTTAAATTGCACATTTTGAAGGAACAATATGTACATATATATATATATACACACACACACACCATTTTGGGGGAAGTAAACAAAAACTTTGAGATGCATTTTCAGATGCACTCGTCTTTCATCAGCAGTTGTTTCAGTACTCTCATTTCACTACAACAGCTTTCAGTCTTACTCTGCTTCATACTTCTATACGTTTTGAATACTTTAACTCAACCATTAACATGATTTCTGGAGGAGTCTTGTAAGATGTACTACTCCCATGATTCCACACACAGCATCATCAAACAATGGCTGTTTTTCAATTCCAAGAGTGCAGAGAACGGACTTGCCTTCTTGTGAAGACCGGTCTTGCCAGGTCGCCTCGGAAGAATGAACTCGGGAGACCACAACAATATATAACGCGTCCTTTGCAAAATGAGATGCTGCGTCCTTCCTAATGGTGTTTTTAATGGAAAATTATTTAAACATTACAGCATTCCTATATCGATGTATTGTTTTTCTCCTTTTTAAAATATATACCATGCAAACTTAAATACAAATATAAGTTGCACAATACAAATGAAACAGATATTAATGTAAATGTCACCAAATAAACACCCTTAATGGGTTTATTCCTTAGTTAAAATTGTCTTAATGTTTATATTCATCGTTTAATTTAAACTTCTGAGATAAGTTCTATCTTTAAACTTTAATAATAAACCTATATAAAATGCTGCATTTCCCACCTCAAGTCGCAATGACTTCAGGGACTTCTAGAGCGAGTTCGGTGCTCAAATCTGCAACCATGCATCCTCGATCTCAAGAACACATCCAGGATGTTTCTTGCGTCCTCTGTTCTTGCGGTCTTGAGTATCGGAACTGAACTTTGGCAGTTGATGATGACGTTACACAAAAACACGAGGATGCAAAATCGCTGAAGAATGCATATTGAGAAACAGCCTATGACTTTGTTTGTTGTGAATATATGACCCTCTAGTGGTGAAAATTGTAAACTGCATTTAACAAGATCCATTTATGCTGTCAGAGTGAATCTTAAAGCTAAATGCTAATCTAGAAATAATGCATATTGTACATAATAAAATAACACAATTCAAATATCTTATTTTAATACCCAAATATCTTATCTAAATATCTCCCCAGACCCTCCTATATGGACATGAACATGCTGAGAATATTAATGGGCAGCTAGTTTAATGTTGCAACTGTAATTGCTCTTCAGCTGTGAACAGGATAGGATCTGTGTCAGCATGCAGTGTCTCAACGTTTTTTAAGGATCTGCACTGAAAGCCCTGCAGGGAATAAACCTCTCATAAGCAGAAAGACCCAACTGACTAGTCTAAACCTTACTGAGAAGACTGGTCCAATATGTATTTTAGAGATTACAGCTAATTTAATTTAGTTGGGTCCAATAAATAATCATCAAACTGGGGAAAAACTGAACATAAAGTGCATAGAGAGGTGTAAGTGAAGGTGCTCAAATTTCAAGATGACATTATTTCTGAAAAATATCAAGCGTTCATAGATTGTTCTGTCATTTTGATCTCCACAGTACGTATATGGAACATGTTGTGTTAAAGATAAAGTGTTTGAGTTGTGAACAGTTATGTTTTATCTGTTAACCTATCAGAACCTGTAGAAATGACATCAATCCATTATCTATCTGACTGAATGTTTCTGTATAACTCTGTCTCCTATAGAAGTGTGGAGAGTTGTATATTAAACTGATTAAACATTAACTTTGACCCCTGGTCTTCGTTAAGCTTATATGTGACTTTATGGGGTTTACAAAGTAATCTCTCTACAAAACAGTGAACCACACTCTTTGAGGAAAAGATACAATAGCTGTCAATGGGACAGTAATATTTCAAAACGTATATTTCTGTAAGTAATGTGTAAATATATCGCACATTTATTGTGTATGGCCATACACCCAAAGCGCTTTACAATCATGAGGGGGGTCTCTCCACACCACCACCAGTGTGCAGCATCCACTTGGATGCTCACCACAGACCAGCTATTGGTGGAGTGTTGAGACAGTAATAGAGCCAATACAGTGAATGGGGATGATTGGGAGGCCATGATAGGTAAGGGCTGATGGAGGAAATTTGGCCAGGACACCCGGGAATACACCCCTACTCATTACGAGAAGTGCAATGGGATTTTTAATGACCACAAAGAGTCAGGATCTTCAGTATCTCAGTCTCATCCAAAAGATGGCACCTGGAAGTATAGTGTCCCCTTTACTTTACTGGGGCATTAGGACTCACACAGACTGCAGGTTGAGCACCCCCTGCTGGCCTCATGAACACCACTTCCAACAGCAACCTAGTTTTCCCATGTGTTCTCCCATACTGACCAGGCTCAGCCCTGCTTAGCTTCAGTGAGTCTTGGGCTGCAGGGTCATAATCAAATTACTGGGATGTGGCAGTAACTAAAGGGTACATATTATCACCTAAATAATACATATTTGTACCTTATTTGTAACCCATTCGATAGGGTTGACAGCTTTTCTTTATTTCTGAAAGTAACTGTCATCAACCCACTGATTGGACATTTTGCAGATCAGTGAAAACACTGTAAGGGATGCATAAATAAACACAATTACTGTATATTCACAAATTATTGCAACGTCTTGCTGTTAACATGCATCCTTAATTATAACAAACAGGGTTGGATAGGCTGATTTTAAAATGCATTCCTCAGTAGATTATAAAAATATAAATACATAATAAATATATAGAACCTATGATTCCCTCTTATTGTTTTTAAACACTACAACTACTGATTATTTAAAACATATTCTGAAAGGGGGGTTGCATACAGAATTGTACCATATGGTGTTTTGGACATGTTTACATTCTAAGTGTTGGGAAAAACTATTTTATTTAATTAAAAAAGAGGGAAATGTTGGGAGGTTGTATTTAAGTACACCTCAACAGTTATTTAAATAGCAAAAATGTACTTTAATTTGTCTCAGTATAAGTTGATTCTTTTCAGTTTATCCCACTTCTTAGCAAGCCGTGGATTACTGTTGTTGTCTGTGTTCTGTTGCTTATGATAATTGTTTAAAGAATTATAACATAGCTTTTTTTGTGACTAAGAATGTAATACCAGACTGTAAACATCACTTTAATCATGTTCATTTTATTACATGTTCACTTGGAATGCATCATTACCTGGTGACTGTATTATCCCAGAACTGAATAATGACATTACTTTGACACTCTCAGAAATATACAAGAGCTGTCACTGGGGTGGTACCTTTTTAAAAGGTACACATTTGTACTTGAAGGGTCCATATTGATACCTCCAATGAATATATGGTACCAACAAATTTTAAGAGGAACACTTTTGTACTTTTTAGATACTAATATGTACTCTTGAGGTATTAATATGGACCTTTTAGGTACAAATGTGTACCTTTTAAAAAGGCTTACGTACCTTTATTTCTGAGAGTGCATAGTAACCTCTAATTACTTACCACATTACGCCGAATTGTAAATTAGACTCATGATTTTTTTTTTCTGTAAAAGTGCTCATAAGCATATCATGAAAAGAACTGTATATACACACTTGAATTTAATTAATTTGAATACTGCATGTAAGATGTTGACCATTACCTCTATTGGATTTCTTTTACTCAATCTAATTACAGTAATATACAAATTTACAAAATGTATTATTGTGTTGTTTGTAACCATGACTGGGGAGTAAAGAAAATAAACATAGCTTAGTAGGGTGTTTGAAATACAAAATTGAATTCCCTTACATTTCAAAATAATTGTAATGAAATTTACATCCAGAAACTAACCTTTTTTGTAGAATACAAGTTAGATGTTTAAAGCCAGTTATTTTTTCACAAATGATTGCAATGTCCTGTATAGCCTACTGTTAACATGTATTATAACAAACAGGGCTAAGGCAGATTTTAAAATGCTTTTAAAATTTCTCCATAGATTATAAAAATAAGTGTTTTAACCAGCCTGATCTCACGAGAAAATTACATTTTGTCAGTTTAGTGGCTGATCAATATGAAGTTCAGTCGTACAAAATAGTACGACTTTAAAAAGGAGGCATGGCACTCAATCCCACCCCTTAAGGCCCACCTGGAATCTGTGCGCGCAGAATTCCGCAGATTTCCACAGATTTTTAGCCCATCATTAATTCTGTTTATTTACTTGAGTAAATGTGTAAAATATATATTTATTCAGTTTTTTTTAATTAATTTCAGTAATATTATCGACTAATGTGAAAATGTTCATCTGATTTATGTACAATGCAGTTTGTACAGTAATTTTTTCTATCTTTTACTAGATATATTATATGAAACTTGTTTTATTTACCAAATAAAGTAAATCTAATTGGATTTGCATTTTAAACATTAAATAAAAGTTCAAAAGATCTTATTTCTTATTTAATATATTAAGGTTTTAGTTATGATACTCCCAAAACAATTCCACAGAAATCCGCAGACTTTAACCAAAATTCACTGCAAAAAGAGCAAAAAACGTCTGCAGATTCCGTCTGGCAGGATGAGCAAAGCGTACTAAATTGTAGGAATTAAATTGCACGAATTTATACAAATTAGACACTAAATCAAAAAATTACGAATTGCCTTGAGATTGTATTGGTTTTAACATAACAAAAAATGTATGAAATGATCCCTTAACCTGTATTTCTTAATTATTGTGCAAGGGGTTTGCAAACTGAATTGATCCCTACACTCTCAGAAATAAAGGTGTGCGAGCTGTTACTGGGGTGCCTTTTCAAAAGGTACACATTTGTACTTAAAGGGTACATTGGTACCTCAAAAGAATATATTAGTACCTAAAAAATTTTGAGGAACACTTTTGTACTTTTTTAGGCACTAATATGACCCTTGAGGTATTAATATGGACCCTTTGAAAAGGTACCAGCCCAGTGACAGTTTTATTTCTGAGTGTAGGATGCTTTTGTGAATTATATGTTTACATTTATAAGCATGAGTCTTTTCCAATTCAGAGTAATGTGGTCATTAGAGGTTACTATGTCACAGTAATGTTCTTATTCAGTTCTCAGATGATACAGTCATGCAGGTAATGATGCAACACAAGTGAGATAAACATGATTGAAGTGATGGTTACAGTCTGTGATGACATTCTTAGTCTCAAAAAAGCTGTGTTATATATTTTTTTTGACAATTATTATAAGCAACACAAAAGGAGATAAACAGAACGTAACAGATAACAACAGTAATCCACAGATTCTTGAGAAGTGGGACAAATTGGAAAATGCACTTGTACTGAAACAAACTAAAATACTTTTATGCTATTTTAAAAATTATACTTAAATACAACCTCCCATAATTTCTCTAAAATTAAATAAAATCATTTTCCTTGCCGTCACTTATTGTCAACATCATCATCAGACACAACTGTAGCAATGAAGATGTTGCATTTCAAAAGATATTAATATGTTAGCAAACTGCATTACATGTGACCAGCATTTCAACAAATATAAACTAGCTAACTTAATTATTATCAAAATATTCACCTGATGGTGGTCATAGTTCTAATGAAGTTGACACATCTGATGGGTGTGTTGACAAAAATCTGAATTGTAGTCATTTGAACTGTCAAATACACTGAATTCAATTACTGTACTAAAACAAGCACAACAAAAGTGATTATTTTGTTGATTCAGAAGCTACTGTTTCAAGATTCACATTTAACAAAGTCTGACAGTTTTGACAATGTGTTGACTGTGGACATTTTAGGGCTTTTAGAGAGTATAATAGGCCTATAGCCATTCTGTTTTTCTGTTGATGCTAGATGCTAATGCAAGCTGCTTCAAGGGGAAAATCATCTATAAAAAACGTTTAATTTCTTTAGAAATTGGATAGTGGTGCTGGCAGGTCATGGTTGTGACACTGATTCATTAGCATCAGTATTTAAAGTATTTTAAAACTAATATCCTTACCTTAATCTTTCTGACACTGATGTGCAGTGGTTGACTGTGGTATGGTGGTCCTTTAGAATGACAACTGCCCTGATACAGACTGATTTATTACAATAATGAATGTGTGACATAAAAAGGGGACACAACTTTAAAATCAAATAAATTTTCAAGCGTCATTAATAAGAATTGGTATGAAATATCGTTAAGTGTTGATTTTTTTTCTTAAATTAATAAACTATATATGGTTTATCTATTTGATTGCCTATATTGACTGAACCTCTCTCTGTGGAAGCACTAAAATGTAGTGAAAATGTAGTGAAAAGGCTATGAGTGCTACATTTCATTATAATAAAGTTAAATTGAATGAAAATAAATTTAATCTAATCCCTCATTAAATTTACAATCAAAAAATATTTTTATTTTTAAACCTAATAGCTAGTAGCAATTGCATGAGTAACGTTAACAGATTTTGTCCCATATGTCTCAATATCAGTGAATTAATTTCAGCTTTTTTTTTCAAACAAATAATTTCTGTAATCGTCATTCTTGTCAAAAATCTGTATATTTCTGTATAACATATTTCTTGTTACGATAACAAAAATGAAAGGAACAATTTTGTAAGAATTTATGCCTGTTTTTTTTTTTTTTTTTTTTTTTTGTGAACTATTCCTTTAAGAACGGAAGCCAGTTGCGCCTTTTTACCTGTATGCTTGCTGCAGTGTAATTGTTTTACCGTAATTAACTCTAATTTCTTATTTTTGCAATATATTTGTATTAGCACTATATATGTTTTAATAACCACAAATATGTATTTAACACACACACAGTCGTATTTCTCAACAGGATAATTGTTGTCAGCTCTGGGGTCCTAAATTTCAAAACAACCGAAATGGCGGCGTCTATAAGATGGAGTCTACAGCGTTTCGTACGGTCAAATCATTTGAGGTTGGAAATGACAGACTATATATTTTACAATACCTTTAAAAACTATAAGTTCGTTGTTTGCATAACATAAAGACAAAGTATGATATTGTAGGATTACAACTGTTACCGTTGATCCAACTAAATACACGGTTAAACCTCGGTGTTAGTTTCCACTATTATAAAACACGTTAAATTAATTGTATTATGTTTTGAATGATTCCTTGGATTTTTTTTGTATGATATGTAGTAACAAAATTTGCTGTTATTATGTTTCTGATAGCATTATAACATCAATCACTTATAATATTTTCTTAGATATCCTGTAAATGACAGAAATCAATGCTATTCACTGTGGGCTGCTCGTAGAATACAGCATCAACAGAATGAATTCAAATCATTCTCAGGTGAGGACTTTTATATTTTTATATCTCTTTATACTCTATATATTTTTAATGTACCATAACGAAGCACTTTTAAAGAAATTATTGTTTCTAATGCTGTTATGGGTAATCTGTACAGTCTTTCAAGGGACTTGTTTGTAAAACAAATGACGTAAATATATATATATATATATATATATATATATATATATATATATATATATATATATATATATATATATATATATATATATATATATATATATATATATATATATATATATATATATATATATATAATTTTTTTTTATTTCAGTACGAAAACTTTCAATTTTAACCCAAGACACACCAAACCCCAGAAGCCTAAAGTTTCTTCCTGGTAAACCTGTGCTGGGGACGGGGACTCAAGATTTCCCAACATCAGCCTCAGCAGAGAGTTCTCCTTTAGCCAGGTAAACAGTTTCAATCTCACTGTGTGAAATTATAATGTTCTTTTGCAAATATTTGATTTGAATGAATCAGTACATTTTCTGCTTTGGTTATCTGACAATGAGGTTTTGTAATATAATATAATATAATGTAATGTAATGTAATGTATATATTTTCCCAGAGATGGGTTGCAGCCGGAAGGGCATCCGCTGTGTAAAAATGTGCTGGATAAGTTGGCGATTCATTCTCCTGTGGCCACCCCGGATTAATAAAGGAACTAAGCTGACAAGAAAATGAATGAATGAATAATATATATAGAGCTTTGCACTTTGCGTATGTGTTCTGGCTGTCACTTAAATATGCACTCTCAAAATATGTGTGAAATGATGTTTCATTGTCATTCACTGTAACAAAATATTTATGGAAATCTAATCTGAAGTGTAATCTTTATTTTTAATTAATAAAATAAAAATATAACCAGACTTATTGGTGTATTAAATATTATATATGAAGCTGAATTCAACTTATAAACTTCTATTCCCTTGATATATAGTACTTGTATAGGTTACTTTATAGGTTCCTTGTAGTACTTTATGATGTATACACACCCATATACAGCAGTGAACATTTGAGGTGGATCAAGACACAAAGAACAGAACAGACAAGAACAAGAAATACTTGAAAGGCTTTGGTCCATTCCAAATGATGCCTACTGTATATATAGGGTTCAGCATAATTGAGTACACCTCATTTTGCAAATGAATATGTTTATTAATTTATAAGTAAATATAAGTCATATATTTTGGTGCGTTTGAACAAAACAGACTTATTAAACAGATTTATTTATTAAAATATTATTTGTCACCAAATATTTTTTTAGAAATGGAAAGATAATACATTTAAATTCATGCAAAATATTAGAAAACAAAATTAAAAAACTACAAAATTTCAACAATTTCATAAATGTTTTTTCTTGAATTTAGCTCTTTTTTAAATTTGTTTAATATTTTTCTGTAACATATAAATTTGGGTGTGATTTTAAACCATATCATAAGTTATTTTGTCAGATTAACTCCGGATTTGGCTTCAGTCTAATTTATGATCTAATGTATATGCACAAATATAATATTGTAAAGCTTCCTATTAAAAATATGAATTTAAATGAGAGATTTGTAAAGGGTGTACTAATATATGATGAGCACTGTAAGTAGGCTAAGTATACATTTCCTCATTGTGTATTAAATTCTTATTAAGTTCTTTCCATCCACAGGGATCTTTTCCAAATCAGTGGAATAAAAAGTGTCTTTTACGGACCAGATTTTATCACACTAACTAAGGTACTGTTTATATATAATATATGCTGCTAGAAATAACAGTTTTACTTGTTAGTCTATTACAGAGCTGCATTTGAATTCGTGAATTGTTCTTTATTAAAGACAGATGATGATGTTGAATGGACAGATATTAAGCGACATGCGATTGAGGTCATTAGTAAGTTCTTTGAGGGTGGAGAGGCCATCACAACTGGAGCAGCACATGCCGAGAGCAGTAAGCCAAACACCGCACAGATTGACTAAATAAATAAATAAATAAATATTTATGCATTATATACTGTTTAAAAGTTTTAGAGCTGGTGTGATCGTTTTTAATGTGTCTTTATTCTTTAGGTGTTACAGAGGATGATGATGAAATTGTCTCATTGATCAAAGAGCTTTTAGACACACGGATCCGGTATGTTTGTATGGTTGATTCGATATGTTTAAAAGACAGGGATTTTTCAATAAATTAATACTTCTGTCCTATTCAGTAAGGATGGGTTGATCAACAGTAAAACAAAAGACATTTGTAGAGATAAAAAGGTTTCTATTTCAAATAAATGGTTTGCTCTAAAAAATGTTGGTAAATTTTTGATAATAAGATATGTTTAAGGAGCAGCAAATCAGTGTAAAAGTATGATTTCTAAAGCGGTATTTCAGCTGAAATTCAGCCTTGTGTGACAGTGAATAACAATATCAGGTCTATTAAAACAGAACACTGTTACTGTTATAATATTTTACAATTTTCATATTTTTTATTTCAATAAATACTGATCCCAAACTTTAAATATTCTTGATGATTCTTGAAGACCTCAGAAAATTCAATAATAGCCTTCACTTCTTGACCACATTCCTTGTCAAAAATTCCATTGTCATTACAAAACATATTAAAAGCTTTTCCGGCTTAATTTAATCTTTAATTTGTAATCATAGTCTTTTTTTGTTTTATCCTGAATTCTTATCATTATTGATAATTATTAGTATTTATTTCCCATTTAGCAGAACCCACTTAAGTCTTTAATCATTTCACAGTAAAATGGCTATAGAGGACTTTGAAATTAGTAGTTGTGTATTGACTAATGCTGAAAAAAATAGAAAAATCATAACAATAAATCATAATTGCATCCGAAGTAAAAATGAGTATTTACATAATATATTTGTGTGTATTATGTCTGTGTAAACGCACACACTTGTATGTGTATGTTAAAATATTTACATACAGTGGTGTGAAAGACTCTTACTGATTTTTATTTTTATTTTTTGCATATTTGTCACACTTTAGTGTTTCAGATCATCAATCTAATATAAATAGTAGTCAAAAATAACACAAGGAAAAATATTTTGTTTTCCCTAAATAATAAAATCCAGTTTCAAAACTGCATGATGACATGTGACACATGAAAGAAAAAAAAAAGAAATTAGTAAGGGGGCAAACACTTTTTCACCACTCTATATACAGTTGAAGACTGTATATCGTATGAATTAGCCACTAAATCAAAAAGGTACAAATTGCTGCGAGATTGCGTTGGTCCAAACAGACGTTTCTTATCATAGTTGCTCTTCATATTGGATGTGATTTTTCACTATTAATCCTTACACAGCACTATTGAATGTAGCGCTCTGTTCTCTGTCTGGTCTCTTTAAGGCCTACGGTTCAGGAGGACGGCGGTGATGTGATATTCAAAGGGTTTGAAGATGGCACTGTGAAGCTGAAGTTGGTTGGCTCCTGTACGGGATGTCCCAGCTCCACAGTCACCCTAAAAAATGGCATCCAGAACATGATGCAGTTTTATATTCCTGAGGTGGACAATGTTGAACAGGTGAGATAAATTTAAGATGGTAATGAGAATGACTTAGAAATATTTTAAGTACAGCTATCACATCTTTTCCATTTTTTTTTTTATTTAATAAGGTTCAGGATGAAGTGGATGAGATCAACATGAAGGTTTATACAGAACTGGAGAAAAAGCTGCAAGATGTATAGCATGAGACAACATATCGGTTTGCTGTCATAGTTGCAGTGCAATTCAGACACCCTATATTTACAGTTCAGAGTCTAAACTATAGTATAATATTTAACCATGCACAAACTCAATTGTTGTTTCGTTTCCGCTACAATAATGCAAGTACAAGAAAACTGAGCTTTGCACCTTGCGTATGTGTTCTGGTTGTCACTTAAATATTCACTCTCTGAGTTTTAAGGTTCATGATTCTTACAAGTTGTCTGAGAGATGCGGTTAAATTGTAAACGGTTATTTTTTTATTACATAGCACACTTAGCATACATTGTTGCATGTTGCCGTTTCACCAAGATGTCTGGTGAATGCGGTAATTAAAGAGGTAGTTCACCCACACACACACACACACACACACAAGTTTACTGACAAATTATTGGCCTTCAAGTGGCTCCAAATCTTTATGAATTAATAATTTTTTTTTTTTGCTGAACACAAAAGAAGATATTTTGAAAAATGTTGGAGACCAATGAAAAACAGTTGCTTAAAATATCTTCTGCATTCTGCTGAAGAGACTTAAACAGGTATGTAACAAGTAAAGGGTAAATAAATTCCATTTTGGGTGAACTATCACTTTTTGAGCACATTAAATTCAGATCTTCCACCGAGAATGATAATAGTTGAAAGACTGCATTCATCTCCAGCTGCCATTTTGCAGATTTAAATGACCTATAAAATTAAAATAAAACAGTTGTGTTGACATTAATATTTGTCATGGTGTAGAATTTGTCATAATGTTTTCTGCCTTTCTTCCCCTTAGGTTTTATATTTCTGCATTTTATTTTGTTGAAATCTTCACTTTATATTTCAGCTTAAAAAAGTAAAAATGTTTATGTGCCGTAGTTGAAAATAAATGGAGAACAGAGTATGATGCTACAGAAATCAGCAAAAATTCAAGATAATGGACAAGAAATACCCTAGCCTGTGCAAATTAACTATTTAGGCAAATTCAGTATCATTAAAAATTATGATAAATGTTTTTGTTACTTTTACCTATTGGTAAGTTAAACAGGTTTCAACAGTTTTTTTTTTAGTTATACAAAGTTAAGCTTACTAATTAGATTAAGAAAAATTAGGCAAGATTTATTTGTTTATTTATTTATCATGCATTGCCTCATCCCAGAAATCTCTCTAGGACATAAAATGAATAAGGGTAACACTATTTATTTATTTAAATGATCCATTTGAGTATTAGTAGACTGTCTGCTTAAAATCTGCTGATACTGCTCCTTCAACAGACAATTAACTGCATATATGAAACTTTGCATGGTACATGTCAATTTACACTAACCTTAATCCATCTCCCACCTAACAGTACTTATAATCTAATGAGAATTAGTTTGCATGTAGATGCAATGTAATTTAAATTTAACAAATGGCCCATCAAAATAAAGTATGACCTTAATAAGTTTGATTTATAAATTATAAATGTATTCATTTTTGCAGCACTGATCCCACTGTAACTCACACATTTCTAATGAGATTAGGAAAGAAAATTTGAGCCATTTGCATTTGTCACCGCTGAGAACAATGGTGTTTTGTTAAGTGTGCACATAAATTCACTCATCATAAACAAAGTGTTAAAAAAAAACCCCGCTCATTTCACAGCTTGGCCATGTGGAAGTTGGCAGAAAATGCCCCTGGAAAACAATCGTTACCCCTGTCATGAAAATGCTATTACTGCTAAAGAAATTTAAATAAACTGTGAAAACTGAATAAGAGAGAGAGTTTGTCCTTTTTCTTGCTTTAATTTACAAAAGAATGATCATTTTACACAGAAGAATTTCTGAGAGCAGTTGATTGCTCGCAGTAGTTTATAAAGGCAAATGTATTTGCATTTGAGACAATAGATTTGATCAACCAATCAGATGGCTAGTTCAAGAGTTTTGCCTCTCACATAACAATCATATGACAGCACTTAGAATATTTGAATAAAGAAACCTGTTTACATTATTTATACAAACCCAAATCAGAAAAAAAGTTGTAACAGTTTGGAAAACACAAATAAAAAAATGATTTCTAAAGTTACTTTGACTTTATTGCAGACAATACAACAAACATTAAATGTTTTCCTTGTGATTACAATTTTGGTTCTTGCAACATAAAAAAAAGATGAAACAGTAAAGCACTTACCACAGGAGTGCCCAAACTTGGTCTTGGAGGGCCAGTGACCTGCAGATTTTAGCCTCAACCCCAATTAAACACACCTGAACCAGCTAATCAAGCTTTGTGTAGGTATACTAGAAACCTCTAGGCAGGTGTGTCGAGGCAAGTCGGAGCTAAACTCTGCAAAACACTGGCCCTACAGGACCGAGTTTGGGCACTCCTGATTTACTACTTTGTAATGTTGTCATTCCTTGTCACAAAACTTAAAAGACCTTTAGAGACTGAAGACGTGATGAAGTGTTTCAGCCAGGTGTATTTTTGTCCTATTCTTCCTGCAAACAAGTCTTAAGGTGGCCAACAGTACAGGGTCTTGTTGCATTTTCACTTCGAAATGCACCACACATTCTCTATTGGAGACAGGTAAAGACAGCAGGCAGGCCAGTCAAGTATTCCTATCTTGTTTTGAGGATCATTGTTTTTAAACATTTACATAATTTTCTTATTTGTTTGTTGGCAAACTGGCAATTCTCTGCCCATTTTTCCTCCTAAAGGACTAGACTTTCTTCTTCTTCCTTTTTTTTTTTGGTGGATCGCATTAGATCTTGTGCATTATCGCCACCTACCTGTAATCTGATTCAGAGACTACTCTTATCCCATTTCCAAAGGACTACACCAGTGTTCCTCAACTGGTGGGTCGCGGGGTGTGGGGTCAAAAAAACTAAAGTTTCATTTTTAACTTATTTTGCTTATATAGGACCTTTTTTTTTTTTAGCTGAGGGCATCACAAAAGTGCATAACATCTTCATGTTCAAAATAAGTACAGGCACTCTGCGCATCTTACTGTGCTCACCGTGTAGGAAAGGCCAAGAAAGCCAACACAATAGCAGAAGAGCTTTAATTTGCTGATTTGTTCTGTTCACCAGGATCAGTGTTAAAGTTGTATTAACAGTTCAGTTTAGTTAATGGAAACTGAACTTTTTAAAATTTTGGGTCGCGGCTTGATGACCATGTAAAAATGTGGGTCCCTTGGCCAAACCAGTTGAGAACCACTGGACTAGACCTTTTTCTTCTTCTTGCTTTATCGCGCCAGGCTCCCTTATCTATCCGTCCACTACGCCACTGTAAGTAGATGTTCTACTGTCTCACTAACTCCACATTCGTCGAATAATCCTGTTGGATGTTTACCTACTCTGTGTACTATAGAATTCAGACCTGCATGTCCCAACCTTAACCTTAAGAGAATACAATCCTCCTTTATGCTCCCACTTGATTTCATTATGTCCTACAATTGGCTGTATTGCATGTATATGTCTGGCCTTTTGCTCATTGTCCCAACTTATTTGCCAATTTTTGTGTTGCTTTTTAATTATTGATTTAAGTTCAGCCCTACTGTACTGATTTGCATATCTATCCTTTCTTTAGCCATTATGCTTTTTTGCTAAGCGATCTGCTTCATTGCCCTCAACTCCTTTATGTACTGGCACCCACATGAACTGAACTATCTTGTTTATCTTCTGTAAAATATATAGTCACTGAAGAATTTCTACTATAATATCCTGCTTTGTCTCTGTTTTTTTTAACATCCAGGCATAGTAGGGCTGAACTAGAATCAGAACATATTACTGACTTGTTTAGATCCATTTCAAGAATTTTGTTGATTGCTAACACACTTGCTAGCAGCTCTCCTGTAAATACTGATAAATGATTTGAAATTCTCTTTCTATCTGATACCTTCAACTCTGGAATGACATACACTATCCCCACCTGGCCACTTTGAGGATCCTTAGATGCATCTGTAAAAATGTGTGTAAATTGTCCATACTCTGTCCCAATATATTCTCTTGTTAAATATGCTTCTGGTACCCCCTGCCCTTTTTCTTGTCTGTCTTTCAATAGTTTAAGGCTGGGGTGCTCAACCTTGTTGCTGGAGATCTATACCTTCCTGCAGATTTCAGTTGCAACCCATATCAAACACACCTGCCTGTAATTATCAAGTGCTGTTCAGGTCCTAATTAATTGGTTCAGGTGTGTTTGATCTGGGTTGGAGCTGAATTTTGCAGGAAGGTAGATCTCCAGGAACAGGGTTGAGCAACCCTGGTTTAAGGTCTATTTTAGGTTGTGGTAAGATCCATAATGGTATTGTCGGTGAATTAACTGATGATATAATACTAAATTCATTTAATTTCATTTCCTGCACTAACTCCCCAATAATCCTGCTAAAACTATTCATTTTTCTTTTCCCATATTCCCAAAATATCTAATAGCACTTTTACAGGGTGGTTATCATCATGGCTCTAAATTCTTGCCCAGCATGTTAATAATAGTTGTTTCCTTCTTAGATGATTTGGCATCTTCCCCATCTCTACCTGTAAAGCTGGAACCGGAGAGGTAGGATAAGCTCCACAACATATTCTAAGAGCTTTAGATTTTATTCTTTCAAGTTTTTCTAACTGTGATTTGGCTGCTGAACCATAAGCCATACAACCGTAATAAAGAATTGCTCTGATCATTGTGACAAACTGCTTTAAACGCTAATCTATCTGCTTCCCACACACGTCCAGAAATACGTCTCATTACATTCAAAATTTTTTTTTTTTCCTTAATCTTATTTATATGAGTACTCCATGTGGCCCTATAATCCAACAACATACTTAAAAACCTGATTATTTTTACTTGTTATAGTTCTGTATTGTACATTTTTAATTTTACATTTATACTACTTTTTTTGCTTGAATATATATATATATATATATATATATATATATATATATATATATATATATATATATATATATATATATATATATATATATATATATATATATATATATATATATATATATATATATATATATATATATATATATATATATGGTTTTCTCTACAGAAAATTTTAAACCCAATTTGTATGACCAGTTCTTAGCTTGGATTAAGGCTGATTGCATTTTACTAACAATAGGTTCCATATTTTACTTCTTGTACATAAAGCTCCATCATACAAACAGTGATTTACTAATATTTCTCTCTATACTTGAAAGAACATCCTTAATCATATTGATAAACAACTAAGGACGTATGACGCTACCTTGTTGAGTACCATTCTTAATAATTCCTTTACTTGAAACATGCTTCCCCATCTTAACTCTAATAAATCTTCCAACTAGGAACTCTTCAATCCTACTAAATAATATTCCACCTATTCCTATCTGGTTTAATTTAATCAACAGACCTTCCTTCCATAGCATACCATAAGCTTTCTCAATATCAAAAACACTGCTACCATTGTTTTCTTGTTAGTAAAAGCTTTCCTAATGTCTGTTTCTAAATTAAGAACAGAATCCATTGTTTCTCTTCCACATCTAAATCTACTTTGACAAGGGGAGAAAACGTTATTTTTCTCTATAATGTACACATTAATAAATATATATTATACATAAGCCGGTCCGTAGCCATTTTTTCCATTAGTTTACCAAGATGTGAAGTTCGAGCTATTGATCTAAAGCTCTATAGGAAGGATTAATTTGATCTTTTCCTGTTTTTTAACAGGTATGGTTAACGCTTCCTTCCATCCCACACTTTCAGAAATAAAGGCATATGAGCTGTCACTGGGGTGGTACCAAGGGTGGTACCTTTTTAAAAGGTACAAATTTGTATCTAAAAGGTCCATATTAACACCTCAAGGATACATATTAGTACCTAAAAGTAAATAGGTGTTCCTCTTAGAATGTTAGGTACTAATATACTTTTGAGGTACTAATATGGACCTTCTATATACAAATGTGCACCACCTCAGTGACAGCTCACGTACCTTTATTTCTGAGAGTGCAGAAGCAATATATATAAAATTCCTCAATTTTTTTTGATTCTTCACTTCATCACATAGCTATTTCCATCTTGTCCTGGAGTTTACACCTTTGTGTGCTTTAATGTCTTTTTCATTTCTGAAAATGAGTACACAAAATCTATAATACCATTTATAACTCTTCTTTTTTACATTATATTTGGATTCTCAGATAACAATTTCTTTCTCATAACCTTACGATTTTTTTGTCAAGTTATCTGTTTACTTTTAAAAACTCTCTTTTTTTTTTTTTTTTTTTTAACATTTCTACGTTATTTTGGTCACATACTGCATTCTTGTTTTCCACACATAATACTGGATAGTCATATACTCTCCTAATACCACTCATATTTTTAATCATGCTCCATACCTCCTCAACTGGAGTACTTTTCCCAATTTCATTACAAAACGATCTCCAAAATTTTTCTTATTTTCTCTTATTATTTTCCTAGTTTCTGCCTGAGATTTCTTATAATTTATCAAGTTTTGTCAGTTATGAGTTTTCTTCAGAATTTTGAATGCTATAGGACTAGAACTTTTTTGGATGCTGCTTTTGTACCAAATGACATAGAAAGTTGGTTTTATATTCACACATTCATTCATTCAGAAGTCTCTATATTGTTTACCATGTTACTTTGAATATTCGATCAGAATTAGCATGCAAGTATGACTTCAAAACAACATTAACACAATTGACTTTGAACAACGTTGTACTTAATCATTGGCTGCTTATATGATTTCCCTATAGAATTAGCATAAATACTTTTCTGAAATTATGTTAAGGAGAATGTCTGAATATTCGAATATAAAACCAACTTTACCTCAATTTCAAAATGTACAGTTCTGTCATCCCCTTTAACAGAAAACAAATTAGGCTATAGGAACTTTATTAATAATATAAATAATACCTTACATCTATATAGCGCTTTTCTGGGCACTCAAAGCTCTTTACACATAGGGGGGAATATTCTCATCCACCACCAGTGTGCAGCATCCACCTGAATGACGCGACGGCAGCCAGACCGCACACCACACAACAGCTGATTGGTGGAGAGGAGACGAAGCCAATTATGATGATATGGGGATGGTTAGGATGGTTAAGCTCTTTAAACTTAAATTATTTGGTTAAATTGTGTTTCTTACATAACTTTACGCTAATTTTGAGTTTTTTGTTGTTTAATTTCAAAATAATTATGAAAATACAAATTTAATATAAAATGATGCGTTGTAAATTATGCCAATATAAACTCAAAATGCCATGAAACATTCATTTAAGATTTGCTATGTACTTTTTTAACATAGTTGGAAACTTGTTCACACTGCAGCATAACATAACATATAAGTCATCAAACGAATGGTGCAATCCCATAATAATGTATTTATTTGTGTTTAAGTAACACTATACTGTATTGTCATCTGAACCTGGGTCAGCGTTGCACCAGTGATGTACTTCAGTCGAATCTGCGCATGCGCCACAGCCAGCCCTCAGTGTGTGTCTACCGGTGAATGAGAGAAGACGGAGGGTAAGTGGCGACAATAACAGCTACTTTGCATGCTCACGTATCGACTGCAGCTTTGATAAATTACTGATGCTGCGTCATGCGTTGAATTGTGTGTTTTGCTTCGCAGTTGGCATACACTTTTGAGGTGCAAATGTGACTAGTTAGTGGACATACAATGTGCTTATGCGAGGGCCCGAAACAGACAGTGTACCTGTAAAACAAAACACTGCTGTCAGCACATCACACAAGCACCGAGACTGAGCTGCTTAGGTGAACTTGAAACACTCGATAGTGTTAGAGAGAGTTAACACAGGTTAATAAATAGTTAGTTCAGTGTTGTGTTGCTGCGTTAGCTCTTTAGCTTGCTGCATTGGGAATACGTTGCTGTGCTAAGCTAGTGCAGATAAGATATTGCTTGGTAAAGTTATCATTTGAGACTTGAAATAAAGGTCGTGTGGATGTTAGTTTGTGCTGTTTTCTGCTGATCTGGAGTCAGGCTCAGTTTTGATGCAGCAAGAGGTTGTAAACAGTCTGTTGTTCTGGAGCTGACAGATGGTGTTGGCTGTGTTTCAAAATATAGTGTGCTTTCTAACTAGACGTCACGCATAAGTGCTGACTCTTAAGATTTTTTCAATGATTCAAAGTTAATTTCTGTGAAAGGGATATTTTACCCGAAACGTAAGATTCTGTAATTTTTACTCCACCTTTACTACTCACAAACCACTATAACCTTTTTTCTTCTTCTGATGAATACAAAAGATGTTATTTTGAAAAGTGTAACCATTGCCTTCCATAATATTATGAACAATTTCCTGTAGAATCTACGGTAACTTACTGTAAATTAATTACAGCAAGAAAACTATTCACATTTACAGCACCATTTATCTTGCGCTATACATGTTTACTGTATTGTATACCTTTACTGTAAAACAGATATGCCTAAACTTTTTTTTTAATGAAGGGCCAATAAATAAAACAAACAAACACAGCTTAAGGTAAATGTGTCAAACTGTATTAAAAAGTTGCCATGGGTAATTTCCTAATATTTAAAAATAATTAAAAAGCTTTACTTTAATCGTATCAGGTTAACTAATGCGTTATATATGAGCAATTCCAGCGTTATGGATGTGACATTTACAGTGAAATCTCAAAACATAAATTAACACATTCTCAGAAATAAAGGTACATGAGCTGTCACTGGGGTGGTACCTTTTCAAAAGGTACACATTTGTACTTAAAGGGTCCATATTGGTACCTCAAAAGTATATATTAGTACCCACAAATATTAAGAGGAACACTTTTGTACATTTTAAGTACTAATATGTACCCTTGGGGTATTAATATGGACCTTTAAGGTACAAATTTGACCTTTTGAAAAGGTACCACCCCAGTGACAGCTCATGTACCTTTATTTCTGAGAGTGCAGAGAAAGTATTTGTTTTATACAATATATTGAAACATTCATTTTCTTTTCATTCATTTTTCTTAGTTTAGTTTTAATAATCTGGGGTTGCCACAGCATAATGAACCGCCAATTTATCCAGCATATGTTTTACTCAGTGGATGCCCTTCCAGCTGCTACCCAGCTCTGTGAAACATCCATACACACTCATTCACACTCATACACTACGAACAATTTAGCTTACCCAATTCACTTCATCTGTACCGCATGTCTTTGGACTTTGGGGGAAACCGGAGAACCCTGAGGAAACCCACGCGAACGTGGAAAAAACAAGCAAACTTCACAGAGCACAGAAACGCCAACAGACCCAGCCAAGGCCTGAACCAGCTAGGATGCAACAGCACTACCTACTGCGCCACCGTGTCAACCTTATATTGAAACATCTGTTTATATTTTCCAAAACAACTAACCAAAGAGTTATAAGAGCAGAACATTTTCAGTCTGTCAGTTTTTATATTTTAAATGAGGAAAGTAAACATGGGTTATAGATGTCACCAAAAAAGTCTGCAAATTACAGTACAAAACATACTTTGTAGAAATTTTGTGAATTAAACTGCACAACACAAAAGAAACAATGATCATCAAAAGGGTAAGAGTTTGCTGTCTATACAACAAAAGGATTGATTTTATTTTATTTTACATTTTTGCATTTATAAGAAAAAAGTTTCGTTATAGATGTGACTGATGTGGAATTGCCACTTGCACTTTTGTAAATCGAATATAATTGTTTGAAAATATTGACAGAAACATTTTTGAATATTTTTAAAGCAATGTAAAATACAAGCCTACACAAAAAAACATAGAAACGGTTTTGTTTTTTTGGCAAATACGTAATTTTTTTATGGCAAGGTTGACATTTGCATGGAATTGCTCATATGTTTTACATTTTATAATTAACTTATTACAATGAAAACCAACAATTCTATTTATAACACAATGAACATTTAAGTAATTCTGATTCATTTTATAACATTTAATTAAAACATTTAATTTAAGCTTGCTTTTTGTAGCTCAACAATAAAACAAACAAACAAACAAATGATTACATTAAATTGGAAATGTCAATTTCCATTAAAGTCATGGGATGGCAAGGCAAATCAAAGGTTATCATGGGCCAACTTTGGCCCCTGGGTCCTATGTTTGGCATCTCTACTGCATCTCTGCTGTAAAATATACAGTAATTTATTCAATGCAACTTTAAAATACAGTGACACACTGCATAACTGTTCTACAGTAATGCTGTTTATATTACGTTTAAATACTGTGTAGGAACTATTAACTGTGTAGTACTTTGGATGTCAATGGTTACAGGATCCTTTTTTTTTTTTTTTTTTAGGGAACATTTTTGTGTTTAACAGAAAAGGGAAACTCATAAAGGTTTAAAACCTCTTAACAATAGTAAATAGTGAGTATGTTTTATTTTTTGAGGTAATTTCTCATTTCTGAAATTCTTTGCATATTTGCATAGTCAGCTTGTGTATTTATAAACAAAATGTATAATATAATGTTTTTATAACAAACATGTTACAATAAAATTGTCTGTTACATGTAATAGGGCTGGGCGATTAATCAAAAAGTAATCGAAATCAACATTCAGAACTGATCTATAATCGATCTATTTTTCCCAGGAGGATTTTTTTCAATGACTTTCCTTACTGCTTGTGGAGTCATGTGACCCCGCTCTGTAAAAGGCTGAGTCTGATTTATACTTCTGTGCCCACTTTGCAGCCTCATCAGATCTCTGGTCAAGTAGGACGATGGACCTATTCTTAAACCTTACTTTGCAATATTGGCGATGATTGGAAGCTGTGCCAGAGATGCCTTGCCTTGAGACAGCATATTTTCCATTACATTAAAATTATTATTTACATTAAAATATTTGTGAAATGCACTGTTTAAAATATTATTTACATTATATTAATAGGATATTTTATTTAAAATTGTAATATTTTATTTAATTTTAATACGATAATAATTTATTGTTCCCAAAAGTGCAAGTTATTTATTATAATTTTTTTATAAGAAAAAGTGATTGTTGGTTTTAGGCAATATGTTCTAATTTCAGTTGTACAAAGTTGATGTTCGATAAATAATCATAGATAGTAGATGTGTGTGTTTACTTTAAAATCAAGTAATGCACCCTTCATCGAAAAATTCTCGCTTGCAATATATGAGCATATTTACTGTACAAAAGCTGTCAGTGAACTACGAGGGCAAAAAAATAAATAAATAAAAAATAATCATTCATTAATTGTAATCGAATTAAAATGTTAATTGAATCAGGATTTTAATTTTAGGCCAAATCGGCCATCTCTAGCATGTAAGTTACTAGTTTTGTCTTTGTTTTAAATCCTTTTGAGCTCCCTAATGGAGTGCTTTCACTGGCCTTAAATATTTATAGCCATATAATAATAATATAGATTATTTTCAACTACTGTCTTAATTTTAAAAAAATATTAATTAAATTTTAGATATTAAATAGTAGTCCGTTATTGTATTTGCAAAGTTTAATAATCATCAGTCAAATAATTTTGTGACTTTTGTTTTTGCACAGACTGATCTAATTGCCACAAAATCCAAAAAAGGACCGTCTACCCCCTGCCTGCAATATATAGTGCTTTTCACATCGCTGCTTCCCAAATTTTTAGATCATTTAATATAAATCCATCAACATTTTTGCAAACAGATTTCAATTATCACTGAACGATGCAGATAAATGATGTACAACTAGAAATAACAGTTGATTGCTTCATTTGCATGGAGGAATTTTATAATCAGTTAAATTATTTGGTTATTCATAATTTAGTGAACTGACAGATGGAATTGGCTGTGTCCAAAAAACTGAGCTCCTTAAGTGGAGCAACTAATCAGAGTGCATTTCTGGAACCTTGCAAACAAAGGTCTTTATAGCTACTGTATTTTTAATTAAATCTAGACATTTAAAGTATTTTGATATCTTTGCGTGGGGAGATTGAACAATCATTAAAAGATTTGTAATTCATTGAGTTGACAGGCTGTGTTTCTAACTAGGCAGCATGTCCTTCAATTTAAATTAAATGAACGGAATTGCTAACCCTGGTCTCAGTAAATGAAATAGCTACTTTTGTGACATAAAATTTAGTTAAGAGTTAAAAAATAAGAACAATTATGATCAGCATCTTTGCAGCAGTAGTACAATATAAAATATATTAAAGTTACTTTATACCTTTTTTTTGTGAAATAAGGGATTTAATGTTGCAAAGATCGTCTTGTGATAAACAGAAGTGTGTCTTTGGCAGGCAGCCACAATATATTTCATTTCCTGCTCATCTAGTTTATTGCTTATAATGTTTAAACTTGCACTTTTAGTAAATGTAATTACTCTCCCCACAGAAAATAAACTGCAGATTGGTTCAGCAGAAACCGTGAGCAGGTCTCCATGGCCCAGTTCGGGGGGCAGAAGAACCCTCCATGGGCGGCCCAGTTTGCGGCAACAGCGGTATCACAGCCTGGCCACACGGGACAGTCCCTGGACCTAAACAGCTTACATTGTAAGTCAGCAAATTCAATGTTTTTAATATAAAGTTTAAATCACTACTCCATTGTGACTTTTTTTAACCCTTGTGTAATTTAGTTATTTTTTTAAATTTAACTTTTATTTTATTTAATTTTTTTTATTGACAATTCTCAATCAGAGGTTTGTGAGGAAAGTGAGGGAAAGAAAATCCATAATACATTATTTTTACAATGTTGAGGAAAGAAATACTGGGTGGTAATCTGCTTGTTAAGTGATGACGTGTTTGTGACGTATGTATACTGTTTCCGGGTCCAAGCCGCCATTCATTTAAGTGGAGAAATCATTCGTTTATGATCGCGTTTTATTCCTATCACACATTAAAGTTAATTTTACATAAAGTCATAGTGTACACAATAAACTCTGGGCTTGCTGCATAACAATTTATAAATTAACAATTTATAAAACAATGAATCACTTTCTGGCCATCGGATATTAGGCATGGACATATATATTGCGATCGTGACTTTCTAAAGTATTAAATCGCTTTGTAAACGTTTATTATTACCATTTCATGAATCTCCCCATTCAGTTGAATAGAGCGCTTGGACCCGGAAGCCGCTCCGCGTGACGTCACACTTAACAAGCGGATTGAACAGATTTCTTAATCTCTGAACCATATTGAGATGTAAATAAAGTAAGTAAACAACAACAAAAAAGAGAACACAGTTGAAGTCATAATAATTAGCACCCCTTTGATTTTTTTTTTTCTTAAATATTTCCCTAATAGCGTTTAACAGACCAAGGAAATTTTTACAGTATGTGTGATAATATTTTTTCTTCTGGAGAAAGTCTTATTTGTTCAGCTAGAATAAAAGCAGTTTTTAAATTTTTAAAAGCCATTTTATGGTCAAAATTATTTGCCCCTTTAAGCTATATATTTTTTTCGATAGTCTACAGAACAAACCATCATTATACAATAACTTGCCTAATTACCCTAACCTGCCTAATTCACCTAGTTAAGCCTTTAAATGTCACTTTCAGCTGTATAGAAGTGTTTTGAAAAATATCTAATCAAATATTATTTACTGTCATCATAACGAAGATAAAATAAATCAGTTATTAGAAATGAGTTATTAAAACTATTATGCTTAGAAATGTGTTGAAAAAAATAATCTCTCTGTTAATCAGAAATTGAGGGAAAAAAATTAACAGGGGGGCTAATAATGCTGACTTCAATTTTACATACACATATAATAATGATAATAAATTAACAAATGACACCCAAGTAAGCCATTACCGTTGAATGTAAGATATTAAACAATTCTTTTCCTAATACACTCTTTGAGTGATACGAGTTTGTATCATTCAAAAGCGAGAAAAAAAGTAGAAAAAAGATAGATACAGGCAGTTAGATGTGCAAAATGGGATATATAAAGCTATTTTATAAAATACAACAGAAAAGGTTGCCAAGCTGTGTAGAAATCCTCTGTTTTGCCATTAATTGTATGTCTAATTTTCTCTATTTGAATGAACTGCAACAGGTCATGCATCAAATAAAAGTAGTTGGGCGGAGAAGGGTTTTTCCGGTTCAATAGGATAATTCTTTTAGCCATTATTAAGCAAAAGGCCAATACATTTGACTGCAAAGATGACAGTAATGCGTTTGTAGGTTTGAGTCCCAACAGTGCCACTAAAAGACACAGTTCAATTTTCAGAAGAAAAATATCAGAGATTGATTTAAAGATTAATGTCCAAAAAGAGATTAACTCTGAACAATGCCAAAAGGTATATTAAATGGTAGCTGGAGCTTGTCGAAAACTGTCATAAATGGGATCAGTTTCTGGGTTTATTGGAGATAGTTTAACTTTTGCCCAGTAAATTGTGTGCAATAGTTTAAACTGTATCAGTGAATGGTGAGCACCGATGGTAGTATGTACACGACGAAGAACTTTTGACCATTCATCATCCGGGAAAACATGGTTATAACATTTAATTGCCAGTCTAAGTTTATTTTAGACTAAGATGAAGAATCTGACATTATATTGAAAGAGAAAATCTAGTGTGATTTATTTATTTATATATTTATTTATTTTTTATATCTTAATTTGGTCACATCTTTTTCTGCGTTTCAGTAAATGGGAGGATTTTTGGTGACAAATCATACTTCAGCACATATTTTGGGAAAATGCTTTGGAATTATAAAAAAAAAAACAAAAATACACTTTTTCACTGTTTTTGTCCCGTTGACTTCCATTATAAAATATTTTTGATTGCAAAGCCATGACACGTACTAACCATGCAAGGGTTAATATGAGTATGCTATTGTTACGCCCCATTCACACGGGGCTTCAGCGTCAACACTTGACTGAAGGCGTGTCTGAGGTTGGGGCTGAAGCGATCGTCATAGAAGCGTCAGCCAATGAAATTCAGTCAGCAATAGGCCACTGTCTTGCTGGTGTATTTGCATACAGCGATCTGATTGGCTGATGCTTTCGTCGACGCTAGAAAAGTTAAGCTAGTCCCAACTTCTGCAGCGAGCAACGCCTCTGAAGCGGCGCCGACGAATTCACAATGTAGTTTGGCAACGCCTGACGTCACCCATTCAAAGTGAACGGGAAGCGTTGACTCTGACGCCCCGTGTGAATGGGGCCTTACTGTTAATTCTCAAACATGGTAAAGCAACAATAATAATATCAGGCCTATGTGTAGGTCTACTGTTGGTTAAAATGCTAAATTTTCTATAGACTTGGAATGTTGGACTTAAACAGACTTTAAATTCATCCTGGTTATTAATGCACAATAAAGTAATAACATCACAATACAACTATTTATAATTCTGTAGTTGATTTAATGTGTTTGAGACATGCTTGTCATTAGTCTTTGACAACATTATTAGACCATTTTTATCACAATTTATTTTCTTACAACTTGTATTATATTCAACATTATATGGGCTAGACTAGTTATACTGATCTCGTTAACATTTATTTTTATGCACAACACTCTGTTAAATAAATCCAAACTGATATTATCATTTAAATGATGTGCACGCTTTTTGGTTCCTTTTCTCTGCTGAGTGCGTTCATGCCATTACTTTGAAAAAAACTTGCATGCAAATACTTCACTCGTGACCCTCAAACAATCGCTCTGTGCAACAAACTGAACGTTATTTACAACTTTATTACCTGTAAATCACAGCCTTTGCAGGTTCTGTTCACTACAATAAAGTTTACTATTTGTAAATATAATTGACTGAATCGTAGAGATGCTGGATGCTGGTGTGGGGGGTTGAATCAAGCTCGTGATCTTTTTCCGATTAGACGTGCAGTTTATTTTTTATAAAAACACTTTCTACAAAACCTTTAAAACCGTTTAAAACATAAAATAAATATTAGTACATTTTGCAGACACTAAATAGGTTTCTGGGGTTTCAGCAAATAGTTGTGATCATTAAACCCACAGTTTAGAGAATGTTAAGCCTGTTTCAAAGAATGTGCCAAAGTGATTGAAGAACACTGTGGGCAGCACTGCCATTGCATTACTTTCATTACCAACATGCAAAAGCAAGTCTAAACGTGCATCATTAAAGACGCTGTTTTTCACTGTAGCTTTATCTAATCTAAAGATCAAAGCTCAAGACGTGTAAAGTTTGGTTTGATGTGACTGGTCAAGGTTTGCTCGTGTTTTACAGCATGTTCGTGGGGTCTTAAAATGTTTTAGGCTTATTTAAATTTTAGGCTTAAATTCACTGAAATATTGTCTTAAACGAGTCTTAATTTTCCAAACAGACCAACAGTCATCCAATCACCAACAATACATCTCAATAAAGCTTTAACAAGTTACATTTATTACCTCATAATTTTAAAGTCTATTTATGCAACCAGAGTTTGCTTGTTTTAACACACTATTTAAAATATGTGGCCAAGAATGAACAAAATTACTTTTTTTTTTGGAGTAAACCATTGAATTTTTTTTCCCACTTGCCTAGGAAAAAAAGGCTTTGTGTTTAAATTTGATTCACAATGATCTTGAAAATGTCCTGTTTTACAATCTCCCATAGCATTAGGAGTGCAGCAGCAGTCTCTTCTGGGAGCGTCTCCTATGTACACTCAGCAGTCGGCTTTAGCTGCAGCCTCCCTCAACTCACAGTCAGCTGCCAACTATCAGCTCTCTCAGCAGACCGCAGCGCTCCAGCAGCAGGCCGCCGCTGCCGCTGCCGCAGCAGCATTACAGCAGGTGAGACTGTCATCCATCGTCATATAGCAGCTGGAGGAAATGCACTGTAAAGCATTTAAATTGTTTTAAATTTCATACTGACATGCTAGATTTACTATTCCAGCATTTTCTGAACAGTTTGCAAGTCTTTACAAATGTTTCCTATACAAAATCACACACACACATAAAACTCAAACACCAACTGCATCCTACAGCGCAACCTGCTTGACCTCTAATTTCTATTGTGATGAATGAACTGGAAACAGTTGCTTTTAGTATGTTCTTTTTTTCTCTTAGTATTGTAAAGAATTAAGACAATTTAGGGAAGATTTACTAATAATGAAAATAGTGTATATGTTCTTTTGACATAACAAACAGTTAGAATCAGTGTAATAAATGAATAATGAAAAGAGATTTTGTAACAGACTTTTTAACTTTTTATTTGTTGGAGTTTTCTTTTCAAATATAATTTGAATATAGTGTGCAGTGTTTTTTTCTTAAAGTTTGTAGCAGGAAATTTACTGATGTTCGTGCCATTATCATCACATCCCAAAAAAGCATGTCTTAACCTATTTTCCTATTGTGATATTAATAGGTTGCAATGACATTATTATCATTCACTCGGGCCTATTTTGCACTTATTTATTTGGTGCGTTTATGCTGATAAACTGATGCATCTCAATTCTTTAAAGGGATGGCTTACCAATAAAAAATCCTGACCATTTGCTCGCAAAATATTCTAAATTTGTATGAATTTCTTTCTTCTGTTGAAATCAAAACAAGATATTCTGAATAATGTTTGAAAAACAGGGTGCCCGTGAGGTCTTAAAAAGTAAAAAAATACTTTCAAAAACTTAAATTCACAGAAATATTGGGTTGTTGGTCTTAAATCATTTTAAACAGGTCTTAATTTTTTTATGTCTAGGTAAAGCTACATTATCAGGCTGAAACTCAGTCACCAATAATCCATCTCAAACTTTTTTTTGCAAAGAAAGACCATTCACCTTAGCAGTTAGACATTTTACAGCAAATTCTCCAAATTAAACTCCATATTCAGGGAAAGAGAACTAAAGCAACACATCCCTTTACATGATCTTCCATTATTACAAAAACTATTTACAGAAGTATTCGGCCCATTACAATAAATTCATAATATTTAGCCCTGTATAAGTCTAAAATTTCATTCATAATGGTCTTAAAAGGGTCTAAAAAGTCTTAAATTTGACTTGAAGAAACCTGCTGAAACCCTAAAAAAAGCAGCTATTGAGATACAGGAACAAGCAATGCCATGAAACTTATAAAACCTATACTACCACTCAGATTATATAAATGATATAAGCCTCATAAAGTGTAAGTTATTTATTTATTCATACAATTATATATCAATAAGTATTTTTCCAAATATAGATGAATTTGATAAATGAACTGGAAGTAAAGATAAACCAAATGTTTGTTTAAATCCAAAATCAAACCAAAAGTGCTTTAGGGATAGTTATTGTGTTGGTGCTTATTTTGTTAACCAGATAAGGGCAAGTCGTTACCTTAGAATTATAAGGGTCTATCTGAAATTTTTGTCAAAATTGAGTTATTGACATATTCTTATTAAATGACAAATTATTTACATTATGGGATGTTTTTTAAGTTGTTTACAATGTATGATGCTTTATATAAAAAACAAATGTTACACATGGAATATTTGCTATTGAATGCAAAAACTTTATAGCTCAATATCTTAAAATCGCAGAGCGCAGATAAAACCTTATAATTCCAAGGTGACAAAGTGTTGCTGCAATGCGTAGGTGCTGTTTTTATAGAATATCCATGTTAGTAAAGGCTTTGTAATTTTTTTTACTTATTATTTTGTTGTTTTTTTATTTATTTATTTAATAATTTTATGATTAAATTGACCCTTTGCTAAGCCACACTTAAAAGTCAGCACATCAATCGTGGCTTAGCAACCATAGCTACGCGCAGGAAGTCTGTCAAGCTTTCGAGCAAGGGGAAATGAGCTAAAGCGTTGTGCATATGAATTGTGCAAATCTGACACCCCGTATCCTTAAAGTTTGGACGGGGTAGTGGAATTTTTTTCTTCTCCAAAACCTAAAACCCAAGGGGAGAAATGCCAGCATGGATCAAGCTCTGTGAGGGGCACTAAAAGAGCGGGGTGAAGTTTTTTTTTTTTTTTTTTTTGATATTCCCAACACATTTAGTGATAGACGGCAAAGACTCACAAACCTCTTACCATAAAAAGATCTTAACTGTGTTTCCTACAAAAATACAAAGCAGGGTATGTTTCCCAGCTGTCTTTTTCTTTTTCACTTGATATTATGAGCACTGCTCCATTTAAGGCTTCACAATAGTTGTAGAGCGAGCACAATCCAGTTATATTTCCATCTATTTTAAGCTACGAATATTTGAAATTATATATAAACAGAACAAAATCAAGATGTGATCACAATCCCTGCAGCTGTTTTTCAGTAATTTATAACCCTCATGTCTATGTCAGAGCTACAATTCACAGTTTTTTTTTGTCTGCCTTTTGGAGATTGTGTCATTAGCGTTATAGCGGGTTAGTGTCTGCTTTTATATTTGGTGTTAGATTAATATTTGCTGGTAGAAAAAATCTATTTGTTCACTTCTGCTATTTATACTTGGATTTGCATTTAAATGTATTTATTTTTCCCCTTAACTGCAAATTAGAATAGAAACTGTATAAAAAGCACACAAACATACTGACAGTTGTTGTTATAGATGCTAATATTTGGCACAAATCTATTAATTTTCCCTTTCTGGCTGTTCTTTCTATGAATGAATGATGTAGAAGCACTGTCCATGCATGTTTCCTTGTCAGTAACGATATATTTCATTGCACAACAATTAGTCTATCAGGCTTTTTTAGCACAAAAAAAAAAGAGAAGTCACGGTTTAATTTATTATTTGATTATTTTTACATTTCACATATACCGCTGCGCATGAACTAAGCTGTTAAATGATCGGCGTATGAGGCGGCTAGGCTAAGCTAGCTTTAATATTGATTAGATTATTTTCTAATCGGTTGCGTATTAAGTCGTGAATATACCCCTATAATGCATGCTGCTGCCCTTTTTTTCTGGCTTTCTCAGATATCTCACCTGTTCAACAAAAATGACTAATTATATCGCTGGGAATGTCTGACACTGGCGCATACATATTGTAATAGACATGCCAGGCACGAATGCTTGACAGGCGTACCAACAGTAACTAAGGAGGGCGGGGCTTAGCGAAGGGTCAATTGCCAAGATAATTTCACACAAAATGAGTCTAGAGTCATATTTTTTTCAAGCATTTTTTGAGGAATAATAGCTAGTATAACACTTTTTGTTTTCTGAAAAAAAAGTGTTTTGGTGAATAAAGAGGGAGCAAAATTTACCACACTTTATGACTAAATAGACAAAAAGTGTACAGTAGTTTAAAGCATTTTTTATGAATTATAATGAAATATGCTGCTGCTGTATTTTTAATGTTTTGATAATATTTCACAGCAGGTCCTGTGTTCACAACACTGCACAATGTCACCTAATTTTAACCTGATCTCTTCCCATTTACTGCAGTCCATAAATTTCTTCCTATTTTGTTCTGAATTGTACTCATCTGCATTTCTAGTGTGCTTGATGCTGGAAACCTGAGCCCTTCCCCCACTCCGCACTGAGCAATCTTGAGTCACTGGTGTGTTTTATTTTAGTCGCAGATCAATTCAGCCCTGCAGCAGTATCAACAGCAGCAGCAGCAACAACAGCAGCCACCTCAAGCCCCCCCGCCACAACCTCCACCCCAACAAACACTCTACAATGTCCCACATCAGGTACAAACACTCACCTCCTCGTTCACATTGACCTCTAGCATTTCTGAAGCTATAGCTGATGCCCTGGACTCAAGTATTGGTCTTTGTGATATCTTGTGCATTTCACAAGGTCATGTGTTTGATTCCCATGCTGTATATTTTGCTAAGTTGCTTTTGCTTGAATGCACTGTAAGTCTCTCCGAATAAAAGGGGCCGTCAGGGTCATAAATGTGTGCGCTTTGACAGAGAAGCTAAAAGGACTGCAGTCGATGGAGCAGTTATTTTAAAGAGGGCAAGTACTGCAGTGCATCAGTGTCTGTTTGCATTATTTAACACTCAGCATTCATCTCCACTTTTCGTAGATGTTTTAGGCCATTTGGTCCACATACTATATCAGTGTAGAATTATCTGTTCTGCCTTTATTTAATTGTGGGTTTTGAAAAGTTGTTCGGGCTGGTAATCTATTTTAAAGCTGCCTTTAAAAGTGAGAAAAATTCTTTGATAGTCAATAGTGAAACATCATGCTCAAGTTAAAGTATTATTATTTGCCAAAAAATGTAGTGCGAGAAAAAATATTTGTACTAAAAAATATGAGTATAATATGAGTAGTCCTTCTAAAATTACTCGAGTAGTGAGTATTACGCTGTAAAAATTAATTTATCCATGTTTTACACAGCGGATGCTCTTCCAGCTGCAACCCATCACAGGGAAACACCCATACACCCTCAATCACACACTTGCACTACGGCCAATTTAGCTTACCCAGTTCACCTGTACCACATGTCTTTGGACTTGTGGGGGAATCCGGAGCACCCGGAAGAAACCCACGTGACCACATGGAGAACATGTAAACTCCACACAGAAATCCCAACTGACTAAGCCGAGAGGCTGGAACCAGCGACTTTTTTGCTGTGAGGCGATTGTTCTATCCACTGCGCCACCGCGTCGCCCCATTCATAGATTATACATTTTTAAATATGAGAATATTTGCATGCAAAAATACATTACATTAATATATGCACCTCTAACAGGCTGAGAGAAAGCAGGTTGATGTATTTACATGTGGAGCGAAATCTGTGTAAACTAAGGGGCAAAAATCTAGCTGTGATGAAATGTTGACACTTAGGCCCAATCCCAATTGTACCCCTTAGCACTTCCCCCTTACCCCTACCACTCGTTTTGCGCGTTCCCGTAAAGGGTAAGGGTGTCCCAATTCTCTTTAGCTTGAAGGCTAAGGGGAAGGGGTAGATAGCCCTTCAAATAGAAATTTTTCAGGACTACACTGGAAACCGAGGGATAAGAAAATTTCCCAGAATACACCAGCCACAACGGCAAGATAGTTGCACCCAGAAGTAAGGAGATCCACAAATTTGTATTTTTTTGTAATTATTATGAATTTTTACAACAAACAAGCACATGTTTTAATTGATTCACAACGGCGTTCGTGTTTTACCGTCATGCTTAAAAAAAAAACCTGCTAAAATAAAAACCGCTAAATTTTACTTCCAATAATCCCTAATAATTCCTCCTGTACAGCATTCCCACAACATTCTGTCACTCGATGACACACGAATACCCTGTCAGAAAAGTCTAGTGGCTGGGAATAAGCTTTTTACAGCATTTTCTATAATGTTAATATTGTTTTCATGTGTTTACATGGCCACTGAATACATGGATGAATATGGCCACTGTGTAAATGCGCAGTATAGTTACAATCTTATTGCTACATTATATTGTTATGATAACATAATATATGCCTTCAGTGATTTCCTGAAGATAAAAACAAAAAAAAACACACAACTGGAATCACTACAGCAGTTGCGATTGTCTGATCTCAAATGAAGCATGAGATTGCGATTGCATATAATGACATGTGCAGATGCTGTAGTGCTGTCCCATTTCTTAGAAGTAAATTTTGAAGCCCTTCCCCTTCACACTCTGTTTTAGGGGCCATGGGGAAGGGGTAGGGGTGCAAAAATAGAATTTGGATTGGGCCTTAGATTTTGCATTTTGAACCCTGACAAACAAGTGTCTGCCAGTTGGCGCTGCAAACCAAGTTTCTGCAGCACTGCTACAATATGTGTGATTTGTGCATGTATTTGAAAATGTAACATTCTGTAGTGCGTTTTGATATTGTTTTTAGGCTATTTTTGGATTTCAGTCAACATACAGTAGGCTCTTCAGTAACATGCAGTCTAAACAGTTTCTCTGTCATTGCATGTAATGGTTTTGCATCTTCTTGAACACTTTAAATGCTTCCACACTGTACAAACCTGACAAAAGTCTCTTCGTAGATCAAAGTTGTAAGAGCAACAAATAATAACTTGACTTCTAGTTGAACATTTGGAAAAGTGTCTGAAAGTAGATTTTTCTGATGAATCATCTGCTGAGCTGCATCCCAATCATTACAAACACTGCAGAAGACCTGTTGGAACCTTGCATGGACCCAGGATTCTCACAGAAATTAGGATAATTTATATGATGTATAATTTAAAAAAATTATAACTAATGTGCAATTTCTTCATTTATTTATTGTTTTACAGCTTCCACAACCCCAGCAAGCGCTGCTATCACAGGTACACTGTGTTTCCAGTATTGCATTTTCATCATCATATTTATGTGTTTTTTTTGGTCTCATCATTTTAAATGTGTGAAAAAAGCAAGAGATTTCTTAACACTGCCAGATATGAGCAATATATTTTCTAACAGTGGTTCTGTGTTTATTTTTCAGCCCCCTGTCGCTTTGCCCACCAGTCTGAGCCTGTCCAACCCTCAGCAGACGGCACAGATAACGGTGTCATACCCGACCCCTCGCTCCAGCCACCAGCAGCAGACGCAACCCCAAAAACAGCGTGTTTTTACTGGGGTCGTCAGCAAGCTGCATGACACTTTCGGCTTTGTTGATGAGGATGTCTTCTTCCAGCTCAGGTTCGTTATTGTTCGTTGACTATGTTAGTGCCACAGCCATATCACCCTGCAACACAAGACCGGTTACTCACTGAAGCTAAGCAGGGCAGAGCCTGGTCAGTACCTAGATGCGTGAACACATGGAAAAACTAGGTTGCTGTTGAAAGTAGTGTTAGTGAGGCCAACAGGGGGCGCTCAACCTGTGGTCTGTGTGGGTGCTAATGCCCTAGTAATAGTGAAGGGGACACTATACTGTCAGTGGGCGCCCTCTTTCGGATGAGACACTAAACCTAGGTCCTGACTCTTTGGTCATTAAAAAATTTCATGGCACTTCTTATATAGTGTAGGGGTGTAACCCCGGTGCCCTGGCCAGATTCCCTCCATTGGCCCTTACCGATCATGGCCTCCCAATTATCCCCATCCACCGAATTGGCTCTATCATTAGCCGCGTTTCCACAATCGCGCTTAAAGCGAGCGAGCCAAGGCCAGTCGCGTTTCCACTGTCACTTCCGGGGCCTAATCGGGCCAAATCAGGGCTTTCTTGGGGCCAGCAGCTGGCCTTTTTCGGCCCGCCGAATACCTTGGGCCAAAGAGGGCCAACTGGGGCTTCGGGGCGGAGTGAAAGGAGCGGCGAAGTGCTGACACATCTTTCCGATCGCACACGAGTATGCGCCAAACAAATAAATAAATTAGGGAAAGAAAACATCTAGTCTTATAGGCTGGGGTCTTTTTGCGTATGATCACCCTGTTTACCTTTTAAATGTAAGGCTCTTGCATAAAATAATAAAGTTTTCATTTATAAGTGGCTTTTCTTTGCTGCGTCCTCCTTGATGTTTCAATAACGCATAATAATCTTTACACCATATTAAACACAGCAGACGGTAAAGGTTTTTAAGAGTTTTTGTCAAGTTTTAAAAGTTTTTTTGTGCGTGTTTAGATTCCTATATGTGTGTGAGACTGAGCAAAGGAGCGCTCCCTTCACAGCTCTGTTGATGCCGTGCGGCTTTTTTCTTTGTGTTATTTATTTTTGAGATAATACACAATATGAATACAGCAGAAAGACATGAAACTTTACATATTTCGTGTCCACTTTGGTAGGCTCAAAACAATAGTGTCAGCTCTTTATAAAATAGCCTAAGCTATATTGAAATAATTTTAAGAATTACAAATATAGGATATAATAAAATCGCATTAAATAAATAAACCAATATAAAACTAACAAAAGCTAAACCAATTTTGGAATATACAATAAATCAAATCATTTTAAAGCCATATTAAACTTTCATTTTACAAAGGTCTATCTGAAAAAAAGATTTTAGATGTTTTCTAAAAACAATAAACACAGAAGAAGGTTTAAAATATTATTTATTAAGTATTTGGATACGATGATAATAATCAAATCATGCAAACAGAGCATTTTTAGGGTGAGTGAAAGCAGAAACTAGGCGACCTTTTTTCTTTTCTTTTATCTTTTTTTCTTAAATACATGAAGAGCTTTAGTTTATAGCTGCTGAGCGCAATGAAACATAGACAATATTTTATTGCATTTATGTGCTGAAATACTGAACACTTTCCCTTAAATAAAGGGGAATCACCTAAGTGTCTGATAGCCTATAGGAAAAAAATTAATGTTTCAGGTCGTTCCGGAGCATTCGGGCTGAATGTTTGACGGCGTCTATGTAAACGATGATGTTATAAAATACATTTTCTTTTTTTGTTTCATTTTTCTATCTTTATTAACGGAGAATGTCTGTGGTTTTATATTATGGATTGATGCGCTCACTGCGCTGGGTACCTCTGTTAGTGGCGAGACCACTCGATTTCGATGCCAACTGTCGGTTGGTGAGTAAAAGAATATGATGAATGAGAATACACAGGCCTGTGCGTATAGACATATAATGCAATGCTGAAAAGTAACGTGTCATTTGTTTGTTTCAGTTGTCTTTATTTGAATGGTTTCGTGATGATTCCATGGTGTGCTTTATCTGCCTGATTCCCGCTGAAGTGGGCGGGTTGTGTGATGTTTTGATTAGGGGGACGTTCTTGGGGCGGGGTTTGCATGACGCGCTGCGAGCTACTAGCCCGACAGTGGAAACGCGACATGATTTTGGCCTCACTGCTCAACCTTCCGGGCGATTGGCCCGGCTCGGCCCGATTAAATCCCTGGCTCGCACTGGCCCGACAGTGGAAATGCCGCTATTGTCTCTCCACTCTCCCAATAGCTGGTGTGTGGTGATTGCACTGGCGCCATTGTCCTGTGGCTGCACACTGATGAGGGTGGTGTAGAATATTAAGTAATGTATAAAGCATCCTTTTCCATCAAGATATTTTGACTTGTGTCCAGTACATCAAAGGCTGCATTTACACTGCCGATCTTGATGGTCAATTTCGATTTTGTGAATGTACCCGATTTTTTTTGATGACCTGCTTGCATCATCTTTTAAAAGTGACTCGTATCTGATTGTCTGCATTTACAAAAAAAAAGACCTTGTGCTGACTGACAGCTGATAATTAAAGATTGCCCTTTTCTCCATTCCAGTATTTAATCTGTTTACAGGGTTTAATTTTTTTAAATTCTTTTTGACAAGCTGTTTTTCTATGGTTTTCGTTTGGCCATCTTCTTTTAATCTAGGCTTTTTTTTTTTTTTTACCAGATTTATGCACGTGATGAATGCAAAAGTTTTATATTTATATTGGTTAGGTTAAGTATATTACCCTGTCTCTCTCTCTCTCTCTCTCTCTCTCGTTAACATGCTTAAATAGGTGTGCTACAAGTCTGTTCTGAAATGAAAGTGTCAGACTTGATGTTATTTGCTATGGTTTTTAATGATGTGTGACTCGCATTGACAGGTGAAAATCCAATCTACCTGCTTACACTGCAGACACGAGGACACAGATCCCATTGATATCGGATAAATTTCCACATATCAGCAAAGCCTGAATCTGATTTAAGTAAATCGCAATCCATGTGGTTTGTTCCTGCTTACACGTACACGGGCCATTTCCGATCTGTGCTTCATGGGAGAAAAAATCGTAATTGAGTCACTTGAACCATGCAGTGTAAATGCAGCCAAAGTGTCAAAAGTAAAACCAGCATAACCGTTTTTTGTTACATCAGCTAAAACCTGAAAATGCCATGTTCAGTCAATAATTTTTGCCAGGAAAAAATTTGGTGCATCCTTAATCTTATGCTTTATTTAAATTGGCCAGCTATTTGTTGCCTTTAAAGGCGTTGTTTTGTGTTTTTGCAGTGCGGTCAAGGGGAAAACACCCCAAGTCGGTGACCGTGTCCTGGTGGAGGCCGTCTACAATCCCAACATGCCTTTCAAATGGAACGCTCAGCGCATTCAAACCTTACCTCAGCTCCCCAACCAAACGGTAAGTAAAGCTACAGTCTGAACAGATCATCAATCTAACAGTCTGATACGGTTCTGCGTCCACAGTGTCATAATAATGATGATGATGCTGCTGTTGATTCCTGTGTTCTCAATCTCCATGTAGCACCAGCCGCCTCAGCCCTTACCTCAGGTTTCCCCACAGCTGTCCAGCTTTTACACTGACGCAGGAATGCAACGCTACTCTGATTTACACTCGGCGGTGGATTCAAGACAAAATGTAACCCACGCCACTTGACCCCCCCTCCCCCCGCGCCTCATTCTTTCCTCCTGCTCTTTATCTTCTGCTTGATTGCTCCTTCACTCTTCTGTTTCACAAAATGTGTCCTTGGGTTTCTTTCCTTTTGCCCAAGACAAGCTGTTGCTGCTTTTTCACTCCTCCCTGTATTACAGCTCACGGCTTGTATGTTGGAGTAGTAATTCAACTTTTTTTTTCTCTCATAATCCTTTCATTCCCTTTTTTAGCTAATCGGCACTGGCTGTTCTTTGATACAAATAGTTTACTTGAAAATTAAAGTTACTTTATTTGCCCTCAGGCCTTTTTTTGTACAGTAAAATGTTAGATTTTTTAGGTGAAACTTTGGTTGTTGGTCATTCACAAAAATATAAGCGGAGTTTGAGAGTTAAAACATACTGTATTAAAGAGCCCATATTATGGGTTTTTGAAAATTCCCCTCCATGTAGTGTGTAACACAGCTCTAAGTGAAGCGAAGTATCCAGCTAAGGCTTAAATCTGTAAGAATACAGTGTTTAAAACGGTTGATTCATCTATAAAAGAGTCGACTCATAGTGCTTCAAACGAGTCGCCTTGATACCGACTCATTAGGTGTTTCGCCATGACGTACGAACGAAACCAAGTTATTCACGTGCACGCGCAAACCCGGGAGATTTCAAACCTGAGGCCCCGCCCTCTGACGCAGAAACCCAGACACACACACACACCCACAAACACACGCACACCCACAAACACACGCACACAAACATGCCGGTCGATTGAAGTCACACTGCAGATGGATATATTGAGTCTCTACCCAAAGATGAAACCTCAGCATTATAACCAAGCAGTTGGAAACTTCTGGAAGCTACATGCTACAAAGAATACTTCATCTGAGTTTGTTAAAGGAAGGATCAGTAAAGAGTAACTGATGGACGTCAGGATGGGTTTCTTCCATTTCTCAAGTGTAAGTACGTGCGGTTAAAGTTGTTGCCTCGTTTACTCTTGCTTGCAAATGTATTTAGTTGTGATTTGTTACTTGTAACCGCGTGTACTGTATCAGGTTAACTGGATATTTTATCTTATCGCGTGCAAAGTCACGTTAAAAACGCGACGCGTGCTGTTTGTTTATGGAGCTCCGTGCTAGAGTTCTGCTCCCGCGATTTATTCGGAAATTTATTCCCACGCCGCAGAAATCTGGCGCGGGGACAGCCGCGGGAATAAATTTCCGAATAAATCGCGGGAGCGGTCGGTAACGGGTTTAATTTGGGACGGGAGCGGGCTGTCTAGCAATATCACGGATATTGCTATGCGAATTAGAAAGAGAGAGTCTGCGTGGTGCTTGTGTGTGTGTTAGTGCGCACGCGCGCGTATGAGAGAGAGAGAGAGAGAGAGAGAGAGAGAGAGAGAGAGAGAGAGCGAACGAGCGAACGAACGAACGAACGAACGACAGCTTGGCTGTCTGGACTGTATACTGGGTGATTTTTGGTTGTGTTCTCCGCTCTAGCGGGACCGGGCGCGGCGGGCAGAAAACGGAGCGGGTTCTCAGGCTAAAACCTGGCGGGTGCGGGCGGAAGCGGGAGCGTTGTCATCCGGAGGTGTGTGTGTGTTTTTGTGTGTGTGTGGTATGGCCAGTACACGACTGTCTCCTTCGTTCGGTTATCCGTGGCACTATCCACTCGCCATAGTGTGGCAGCTAAAATCCACGTCTGCACTATCGAGCGTGTATGAACTGTGATTACTTTTTAAATTGCTGATTAGCTATTGGCCATTTCCCTCTCTGACTGAAGGCAGTCGACCAATCGCGACAGACTGTCATCGGTCCAATCAGCGCAGATTAGCTCCGCGCTAAGGAGGGGTTTGGGAACAAATGAATCACTGGACGATTCATACAGGAGTCGCTGGGATAATTAGGTAAAAATAAATGCAGATTATAAGACCATGAAAGTGTTTTTTGACCTTGCATGCATATTAGACTGTTGTTGGAGACCCTTACAACCAGGATATGACCCTATTTCATGTATAATATGGGCTCTTTAATGCAAAACTAAATAAATTCCCAGAACTCCAGTTGATATTGTTACCTGTGGGTTTCAGATTATTGTTTGTAGAGGCTGTGGAATAAAAGTTTAAAGTTCCCGTGAAATTAGGTAAAATACTTTTAGTTTCAATAATGTTAGTTTCAGTCTGTTAGTTTTAAGGATATCTATTAGATAGTGTGCAAATTAGCATTTTGGAAAATATAAAACTGATATAAGTATCCAAACGTACAATTTGTCACCTCCGCCTAAATAGATTTTTTTTTTATGTGACCTCATATTTCAGTTTCTCATCAAATCCAATTGACCCTTCTCTAAGCCCCGCCCTCCTTAGTTATTGTTGCTATGCCTGTCAAGCTTTAATGCCTTGCACGTCTATTACAATACATATGTTCCGATGTCAGACATTCCCAGAGATATAATTAGTCATTTTTGGTGATTGGGTGAGATATCTGAGAAAGCCAGACAAAAAAGGACTGCAGTATGCATTACAGGTGTATATTCACGACTTAATACGCAACCGATTAGAAGATAATTTAATCAAAATTGAAGCTAGGTTAGCCTAGCTGCCTCATATGTTGACCATTTAACAGCTTAATGTTAATTTAAGCCTGGCAGGAGTGGTGAAATTAAAAAATAATCTAATAATAACAAATTAAACCATGATTTCTCAATTTTTAGCCAAAAAGCCTGATAGACTAGTGTTGTGCAATGAAATATAGTGTTACTAACTGACGAGGAAACACGGATGGACAGTGCTTCTACATAATTCATACATATAAAGAGCAGCCAGAAAGGGGAAACTGATGGATTTGTGCCAAATATTAGCATCATTGACTCATAACAATGTACAGTATGTATAACTGTCAGCATGTTTGTGTAATTTTTATACAGTTTCTATTCTAATTTGCAGTTAAGTGGAAAAAATAAATACATTGAAATGTAAATTATGCAAATTTAAAATGCAAATTCCAGCAAATATTAATTAGACACCAAATAAAAAGGCAGACACTAACCTGGTATAATGCCATCACCAATGACTACATTTCTAAAAGACTGATGAAATCATCGATGAATTGTAGCTCTGACATGGCTATGAGGGTTATAAATGACTGAAAAACTGCTGCGGGTGATGTATATTTATCGCAAGTTATCAGATTGTGATCACATGACTGTTTTGTTCTGTTGTTATGCAATTTCAAATATTCCTAGTTTAGAACGGATGGAAAATGATTGCTATTAGTATGACTACTGTTGTGGCTTAAACAGAGCAGTGCTCTGTTTATCAAGTTAAAAAAAAAAAAAAAACAGCTGTGAAACATAATCTGCTTTGTTTTTTTTAAGAAAACACAATTTAGATATTTTAAGAGGTTTGTGATTTATTGCCTTCTATCAGTGACTGTTTACATGGACACCAAAAATTCGATTTTAATGCGATTAAGACAATACTCTGATTAAGAGTCGACCATGTAAACAGCGATTTTTGATTAATTTAATCAGATTAAGGTCGAACTAAAGAGAAATCAAATTAAGACGGGTGGACTATGCCGATTTTTTTTTTTTTTTTTTTTTGCATTATTAAAGTGCACTACAGACGTGTAAACACCTTAATCAAACTATTACCGTCATGTAGGGCTTTTTGACGCGTTTTGCAACAGGATAGTCCATACACATACATACACACACATACACACACACATATGGCTGTTTGACACTCTTTGCACCTACCGAGTCAGGGCAGACCACAGACAACTGCATCATGAAATGCGTAGCTTTTATTTTTCTTCCATTCAGCATGCGGTATGAACTTTCATTAAAACATAACTCTTTCAGCAGTTCATAGTTGCATCCAATATCTCGTTTGTCACGGGGAACATGCCCGAATGAAAGTGAAAGTGCCAAACCGCAGTTGACAAATTAATAATGAAACACCTGAAATTACATGAAACTTCTGAGGAAATGCGGATAGCGTGGTGACACAATGATGTTAATCTAAGTATAACATAACTATAACATGTAAAACGCGATCATGAATCAGATTTGCACAATCCATATGCACAACGCTTTGACTTGTTTTCCTTGAAAGCTTGACAGGCCTCCTGCATGTAGTTACGGTTGCTAAGCCACGATTAGTGTGTGGTTTTCATGTGTTTCTTAGCGAAGGGTCAATTTGACCAATCAAGTACTCACATGCTCCGCACCCTTCAAGAAACTTATCATTTGCTTTTCAATTGATGCGCTTAAGTTCAACCACTCTCACCCAAAATCAGTCAAAAAAAAGAAAACTCACATTTTACCGTACACCACACTGCTATAATGCCAAAATAACCACGCCTTTAACTTCTCTCTTGTAAAAATCACTTGGAGTTTCAATGAGATTGTAATAATTACACACAAGCACCCGCCAAGCAAGCACTGAAACACCTTTGAAAAAACTAGTGTATGATAAATGTTCATATTTTAGAGACATGGCGTGGGAAAATGTAACTTAATGGAGTGCTATTTGTACAGTCTGAGACCCACTTTATATCGTATATCAGTCAGGCAGCAGGGGTGGTTCATTTTTAAAGAAAACACACTTTAAACACTCAGATTTTGTAACTGCATACAGGTCATTGAAAGCACTCGCACCAGGTTACTGCAATACTTTGGCATACTTGTGCATATATTCTATGGTGTCAAACATCTGATTAAAAAATTCACATTTCAAAGCACTTTGCGGGACCTTTAATGATGTAAATTATGTTTCTTGCACAGAGTGACCATTTTTCTTTATTTTATTGTGTTGCCTGGAACACAACATATATGCCAGAAACAATGAGTATTAGTTTTGTTTTTCCTGCAAGTTATTTTTTGTTTTTACTCTTTACTAAGTGTTGGTAGCCATTGACTTGCAATTTATGAATCACCAAGGGTCACAGTTTGAGATACAAATCTTTTTGTCTAAAGAAATGGCCTAAGGGTTTGTAAATTACCTGCAAAATATTATTTTACATACATAATTGGAAATTCTATTTGCAGCAATTCTTTGATATCCACAGCAATTATTTAAAGAAACCTATATTTGTACTTTTTTGTAGTTTTATATTAAACTTTTGAAACTTTAGCTTAAGTATAACCTAATTACAAATTTATAGAATTTTTTAAATTCTTTTTTTTATTTTTGTTAGTGCCGCTTTTTTATTTATTGCTTATTATAAGAAGTAATTAATAGTGATTAAGTGCACTTATGATATTTTTGACATGTCTATATGCGGACACAAATGTCACACTGTGCCAGTGATGATAAAATAAAAGTTTTTTTGTCTTATGTAATTAACAACAGTTGTAAGACATTAACTATGTTTACATGGACATCAGTAATCAAATTATTTGCTTTAATCTGAATAAGACAATTATTTGATTAAGGTGTTTACATGAGTTGCTTTTTGAATGTTCCCCATTTTACATGTTATTGCACATGCTATATAGCACCGTGCTATTCACATTTTATCTGAGTTGCATGTAATTTCGAGTGTTTTATTTTTAATTTGTTGACTGTAACTGCAGTTTGGCACTTTCTTTTGGGAACATTTCATGCATGCCTCCAGTGACAAACAAGATATTGGATGGGAGTATGAACTGCTGGAAGAGTGTTGTTTTAATTTGATACCACACGCCGTATGGGAAAAATTATTCTTTGCATTTTGCAATGCAGGTGTCTGTGGTCAAACAGCGTTTTGTGTAAGGGCTATCCAATCGCAAAATGCGGCGAAAATCCTACCTGACGTTAATAGTTTGATTGCCACGTTTACATGGCTGTACTGCACTTCAATAATGCAACTAAAATAAGCATACTCCACGTCTTCATTTGTTTTCTGTTTAGTTTAATTATGACCTTAATCAGAGTAATGAAAAATAGCTGTTTACATGGTAGATTCTTAATCAGAGTATTGTCTTAATCATATTAAAATTGAATTATTAGTGTCCATGTAAACATACTCATTGTCTCCTTTTGAAAGTCCAAAATGCTTGCTTTCTTTTAAAACAACGTGCCTTTTTTAGTGTTTTTTTTGTTGTTTTGTTTTGTTTTTCTTAAAACAAAATCTATTGTCTTTCAACAGGGGCCAAAAGTGGTAAATGGTAACAGCAGTGCTTCAACTTCCTCTCTCTCCAGCTCTTTCTAATCATTTTCTTTTATTTTCACTGGGTTTAGTGCTCCTTCATTACTCATTTAGGCACTTTTTCCTCCCATCCATTAAAATGGTTATCTAAACCTGTATTGGAGATGGCCTTTTAATAGGCTCTGGTTGTATGCCGTTAAGTACGATATGCTTAAAGGGGTAGTTCACCCAAAATAAACACATAGGCCCAATCCCAATTCTACCCCTTAGCCCTTCCCCTTGTCCCAATTCTCCTTAGCTTGAAGGCGTAGGGCTAAGAGGAAGGGGTAGATACCCCTTCGAAAGGAGATTTTTTTTCGAACACACTTGAAACCAAAGGGTAAGAAAATTTCCCAGAATACACCAGCCACAACGGCAGTATAGCTGCACCTGGAAGTAAGGAAATCCACATATTAGTATTTTCTGTCATTATTATTAATTTTTACAACAAACAAGTGCATGTTTTAATATATTTATTGTATAATGGCGTTCCGGTTTTACCATCATAAAAACCTTCTTAAAAAAATGCTAAAATAAAAACCGCAAAATTTCGCTATCTATAATACATAATAGTAACTCCTGTATAGCAGTCCCACAACATTCTGTCAGAAAAGTCTAGTGGCTGGGAATGAGCTTTTTACAGTGTCTGCCATAATGTTAATTTTGTTTTGATTATTTCCACTCTGTAAATGCACAGTACAGTTAAGATCTTATTTTCACATTAGATTGTTATGATAACATAATATATGCCTTCATTGATTTACTGAATATAAATACCAAAACATAACGCAACTGGAATAACTATCGCAGTTGCAATCGTCTGATCTCATATGAAGCAAGAGATGGCGATGACATAGTTGAAGTCAGAATTATTAGCCCCCCTTTGAATTTTTCATTCTATTTTAAATATTTTCCAAACAGTGTTTAACAGAGCAAGGACATTTTCACAGTAAGTCTGATAATATTTTTTCTTCTGGAGAAAGTCTTATTTGTGTTATTTCAGCTAGAATAAAAGCAGTTTTGAATTGTTTAAAAACCATTTTAAGGTCAAAATTATTAGCCCCTTTAAGCTATATATTTTTTTCGATACTCTACAGAACAAATCCTCATTATACAGTAACTTGCCTAATTACCCTAACCTGCCTATATAACCTAATTAACCTATTTAAGCCTTTAAATGTCACTTTAAGCTGTATAGAAGTGTCTTGAAAAAATATTAAAATATTTACTTTCCTCATGGCAAATATAAAGTAAATTAGTTATTAAAAATGAGTTATTAAAACTTTTCAGTTTAGAAATGTGTTGAAATAATCTCTCAACAGAAATTGGGGAAAAAAATAAACGGGGGGATGGGGGCTAATAATTCTGACTTCAACCGTATGATGACGTGTGCAGGTGCTGTAGTGCTGTCTCATATCTTAGGGGTAAATTTTGAAGCTCTTCCCCTTCACACTCAATTTTAAGGGCCAAGGGGAAGGGGTAGGGGTACAAAAATCGAATTGGGTTTGGGCCTTACTTGCCATTTACTCACCTTCAAGTTTTCTTATTCAGTTGAACACAAGAAAATATTTTGAAGAAAGCTGAAAACCTGTAATCGTTTACTTAAAAGCAAATACCGTGAAAGTCAATCGTTACATGTTTCAACTTTTCTTTAAAATATCTTCTTTTGTGATCAACAGAAGAAAGAAAATCAAACAGGTTTAGAACAAGTAAAGGATGAGTGAATTTTCAGCTTTAGGTGAACTACCCCTTTAAGGTTTTTTTTTTTTTTTACTTATCTGAAGTAGGGGCGTTGCGTTTTACACTGTGTTATTGAATAATGTTTTTTTTTTTTCAAATACGTTTTGTAGATGTTTCAAAGTTTTGGATTTTCATACTCTTTTCTGAAATAGGCTTCAAAGAAAAAAATTGTATTCTTGAAATCATGGTAAAACGGTCAAATTGTGAAATATAGTAACAGTTTATAAGTTTTAAATGTATTGTAAAATATTCTTTTTGTGTTAGTAAAGCTTGAGTTTTTAGCATCACAACAATGTTAAGTATATTTCCAAAAACATTTTTTTTACTTTTATTAATTAAAGAAAAAATTAATTTTATTGCTGAAAGGAATAATTTCTTGTTCGTTGAAATTTTTGGCCCCAAACATGAATTATGAGAATTTTATCATAAATGTTGGAAAACGGCAACACGGTGGCACAGTAGGTAACGCGTTCACCTAACACCAAGAAGGTCGCTGGTTCAAGCTTCAGCTGGGTCAGTTGGCATTTCTGTGTGGAGTTTGCATGTTTTCCCTGTGTTGGCATGGGTTTCCTCCGGGTGCTCCAGTTTCCCCCGCAGTCCGAAGACATGCGCTATAGGTGAATAAATATATATATTTATAGGTGAATTGTCCGTAGTGTATGTGTGTGAATGAGAGTGTATGGGTGTTTCCCAGTGATGGGTTGCAGCTGGAAGGGCATACGCTGCGTAAAACATATGCTGGATAAGTTGGTGGTTTATTCCGCTGTGGCGACCCCTGATTAATAAAGGGAATAAGCTAAAAAGAAAATGAATGAATGAATGATTAAATGTTGGAAAGCAGAGAATTGCCCAGCTTTAATCTTTAGCATTTTTATGCGTTATAAAGTGGTTGTGCATACTTGCAACCTGTCTCTTCTGCTCCATCTTTTCTTTTTCAGAGCCAGCCACAAGTCCCGAATATGATGAAACCAGGTCCCACCATGCTTCAGTCTCTACCCCCACCCACCACATTCAGTGTCCCAGCACAGGGGCCTCCTCCATCTCTCCTGCAGGCCCAGCTCTCCGCTGCATCTCTGGCTCCTCTCCTGCAGAACCCACCGCAGCCACTGCTGCCCCAGCCACCCCCTAAAGGTACATCAACCCCTCAGCCATTACCAGAGACATGCTGTAGTGGATTGACTGGTTAGGGCAGGGGTCCTAAAGGGCTGTTGTCCTGTTGAGTTTAGCTCCAACTTGCTTCGACACACCTGCCAGGAGCTTTTTAGTATATCTAGTAAGTGCTTGCTTAGCTGGTTCAGGTGTGTTTGATTATGTTGATGAGCTAAACTCTCCAGGACACAGGTTTGGCCACCCCTGGGTTAGGAGTTCCAACTTTTATATTATTGATATATAAAGATATATAAAAATTTGTTTCAAAACTATTTCTAAATTTAGTTCTAATTTCCAGCAAATGAATAAATGAACAATAATATGTAGAGTTTTATCCAAACACACGTCCTGTGCTCCACATGGTAAAAAACCTGACAGGTGGACAAATCTAAGCTTTTTAATAAAACAAATATAAATATGTCTATAATATATAGTACTACTACTATTAATAACATTATACAAGTTGCATTATTCAAGTTATCATGAATAAACTTAAAAAAGCCCCCTGGCATCTGAAGAATTCTCAAACAATAAGAAACAAATTTCTTTGGTCTGATGAGACTAAAGTTGAACTCTTTGGAGTTAATGCCAGGCGTTACGTTTGGAGAAAATAGTCACCGCTCATCACCAGGCTAATACCATCCCTACAGTGAAGCATGGTGGTGGTGGCAGCATCATGCTGTGGGGATGTTTTTCAGCAGCAGGAACTGGAAGACTAATGAATGAATGAAAACCTGCTTCAGAGTGTTTTTGACCAGACAGGTGTACCAAGCTTGTGGCATCATATTTAAAAAGACTTGAGGTTGTAATTGCTGCGAAAGGTGCATCAGCAAAGTATTGAGCAAAGGCTGTGAATACTTATGTACATGTGATTTTTCAGCTTTTTATTTTTAATAAATTTTCAACAATTTACTTTTTTTAATTTTATTTCACATTGTCATTATGGAGTATTGTGTGTAGAATTTTGAGGAAATAAATTAATTTAATTCATTCTGGAATAAGGGAGTAACATAAAAAAAGTGAAGAGATATAATTTTTTTCCGGATGCACTGTAGACTGTAAAATAAAATGGGCTTTTAGTTTAGTTTACATTTTTAAAAAGGTTTATTGTTATTTTCCCCAATTCAATTGAATACCCTTGTAAGGAAATAGTAATGGTTGCCTAGGCACAGACTTTCTGCTTACCTTTTTTAAATAATAAATCTACTTCTGTTTTCGTGAAATAAGCTGCTCCTGAGCATGTTTGAGTGTACAGCTTCAAAGAACCAAACAATCCTGGATCATTTAAAAATCTAGCTAATGCCAAGTTCAGACTGCATGATTTTAGTCCCGATTTTGACTCACCAACAGGTTTTGAGAAATCGCAGACAAATGCTTGAAATCACAGGTAAATCAGTGCTCGTTCATGTTAGTAACAATCACAGTGTGAACTATCAATGACGTCATCTGGAGAATTGCAGATGGGTCGCAGATGCCTGTAAGATATTTGGCTAAATATCTGGACCTGTCTGCGATTCAAATCAATGCGTGTGAAATGTGTTCTGGGTGAAAATGACATCAGCAATCACCTACAGCCCATCAGAGAGCGGCATCCACTAGTGTGGGTATCTGCAGGCCAGCGGGAGGATGAGGGAGAAGTTGAAAGGACTTCTTTTTAGTCTAATTGGTCCCAAGAAATGGAGGAAAAACTATTGTAAATTTGGCAGGAGCACCCGTGTCCGATTGACATGTCATTTGGGCAATATCACAACCGGGTCACAAAATAAAAAATTTAAGCCGGGTGGGCAAAATAAGTACATTTTCTACCCCACTAAAGGCTTCTTTCTCATTATGTGGTTAATAACAAAATATATGCTACGTGACCTCACGTTTTTTCCATGTCAGTTCTCGCGTGTGTTTGGTTGTGAGATGTAGTTTGCAGACTGAGACAAAGTTGTCAGCAGTTCTCCTACTGTAAAAGCATACAGTGTGAAACCCCATGTTGCAGTGTAAACAGAGCAGTTACACGATGCCACCCCAGATAGTCATGTAGTGTGAAAACCTCCGTGACTACTTAAAATTGTGAAGTCTGAACTCGACTGAGCAGTCCATGTTTGAAAGACCCCCAGACCTGATATCCTTGCCTCTGTCTCTATGCCGCCTGCAGATTCTGTGTTTTCTGGAGGTTTGCTGCAGCCTCCAGTGCGGATGATGCCTCAGCCTCAGCAGGTGAGGCGTGTCGAGCCCTCGCCCCGCTTCCCCAACCGCAGTGACCGGCCAGAGCTCATCCTAAGGAAAGATGATCGCAGGTCAGCACTCAAACATACACCAGACTCTCAGTGCTTCTCAAGACGGAGGTGAAATTAGAAACAAATTTAGGATATTGTCAGTCTTTATTTGATGTTAATGTCCATGCTTTATTTTGCCTGTGTTTAAATAGTCGTGAAAGAGAGAGAGAGAGAAGACGATCGAGAGAACGCTCACCCATGCGGAAACGCTCTAGAGATCGCTCTCCTCGGCGAGAACGTTCACCAAGACGGCCACGCAGAGTTGTTCCAAGATATACTGTGCAGTTCTCCAAATTCTCTCTCGATGGGTAAGTTAATAAGAAATGAGTGTTGCTGAGATTGTTTGTTTTCTAGTATTTGGTTGTTGTATTGTTGGTTTATTTAGGGTTTTTTATTGTAATGTCATTTAAAAAAAAAGTTTTGATGGTTGGTTTTTAAAAAAGGGTCTTCGCTGCTACTTTGGCCTAATCCCGATTCTATTTTTGTACCCCTTCCCCATCGCCCTTAAAACTGGAAAGCAGAGATAAAGTTTTTTTTAAAACTGAGTGTGAAGGGGAAGGGCTTCAAAATGTACCCCTATAAAATGGGACAGCACTACAGCACCTGCACACAACATCATATGTCATTGCGATCTCTTGCTTCATATGAAATAAGACGGTCATGGCTGCTTTAGTTATTCCATTTGCTTTATTTTTTGGTATTTATCTTCAGGAAATCACTGAAGGCATATATTATGTTATCATAACAATCTAATGTGAAAATAAGATCGTAAATTTACACTGTGGCCATTTTCAACTATGTAAACACAATAAACAACATTAACATTATAGCAGATACTGTCAAAAGCCCATTTCCAGCCACTAGACTTTTCTGACAGGGTATTAGAGTGTCAACGAGTGTCAGAATTTTGTGGGACTGCTGTACAGGATTATGGATTATAGATAGCAAAATTGAGCGCTTTTTATTTTAGCATTTTTTTTTTAAGCATGATTGTAAAACACGAACGTGGTTATGAATATATTAAAACATTCTTGTTTGTTGTAAAAATTCATAACAATTACAAAAAATACTAATTGGTGGATCTCCTTACTTGTTGTGGCTGGTGTATTCTTGGACATTTGCTTACCCCTTGGTTTCGAGTGTGGTTCTGAAAAATCTCTCTTTCGAGGGCTATCTACCCCTTTCTCTTAGCCCTAAGCCTTTAAGCTAAAGAGAATTGCGGTAAGAGGAAAGGCTAAGGTGTAGAATTGGGATTGGGCCTAAATGTTAACGTCTTATAAAACAGTGGTCACGCCAACTTGCTACTGTAAAACAGAGCTCTGAGTTCTTATTGGTCCATTGACTTATACATGAACATTTACTCAAAGGAGGAGAACCCCCAAAATGTCAATATTGCAAACTGTTAAACATATTTTTGTGGAATGCCCTATTTTTTATGTTATCAGACTACAATTTTTTTTTCTGAATTGACTTTAAATAAAATATTTTTAAATGTGAATCCTTTTAAAATTGTACAACTTTTATCAAAAGTAAACCTTAAAAACAGTTTTAGATTTTAATCTTATATATTATCATTCTTATTATTTATATATTTTATCTTGTGTATTATTTATTGCTGTTGATAACTTTTAATTGTTAGAATATTTGTATAATTATAGAAAAGTGGTATTTATAAAATGTGGTAAACTTGATATAGTTTTTGCCATGACATTTTGCCATAAAAGCTGATATGGCAAAAAACTCAAAAGTCTCTCTCTTTGTTGATCCTTTGGCTTTGGGACTGACATTGATGGGTGATGCTGTGTGTAAAAGTTTTATTTATTTTGGCACAATGTCACACACCTCTGCCAAGTGCATGAAAAACAGATGAAAAGTAGTGCATTGGAACTGAAATATATGTTCTGTGTGAATGATCCTATAGGATTTAGCATGGGACAATAACCGGTTTCAAGGTTTATTGTGATTATGAAAATTCAAGGTTTTCAAACCGCAACAATCTTCTGTTATACCGTTTTTTTACCACTATTTTATTTAGTTTTTTTTTTAAAGCAACAGTATCACCGGGCAAAAAGGACCCTCCACATCAAAAAGCTACTGGTTAGGCCACTATTCAGGAAACATTTTAAAGCAAGTTGCTTATACACCAACATCCAAACATGCTTTGGATCTGAACAGTGCTGTTGCTTGCTTTGTATCCAAAGGAAAGAAAGATATCCAAAGATGCTTTTTCAAGTTGTAAAAAAAATCTTTGTTTTTAAAACTAATGAAGACAGTAGAATGATATATGTTTGACATAAATGACATGTTTACAGTTCCAAAATATTTTAAATGTTTCTTTAAATAAAATATATCGTGTTCAATGGGGAATAAGCTTTTTTTCCCAGACATTAAAAAAAATGTTTCAAAGCAGTACTTGCAATACGTGAAACCGTGATATTCTTATCCAAGGTTATCACACAGTCAGAATCTTATACCAGCTTTAAGCTGATTTATACTTCTGCCTGGTGAGGCATCGTGGACTTCTGCTGACTGCGTGCGCACCTCACGAAATGGATGAGGCATTTATACTTGATGCGTTCGCCATTGTGATATTCTTTAAAATGACAGGGGGTGGTCAAAAGAAACCCTCTGTAAAGTCAGACAGATAAACAGAGAAGTAGGAAGTTTCCAGAACTACGTCAAATCATTAATATCATTCAAGATTTTTAAACTAATTAATTTTGAAATATTTTTAGAATTTATTTTATTGTTTATAAAGATTTTTTTAACCATTCATGATTTTTTTTAATCAAACTTTGAGTCACTTGCTTTTGGTCATATCTCGGACAGTTTTACCTATTAAAGTTTATTAAAATACTAATGACAACATAACATGAGTTGCTCTACAAATATATATATATATATATATATATATATATATATATATATATATATATATATATTATAGCAAGAATAAAAGTCCTAAAAAAAGTACACTTACTAAAAAAATTCTGATGTTTTTTTTTTTTATTTATTTGCATTTAGCCTGTTCCACAATTGACACTTTGCTGTCTGGCTAGTTTGTGTCCTCTGCTTATACGCCAAGGTAATAATGGTCCAACATTCCTGACCATTATCACAAATAAAACCTAGAACAACAGGCCATCAGTATATTGTAAAACGATTTATAATTTGTTGCTTCATTTTAGTTTTGTAATTATTAAATCGTTTTAAATTCAAAATTGTAATGCATACATCAGTGTAAATGAATGGTGGAAAAACATATTCTGTAATTGTTTATTAAAAACACGGGTCTCCACTTTTGCATGGCCTCTCTTTTTGGTTTTAACAAACTTATCCCTCGAGTTTTTCTAAACTTAAAAACTTTCATCATATCCCACGGCTGTTGCAATTTCTAGCCTAGAATTATTGGTCCTCTGGTTCTCTCTATGATCGCGCATGGACGGATCCTAAAGGTGTGTGTACAAGCGTACCTGTTTCAGACAAAATCTCTTCAAAGTGTTTCATATTCAATTTAAATCAAATAGGGCGTCTCAAAAAATGCTAAAAAAAATCATGTTGCGCGCACCCAAAGCAAACCTCCGCAAACACATCGATAACGTCACATTCGCCGTGCGCACTCAAGTGAACTAGCGGATGCATCAAGTATAAACTAGGCTTCATGCCTATTCAGGACTATATTCAGTTAATGATTGCCTTTCTCTGTTTTCGACAGATACAATTGTGATATGATGGAGTTGCGGCGGAGGTATCAGAGCCTCTACATCCCTAGTGACTTCTTTAACGCTGTGTTTACTTGGGTGGATGCCTTCCCCTTATCAAGACCTTTTACTTTCGGAAACTACTGTAACTTCCACATCATGCATAAAGAGGTGGACTCGTTGGTCAAAAACACAGCAGTGCTGGACCCGCCTGATGCCAATCACACCTACAGTGCAAAGGTAGAGTCAGCATAATACTTACTTCCACTTCAGAGGATTTTTGACAATCATTATTTTTTTGGTAATGGTTATAGGTGATGCTGTTGGCCAACCCCAGTCTAGATGAGCTGTATCATAAGTCATGTGCTCTGTCAGAAGATCCAGCCGAGCTCAGAGACTCGTTCCAGCACCCTGCCCGCCTCATCAAGGTACGGCTCTCCAGATTACTCCTCTAAATGCAGCTGGGTTTGTGCAATAAGCTTGCATTATATGTAATCACTAACTTGTGGGCTTTTTAATGGCATTTGCTTTGCACTTCAGTGGTAGCAGTTTCACAGGAATGGACAACATTGTTTTTTATTACTTTTGTGGTTTTCTGCTGTTATTTAGCTATTAGAGCACAGCATTGACTGCTAGTATCCCATTGAGTTTCTTCATCAGTTATTTGACAGAGATTCCTCCATAATGAGAACTAAGCCTTGGCTTGAACTGAGCCAAAGCAGCCAGCTTTGAAATAAATAATAACATTAGGGCTCTATTTTAACGATCTAGACACAAAGTCCAAAGAGCTGTGCGCAAAAGCATTAGGGGATTTTTAGAATTAACTTTTGCTATTTTAAGGATGGAAAAATCCGCTTTGCGTCGCGGCGCATGGTCTAACAGGGTTGAGCTTATTCTCTTAATGAGTTATGGGTGTGTTTTGAGAATCAACCAGTCAGAGTCTCATCTCCCATTTTCTTTAAGAGTCAGTTGCGTCGCACCATAGCGCATTTACTATTTACTATCTGCAGTGAGAGAATTAGAGAATGAGCCTCCTCATTCTTTACTTTCACTCTCTTTCATGAATAATGAAACGTGTTGTACGCACAAGACATCCATTAGCCTACATAATTAATTTTGTATGTTAAGTGCAAAGATTTGTTTCAAAACTATTTCTAAATTCAGTTCTAATTTCCAACAAACGAACAAAATAAACAATAATAACGAAGTGTGGTCAAAAAACTTATATCCAATAATAATAATAATGGAGTTATATCCGAATACACATGCTATGCCCCATATGGTCCAAAACCTGACAGGTGGGCAAATCTTAGCTTGTTTTTAATAAAACAAATATAAATATGCATACAATAAACGATTCTGCTAATAATAATAACATTATACAAATGCAAATTGTCATGAATAAAATGAAAAGCCCCCAGAGATGAAGAAGGCATGCAGGCAGTGGTTTTTATATTTATGTAGAAAAAATATTCTTTGTAATAATTTGTTCCTTTAATTCTTTTTTCAGTTGTACAGATATTTGTGTATTGCTGTACATTCTGTGTTTATTAAGCAATGTGTAAGCAAGGCACACAACTAACGCACTCTGCGCTGGACCTCCTCTCAGCTGGTCTTTTGTGCAGTCTATTTTAGTTCCTCAAAATAGCAACGTGCCAGCAATGCACCTTACACACCTCCTGTTTTAGACCAGAATGCCTGTGGGCGCACATATGAGCGCAAATGCATTTGCTATTTAAATAGTGTGGTGCAAAACGTCATACCGACTCTTGCGTCAAGCTGAAACTAGTGTATGATAGAGCCCTAAGTGTAGTTTAAAGGTGCCATAAGGGGGTCAGGCACCGGATGCGCTGCACGGTGATGTTCTGTGGTGTGTCACATAGATTTCTATCAGGGTACGCACACCGGTGCTGCAAGTTGGCGGCTGTCTTCGGTGCCCAACAACGACTCAGGACACTTCATATTTCTGCCTCGCCACAGACTGCCATCTGAATAGTTTCATTTGAAATAACATTCAAATATGCATGTCTGGTGTGCGATACTTCCAACTGTCATCTGCACACCATTTATCCCTTTGACTGCCGCTCTAACAAATGGTTGACCATGTTTTTACAGTTTTAAATAATGGTTTACACACACCGTATTGTTGGTTTACAAAAAAAAATCCAACAAACATAATCCTGTTGCACTACCACATTGATTCTGGTTTTATTGTAAAAAAAATAAATAAACAAGAAAACATGTTAAATGAGAATCTAAAATATTTTATGGCATACTTCAAAAAATGAAGATGATTTAGTATATGTATTAATTCAGGTACTTTTACAATAAACCAACATATAAACCATTTGGTAGAGGTTGATATTTTAGAAATGATGGGATGTGTTGAAAAAAATGCATTGTGTGTTAACTAGCGACAGGAGTTAAGAAATGCAATCCAAACTTATTTTATTCTTAGTAGGGTAGTAAAGGGTTGTAAAGTGACAGAAGAAATTTAATCATGTAATTTAAATCACTTTATTTTTTATTTTTTGTCTGTATCTGCTCTAGGGCTGTGCGATTAATCGAAATCAAATTGCAAACGCAATTTTAAATGTTGCGATTAGCTAATCGCAAGGGGCTGCGATATGAAATGTTTTTGTATTATTTAATTTCCCCTGCCCACAGCAAATGCGTGACTGCCGTCTGTGTGTGACAGTCTCACTTGCCAATTGAGTGAGCACAATTGCGTGATGAGCATCTTGTCAAAAAGTCAACTGAAAGTATTGCCAGTGAGAACCTCCGTGAAGTTGGCACCCCATAAAAACAAATAATCCCCAAAACTATGACATTCGTTTGTGCTACGTTTGTGCTGATTTGTGCCGCAAAAACGAACGTTTGTGCTGGTTTGGGGTCTGAGATATTAAGCATTATTTTTTTAACCGTGTGACGTCACTCTCCACCCCATGTTGCGCAATTGAACAGCACAGGTCGTTTGTGCTCGGTTTGTGCTGGTTTGTGCCGTTAAAACGAACACGGTATCTGTTCTCCTCTTTTAGATATAAGCAAAATATTTCGGGAGCCGTGACGTCACTCTCCACCCCATTTCCTCCAAATCGCACAAAACTGGTATCATTCGTTTGTGCTCGGTTTGTGCCGTTAAAATAAACACTTTATCTATTTTCGTTGTTTAGATATAATCAAAATATTTCGAGAGCCGTGACGTCATTCTCCACCCCATGTTGTCTAAATCACACCAAACTGGTCTCATTCGTTTGTGCTCGGTTTGTGCTGGTTTGTGCCGTTAAAATAAACACTTTATCTATTTTTATTGTTTAGATATTGCCTTATCAAAACATTTCGGGAGCCGTGACGTCACTCTCCACCCCAGGTTGTCTAAATTGCACAAAACAGGTGTCATATGTTAGTGCTAGATTTGTGCTGGTTTGTGCCATAACAATTAACACTTTATCTATGTTTATTGATTAGATATTGCCTAATCAAAACATTTCGGGAGCCGCGATGTCATTCAGCGCTCCATTATTTCCTCTAAATTGCACAAAACAGGTGTCATATGTTAGTGCTGGATTTGTGCTGGTTTGTGCTATAACAATTAACACTTTATCCATGTTTATTGATTAGATATTGACTAATTAAAACATTTCGGGAGCTGCTACGTCACTCAGCGCCCCATTATTTCCTCTAAAATGCACAAAACAGGTGACATTCTTTAGTGCTGGATTTGTGCTGGTTTATGCCATTAAAATAAACACTTTATCTGTTTGTATTGTTTAGATATTGCCTAATCAAAACACTTTGGGAGCCGCGACGTAACTCTATATTGCACAAAACAGGTGTCATTCAATTGTGCTGGTTGTGCCGTTAATAAACACTTTATCTGTTTTCCTTGTTTGGATTTAACCAAAATATTTGGTTAGATTTGTGCTGGTTTGTGCCATGAAAATGAACAACAGATATTTATATTTGTGCGCACATATGTTACTTTCGTTTGCTCACAAATTGTGCTCGTTTGTGCTGCAAAAATATTATTTGTAAAAAAATAATATCAGATCATTAAGAGGTCTCTCCACCCCACTTGCTACATATTTACTAAAATAGTCTCGTTATGTGCGTTTCATTTGTGCTGGATTGTACCTGAAAGTTTCGTTAGTGTTGCTTCTTTTATTATTGAATGAAAGATAATGATATCAGCTACCCGCATATTTTAAAATATTTAAATTTGTTTGGGCTGATAGAAATTTTGTCTAAGATGCTTTATTTTTTTTTTTAGATAGCCTAGGCCAAGGTTATTCTGAGATTTTTTTATTATTAGAAAAAGCATGAAGGATGCGAACATCATTTTGACAGATTTAATCCAAGTAAAAGGGCTTGGCCAATATAAAGATAATTGGCTACAACCCTGCTTTACTTATTTACTTCCTTTTAGTCTCATATGAGTAGCCAGCATGCTTAACAATAGAGGAAAAAATTATATATATATATATATATATATATATATATATATATATAATTTTTTTTATTTTATTTATTAATTTTATAAAAATGTATTAATATACATTTTTTACCTGTTTAACCATGCTGCGATTTTCTCTTAAATACTCTTATCATCTGGTCGTCCACATTAGGCTGCTTTCGTATTTAAACTAGCAGCCTAAACTTTTCTGTTGTGGTAGGTAGGCCTACCACTTATAAGTAAAGCAGCTTTAGTGGACTTCTTTAGTTAATATTTATTTTATGGGGAAAAATAGATGATAACACACGTAAACACATAGGCTATGCGTTTTCTACAGATAAGTTTTGGTTTTCGTGATTGTGTTGTTTGTCATACAGTAAAAGAACAATGTCCAAATGGCAATAAAATGACAATAAATAATTGATTAATTAATTACAATTAATAATAATAATAACAATAGCAACAATCATATAAAATATTTACATTCACTTAATTGGTAAACACTGTGCGTTTTTATCACGGGCTGTAGGATGTTATTTTGACCATTTTGATTTGGTTTAATAAAAGATAAACATGTAATATTTTGTTATATTTTAATTATCCTTAGTTATCTTCTTATTATTGTCATTATTATTAATATTATTATATTTATTTTATATTTAATAACTTGTAGACTCTTTAAACAATGAGGAAATAACTAAACTTTTTTAATTCAAGGCCCAGACAGCTTGTTTTGTAATTTAATGCCGGCTATAGGCTACCTGAAGGACAGTTATACGGCGTGTTGTGATGTCGGCCGTCACCGGAGAAAATTAATTTAAACTTTAAAACTTTAGTTTTTTGGACTTTTGTTTGAAAGCTTTAGTGGCACTGTAGCTGTCCAAGTTACTGTTGTATAATTTAAATTATAGCCTATATATGCACCAATAAACAAGTCGAATGAATGAATGAATGAATGAATAACATAAATATAGATTCTTAAATGTTGATATTGTTTTTGCTAATAAAAAATAACAAATATTAAACAAAAATGTAATAAAAATAAAATGAGCACTTTTCAATATTTATACAATTCAGTTAAATATAAGCTGGACATTTTTGGGGACATGTAATTTCTCTGTGATCTTTAATATATACTGGGTAGCTATATTTTCTAAAATCTCAACCAGGAATTGCTTTAATATATATGCTTTACATCCTGATATGCTGTTGTTTCATTTTCATTCTTATTTCACTTGAAAAAAATCGGTACTTAATGTTTGAATACTAAAATAAATAACAGCCATTGTTTAAATGGTTATTTTACCAAAAAAATTTATATTTTATATTTTTATCAACTTTTGATATAAAACCTCTGTGTAATTTATTGATTGTTAAAAATGAAATAATTTAAGTGCTATATTTTTTATTAGTGAAAGTGCACGCTTACTTTGCCCAAGGCCTCTCAAAAAATATATTTCTGCAACTATAATGCACTATTATTGTTTTATTATCATTGTTTATTTTTCCTTAATGTATGAAATTTTTGATACATTTATTTCCCCTCCAATCATTTTCATTCATCACGTTAAATTTAGGTAATTTTCCCTCCAAATAAAATTGATTTGCAGCTCAGCATAAAACAGCTCAGCATAAAAAAGGGTCCGAACGATTGGAAAAGCGGCTTTTAAAGAGACAAACTATATACGAAATTTGTTTCAAAAAGATATTTTTTCCAAGAAAAATATACGAATTATATTTTAGTTTGAGGCCAACTTTGGAGTGGATGATTTTCAGTCAGTGGAAAGTAGGCCTATGAATTTAATATGCCTCATATTGTATCACAATCTTCTGTCATCTATTTGCAGTTTTTTTAATATGTCACATAACACAAATGAGACTATTTTAGTAAATATGTAGCAAGTGGGGTGGAGAGACCTCTTAATGATCTGATATTATTTTTTTACAAATAATATTTTTGCAGCACAAACGAGCAAAAACGAAAGTAACATATTTGGGCACAAATATAAATATCTGTTGTTCATTTTCATGGCACAAACCAGCACAAATCTAACCAAATATTTTGGTTAAATCCAAACAAGGAAAACAGATAAAGTGTTTATAAATGGCAAAACCAGTACAATTGAATGACACCTGTTTTGTGCAATATAGAGTTACGTCGCGGCTCCCAAAGTGTTTTGATTAGGCAATATCTAAACAATACAAACAGATAAAGTGTTTATTTTAATGGCATAAACCAGCACAAATCCAGCACTAAAGAATGTCACCTGTTTTGTGCATTTTAGAGGAAATAATGGGGCGCTGAGTGACGTAGCGGCTCCCGAAATGTTTTAATTAGTCAATATCTAATCAATAAACATGGATAAAGTGTTAATTGTTATAGCACAAACCAGCACAAATCCAGCACTAACATATGACACCTGTTTTGTGCAATTTAGAGGAAATAATGGAGCGCTGAATGACATCGCGGCTCCCGAAATGTTTTGATTAGGCAATATCTAATCAATAAACATAGATAAAGTGTTAATTGTTATGGCACAAACCAGCACAAATCTAGCACTAACATATGACACCTGTTTTGTGCAATTTAGACAACCTGGGGTGGAGAGTGACGTCACGGCTCCCGAAATGTTTTGATAAGGCAATATCTAAACAATAAAAATAGATAAAGTGTTTATTTTAACGGCACAAACCAGCACAAACCGAGCACAAACGAATGAGACCAGTTTGGTGTGATTTAGACAACATGGGGTGGAGAATGACGTCACGGCTCTCGAAATATTTTGATTATATCTAAACAACGAAAATAGATAAAGTGTTTATTTTAACGGCACAAACCGAGCACAAACGAATGATACCAGTTTTGTGCGATTTGGAGGAAATGGGGTGGAGAGTGACGTCACGGCTCCCGAAATATTTTGCTTATATCTAAAAGAGGAGAACAGATACCGTGTTCGTTTTAACGGCACAAACCAGCACAAACCGAGCACAAACGACCTGTGCTGTTCAATTGCGCAACATGGGGTGGAGAGTGACGTCACACGGTTAAAAAAATAATGCTTAATATCTCAGACCCCAAACCAGCACAAACGTTCGTTTTTGCGGCACAAATCAGCACAAACGTAGCACAAACGAATGTCATAGTTTTGGGGATTATTTGTTTTTATGGGGTGCCAACTTCACGGAGGTCCAGTGAGACTCAATCTAGTAGCAAGCAAGAGCAAAGTTCAATTTCAGAGTTGTTCAGCCATGTTAGTTTGCTGAGTGTTCTGTATTTTTAGAATTATTAGATTTTTTTTTGTTTGTATGATAAGCTTCACTATCTCCCTAATTTCAGTTCAACTTGTTTACAGAAAGGTCAGGTCATTTTATTTGTGTTTACTGTTTGCTCTAGAGAAAAAATTGTGTTTAATTTCTGAATATTTAAAAATAAATTTGAATAAATGTTTTAAGTTCATATCTTTTCAGTTCCTTTTTTCAACTATCACTTCTTGTATTTTTGTAGTAAGAAGCTACAAATTATTGAGCTGAAGCTTGACTACAAAATTAAATCGCAATATCTGTCCAAAAAAATCACAGTCAGATATTTTCCCCAAATCACATGGCCCTAATCTGCACCAGAAAATCTATTGCCTCTGATACTAAAAACAAATCTGAGTAATAATTTTAAAGTTTGCCAAACTAAGGTATGAATTTTTACTGTTCATTTTACAAAAGAAAACTGTACTGCTAATGAAGAAAAGAGATTGGTTAAATGAGTAGCTTTTTCTAGCATTCTCATTGCATGAGAAGATCATTTGGAGCTGCATGAGTATGAAGTAAATGATGTATTAATTTCAGTATAGCATAGTTAATTGGAAATAAAGAAAAAAAGAGAATGGAATCTATAGCTACAGGCTTGCTGGTCCATTTATATATATATATATATATATATATATATATATATATATATATATATATATATATATATATATATATATATATATATATATAATTCTTTTTTTTAACATTTAAGCACATACATAAAAAAATATTATATATCTGAAATGTGTATATACAAGTTTACTTGTTTAGTTTTTCTATGAAGTCTCTGAATAGGATTTTTACTTTCACGACCCTGTAGTTGTAAACTATTAACTATTGTGTTCACTCTTGCACTTCTTGACATTAACAATGTTGTCCACTCCTGTGTTTGATGTGGGGGTTTTGTAATGGTGTCGGGGAGCTGACTGTGATGTCTTTGTCCTATTCCATTGCTGAACGCTTTGCTGTGTGGAATAAGCTCATCTGATGTGGTCTCTCCCTGTGTCTGCCACATTTTCCATCTTCATATCGCTCCCAGCATGGTAACCCATTTCAAACTCCTCTGTTTTCAGTTCCTGGTGGGGATGCGGGGCAAGGACGAGGCCATGGCCATCGGGGGTCACTGGTCTCCCTCTTTGGATGGGGCCGACCCAGAACACGATGCCTCAGTCCTTATAAAGACAGCTGTACGTTGTTGTAAGGCTCTGACAGGCATTGATCTGAGTTTATGCACCCAGTGGTAAGTACAGCTCCTTTTGCGGTTTGTGTCGACGCGTCTCCTTGTAATCTCCATATGTTCGTCTTTTAATATATAAAAATATATTTATGAAAAAGGCTCTGCAGACCCAACATCTAAATATTTGTGACCCGCTGCATGGTTTTGACACAGCAGTGTATCTCCTGACATGTTTGAAGCTTTTTGTGTTCATGATTTGTTATTTTTTTGCAATGTTTACGCTAATGTGTGTGGCAGTCCTGCCTCTATATCTATAAATGTGGTGAATGCATTGATTCTTTTGCACCGAGAGCAGAGCCAGAGGAGTCGCCGCCGCCGCCATTGTTACTTTCTGTTCTCTCTGACCTTTGCCTTGTGTTAAATATCTTACATATTTAACTTGCTTTCACTGTGTCTGAATCTGTCCTTCTCTCACACCCCCGGGGGTTCGTTCGCGATCTTTCACGAGCAGCCGGTTGAGATTGACGGGTGCCGGTGGGAGGGGCCTGGCGCAGGGGGAGGGTCTTTTTTGTTTTGTTTTGTTGTTGATTTGTTTTTTTTAGCTGTCGATATTGTCTGTCGACCTCCCTGATGCGTGGCTGCCGCTCACCCTGAGAAACCCCCATGGAGTTACACAGACTGTATTTTCATGCGTGTGTCATTCGGGGGGTCGAGGGGATCACTGCTTTTTGTATGTGTATGTGTGTGTGTTTGTGTGTGTGTGTGTGTGTGTTGGGGGAAATGGGACATGTCTCACAGAATGTTTCTTTCCAACGCGCTTCTTCCTTTGCGACAGGTATCGTTTTGCAGAGATACGCTATCACCGCCCTGAGGAGACTCACAAAGGGCGGACAGTCCCCGCACATGTGGAGACAGTGGTTTTATTTCTCCCGGATGTTTGGCATTGTCTTCCTACCCGCTCAGAGTGGGAGGAGCTGTCGCGTGGACTCAAGGAGCAGCTGGCAGAGAAACTCTTGGCTGAACGGAAGGAGGCTGATGGAGAACAGGCACTGAACGCTAATCCCTCTCTTCTCATTTCCGCTTCTCACAGGCACAGGAATAGACAAGCTAAACACTCAGAAAGCACAGAAAGAAACAGACAAGTATCACAGGCATCATACAGAACCCACTTTTACCATCCCTCTTCCTCTCATCCCTGTCTCATCCCTGACCCTCCACCCCATTTCCTCCTGCTCTCCCTCTGTCACGCAGTCTCACACACAGCGGAAGAGCTTAGGTCCTACTTTGACACCTGCCGCAACTGGCAAAACAGCTTCCAGCTCCGGCCTGATTGAGAGAATGCTACATTTCCAAATGTAATCCATCAGATTTGATTTCGATGCAATAGTCTATGAGACCAATTGGGAAGTGAATGCTGGAATCTGGAGAGCCAGTTGCGTTTTTTTGATGTTTGTGTGTGTTTTTTTAAGTTTCCTGTTCAGTATTCGATATCTCCTGAACTCTCTTTTGAGTTCTGTCTCTTGTCTGTCTCTTTTTTTATTACTATTATGTTATTTACACTGTTCTCTGATTGGACGCTGTGTCTAGACCTTTTGTGGATGTGATTTTCCAGGGAGATTGTTTTATCCCAGGACAGTTCTGGCTAGGTGTTTTAAGGAAAGGAGCTAAAAAAAAGAGTGGGCAAAAAAGTAAACGTAGACGTAGGGTTTGGAGACCTTCTCATCTGTCCCATGTCCATCTCTTGAACCCACTGTCATTGATTATCTTTTTGTATTCCACAGAACTGGCATTGATTGGCTGATGAGTGGGATATGGATCTGTTTCTGAAAGCTAGAGAGCTTCCGTGTATCCTAGCAGTGGATAATTTTTTTACCTAATCAAGAGCTCAGTAGGAGGAGACAATGAGAGACAGTTGTGACCTTGCTTCTTGCACGGATCAGCTTTTGTTTCAGAAAACGTCAGCGTCCAGGAGTTGTGTGTTAACACGCTGTTGTCTTTTCTCTCCCTGTCTCTCTTACACCACGCCCATAGGAGGAGGAGGATAAGGATGAAGATGATTCAAAGGAAGTCACTACACCAACTCACTGGTCTAAACTTGATCCTAAATCTATGAAGGTGAGATTTTTGTAATATATCTGTTTTTTCTGTATTCCTATTTGTGGGCTCCTATCATTTTTATAGACACTGTAAAATATAGGGCTGGGCGATAAAATCGGTATTGATATTTATTGACCAAACACCATTGTCAATAATGATAAAAAAGTTTTGGTATGAAGCCCTATAGTTTTATTAAACTGTGTCTGCTAAGCGCGCCTTGGAAGGAATGCCAATAAGCTTAGGGTGTCAGTTTGTAATTTCCAATGGAAGGAGTGACTTGCACAACGCCATACCTGTCAACATTCCCATTTTTCCTGGGATTCTCCCGTATTTTTAGTCTTTCTCTGAAGCGTGGCCTCCCTATACTCAACCCATACCGCGAACCACCAGGGGCCGCCCCTTGCTCTTAAAAGGTCATGGCACCCCCCCACTTTTGGTTCAGGTCTACCTCAGAATTTTTTCAAAAGATGCATGATAATGGGCATGGAGCTCTGCGAGCAAAGGGAAGGAGTGGGCGTGGCCAGCTGGGGAGAAGGAGGGGAACAAACAACTTTTGTTTGTCGGTTCACAAAATGAGACACAAACCGTGAAGGAGACGCATGATTTTATAGTTTAAAAAGTCAAAATGCAAAAAAATAAATAATAATTTAATGCCCTGCTACATTTGTTATTTGTAATATCATACACACAACCACAATTTATATCATTATAAAGAAAACCGTGTTCATATAAACACTATAAATGAGGACTTTTCCCTTAATCCCTGGGTCTGAATCATAGGTCTGAATGCAGACTCAGTGCAGCAGGTCTCTTGCCTTGTCTATTTTAACCATTAGCCCTGTTGGTAATCTAGAGGATTAGGCAAACACAGCAGTGAACTAATGTGAACTAACCCCTGATAAAAGACAACGTCCGCCATTCTCTAATTCTCGTACAGCTCTCCCAACAAAAATGCTTGCTGCACACACACAGCCTTGCTGTATCGGCCCTGATAGCATCGCGGGAAAAAAACATGCAACAAACACCGTGAATCATGAAAACAAACACATTCGACCCTTAATGAACGACTAAATACAGCGTGCCATGGGTCCGTGTCTCACAGCTTGGCACTGGCAGGTCTGCCTTGCCTTCGGAAAGCACGCGCAGTTATGAATAATTAACAAGCAAGCTCTTCTCATAGCAGAATAAAACTCCGCTATGAATAATAATGAGAAACCACGCGTCAACTATGCACTTGCATGTCTGCGGTACGTCGCCGATTTTGATCCCGCCCCAAAAATGATTTTAAACCCGGAAGCTGAAATTAGCCGACAAAAGCTAAAAATTATCCAGTTTTTCCCACAATTTAAGCTAACAGGTGCTAACATTGTCTTAACTGATGCTCAACACACACAAATCTGTTAAAAAAATAAAAAAGTACTCAAGGGTTTCGTGAACCTTTAAACGTGAGTCTGGTCTGTGCTTTCGCTTTGCTTAGGCATGATAACACTTTGAAATAAATATAAAAACGGTGGTATTCCCTTCCTTTTCATTACAGATGCCGTCTCCCCTTCATATGCAATCCTCAAAACAATCATATAATGGTGCGTGACTGTCAGCTGACGCACTCCATAGTGATAAATAGACGCTGTATCCCAATCACATTCTGTACACGTGATTTGAAGCGGACCGAAAGTCTGGGTTTTGGGTGTGTTTAAACAGACATATGCACATAGTTATTAATAATAACATCTAAATCCCTAATTGTTATACATTTCTAAAAATAACATATGAATGTGTTTGAATGTAAAAAAAGCCTGCTTCAGCAATGCACTGCTTTTGTTTTGCTCTGACATACAACATTTGAATGTTTGTAAAAAAAAAAAAAAAGAAGACTATTTTACAATGCACGGATATTATGCAGTTTCAAAATACAATATATTAACATTTTAATGTAGAAAAATCTAATGTGAGTGTCTTAAGGAAAAATACAACATATGGGCTCTTATATGCAGTTGTGTTATCACTCATATAGCTAGTCTTATCTCTTCGGCCTTTCCTTTGAGGTGCTTTTCATGAACCGGCCCCCATGACAAACTAATTGAATAGCCCTGATGTACAGTATGTTTATCTATTGTTGTCAGTATTTGATTTTGTATTTTATTTATTTATTTATTTATTTTTTCACAACCAATGAAGTCTCCAAGCATTTGAGGCTCTTATGAACACCACTGCAAATTACGATATTATTATACTACTACTATCACGATATTAATATTGTGCATGTTTATTTTCAAAATATATTGAAATATTGAATATCTGCAAATATTTACCCATGAATCACATTTTCTCACAGGTCAGTGATTTGCGTAAGGAGTTGGAGAGCCGTTCACTGAGCTCCAAAGGGCTGAAGTCGCAGCTGATTGCTCGCCTCACCAAGCAGCTGAAGGTGGAGGAGCAGGTAGAGGAGTCAAAGGAGCCTGAGAAGCCTGAACCTCCTAGTGTGGAGGAGGACGAGTCCTGCAGGCTGGAGGATGACCGAGAGGTGAGAGCAGATCAGAGTATTGCGCTCTTACAGGCATCCTGACCAATCAAACGCATAAGAACATGAATCAAATCTTTCTTTTTAGGAGGAGGAGCGGAAGCGTCAAGAGGAGCAGGAACGCCAGCGCAGAGAGAGACGTTATGTTCTGCCAGATGAGCCTACCATTATTGTACACCCCAACTGGGCTGCCAAAAATGGCAAATTTGACTGCAGCATCATGTCCTTGAGTGTGCTGCTGGACTACCGGCTGGAGGATAATAAAGAGCACTCTTTTGAGGTAAGATTCACTTTAAAGTGTTATGAAAAATTTTACTTTTATTTGATGATTATGTTCTGATACAATACATATCATGATACTTAAGCCATAAAAGTGCACAGTACAGATCAAATTTGTGGTAATTACATTTGTTTTGTGCAGTATTCAGCAGTGGTGGAAAAAGTACTGAAAAATCATTCTCAAGTAAAAGTATCATTACTTGCCTAAAAATGTAGTGCAAATAGAGGAAAAGTATCTGTTATAAATATTACTCAAAGTATAAGTAAAAAGTAGACCATTCAAAAGTACTCAAGAGTAGTGAGTATTACGCTGTAAAAAGCTGATGCATTTACATGTAATATGTGAATGTGTGCATCTTGTTATTAGGTTAGATTTAGGTTGTGGCGTCAGATGACCAATATTCAATGTCTAGCCACTATCTAAGGACAACTTTTTATTGATGTCCAATAACGACGTCAAATGTTGTTGATTTTAGGTTGTTAGAAAGTGACCAAAATCCAACATCGAGCTAACATTTTAAACCAATGTATACTGATGTCTAATACTGACATTTATTCATCAGCTATGGCTACCAAAATCTAACGTCTGATAGACGTTATAGTGATAACATTCACATAATGTCAAGCTGTAACATCATTAGACGTTGATATTTGGTTGGTTTTAAGTCGGACAGTGACGTTGAGTTCTGACGTTAATGCGATTTTCATTTTCAAACAAAATGCAATGTCCCCACAACCCATGTTTACGTCTTGTGCTTTCTGGGTGTTTAAGGCAATTTCGCACATCATATAGTACACATCTGTCATCTTCTCATCAGTGACATGCATCTGAACAGTCTCTGGATCAATGTGTGTAAAGATTTTGGATCTTCTTACACACTTTTGCTGCAATAATAAATCGCCGATGTCTTGAGGTAGTTCATTATGATACGATTTACCTTCTATGTGCAAATTGATTGGACAGGAATAACAGGACTGATTCTTCTAATCCCCATAGACAAGAAAAAATAAAGTAGTCACTGCAGGTTTAAGGAAAGTAGCAAAGGAAAAGTACAAATACAGCACTAAAAATGTAAGTAAAAGTACATATTTTTAAAACAACTTAGTACTTTAACGTAGTACTTTACACCACTTTTATTTAGTATAGGTAATATTAATGTATTGTAAATTAAATAGCCAGTGTAAGAATAGCTGTGATAACTTAAATTTGTTTTGCAACAACATATAAGTATATATAATTAGCAACATATTTATTTTTACAACATTGTAAGTGATTATGGATGGATGGAATGAATGTGTCTGAAAAACGAACCATAGACTGTAACAAACTCAACTGATTAAAGACAAAGTCCGCAATTCTCCAATTCTCCTACAGCTTTCCCGGCAAAAATGCTGTATCGCCTTGACAGCATTGCGGATAAAAACATGCAGCAAACCCCGTGAATCATGGAAACAGACATATACAACCCGTGTCTCACCTAATCATTAGTTCTTCTAGCTTGACAAAAATGTTTTTAATCCTGGAAGCTTAAATTAGCTGACAAAAGCTCAAAATTATCCAGTTTCCCCACAATTAAAGCTGTAAGGGGCTAACGTTGTCTTGGCTTATGCTCAACACACACAAATCTGTTAAAATCCCCAAAAAAGTACTCCATGGATTCTTGAACCTTCAAAAGCAAAATCGAGGCTGCGGTGGGAAGAAACCCGGAAGTATTGCCTGAGTAACACAGGGACTTTGTGTACCAAGCTGTATATCACATCAGCGTAGAGAAAGTGACACAAATCTATAATTTCACCGCCGTCCGAGTGACCCGAAGGTCCGTTCTGAATGCATAGTGAAAATAAAAAGGGATATCAGAGCTCATTTTCACTTCCAAGTTAAGGCAAATGGCACTAACAATTTCTTTTCCAAACACACGTTTTAAATGCCATTTTAAAACTGATAACTAATCTGATTCTTTCAGTATATAAACGTGACATGATACTGAAATGCGGTACTGAAATTTATAAAAATGTAATTTCCAGCTAACATTAAAGCACTGTTTAGCGTATTCTTAAACATTGCTGACCTGCCATAGTATTGATCAATGCTCAACAGAAATGATAAGGAATGAAGGTCATCAGTTCACTGAACTTCACCAATGTTTACCGAGTGCAAACAAAACACGTACGAGTGCAAGTGTCCTTGTATTTGTGTTTGCGCTCGGTAAAGAGTGGTGAACTGAGAACCTTCAAGGCCAATCACAGTCATTTCTGTTAAGCACTGGTGAATATGGCAAATCAGCTGTGTTTAAGAACACACTCAGCAGCACTTACATGTTAGCGGGAAATGGACGTTTTTAATGTTCTGTACCGGGACAACACTATTGCTGCTACAGAGGACTGCATTGTTTTTTTGCTCACCGGGTTATATAGGCTGAAGCAGGGAAGCGTCCACATGGTGTTTACCTGAAGCCTAGGAGAGCACTTAAGCATATTTCTCTTAAAGAGATTGTGATTTTGCTTAATGGCTAATATGCTTTTAATTGTTTAAATTAAACTTAACTGAATGTGATAAAGGGATGTTTACACCATATCTGCACTTTGAAATTGCAGCAACAGCTGAAGGTTTTTAGTCCACATTATGTTGTTGCAATATTTACAGTGCTGATCCAATAGAGGAATTACCAACCTATGTCACACATCACACGGGTTCAGCCGCGCAAAAAAGAATAGTTGCAATAGCAAACATGTCATGTTGTGCGGTAGGATGCCAAATTCGAAAGTCAAAAATTAAAACCTGAAATTTTACCATACACCACACTGCTTTTAATGCCAACTGCAGACGTCTTTGGCTAACAGCCATCACAATAGCTGTATGGAGTGAGGACATAATTAAACATGCTCGACTCTCATGTTATGTCAGGTAAGTTCTCGCTATGCTGAATCATACACATTACTCGTTTTGGATTGCAGCAATAATTTCAGCAAAAACAGTTAAATATGGTGAATTAAACTGTGGACACTGAATGCTTAGAATGAAATGTAAAAATGGAAATTTACATACCCTGTAGAACAGGTGCATTTTGCTGTCAGAATGCAGTTGTTGGTGATTACCCAGGCCTTGTATAGCTCTGTTGTCTTTCCTTGTCTATGGCTAGGCAGAACCTCGGTTTTTAGCACTACAAAGTTTTGAATGTGGTAATCATGGAACATTTTCTTGCACATGACCACACAGAACAAACTTGTTGGCATCCAAAGACTTGTAGGCTTTTAACTTCTCTTGAAAAATCACTTGAAGTTTCAATGAGGTAGTTTTATGTTTCTTATCCAATATCCATTGGGAGGGTGCTAGCGCAAATGGACCTGTCAGACGAACGCGGCTCACTTTAACGTTAATTTTGCTTATCTGTGCTTTACTTCACTGTGCTTATCACTGGGTGAGAAAACAATTGTTAATATCTGGCCGCGACGAGGCATAAACAGCACTGGTCATTTGTTCTGTTTCAGGTGTCATTGTTTGCTGAATTGTTCAACGAAATGCTTCAACGAGACTTCGGCTACAGGATTTACAAAGCTCTCGCTTCTCTTCCAACCAAGGATGAGAAGAAGGACAAAAAAGAGAGAGCTAAAAAAGAGGCCGAAAGAAGGGATATAAAGAAAGAAAGAGATGAAGACAATGGAGAGCCGGTCGCAAAGAGAATAAGAGAGGAAGATGACAAGAGGAAGGTGAGGACGTACTTCAGTGTGAATTGGATCTTTAGGTGTTATCTTAAATGAATGTAAAAGTAAGCCACTCAATTTGTGTTTCCGGGATAAAGGATGAGGAAAAGGAGAGAGGAATAAAGAGAGAAGAATCCAAAGATGACGACGATAATGAAGATGGAAGCAGCAACAACAATGCAGATGAATACGATCCTTTGGAGGCAGAAGATGCAGACGATTATGATGACGATGGTAGGGCTGTTGAAATAATATAGCTGAATTCAAAGAAAAGTTTTGATTAGGGATAAATGTGTTTTATTTTATATTACATTTAAATATTTAAACAAATAATTTTTGTTTAAATTAGGTTTTATGAGAAGTACGTTATCTATAAATAAGGCATTATTCTTTGATAATATTTCTATATGCATTTATAAGGCATTTTTACAATGAGCTCATGTTTTCTATATTTTTAACATTTAAAATCGTCTAGAAATAATAATTTGCATAACAAAAATAATGTCTGAAGAGCACAAAGCAAGCAAGCGAGTCGCATTTAGCTCTTGAGTTTTTCATCTTGAGAAAAGCAGGCATATAAATGTGATCAGATGAAAGTTGGCTTCTCTACATTTAGTTCAGTTTAGAAATGTATGGAGACCTGGAAGGCACTTGATGGTGGGGAAAAATGGGTGGGAGGAAAAAAAACTGAGTAATAGGAAAATGTACTAGGCGGGGTTAGTTGTAACAGGGTGTTGAACACCAATTAAACTAACAAAATAATTGTTGAATTTTGTAAGTAATGTTGGGAACTTTTTTAATAAAATGTTTTTTTTTTAACAGAAAATATTTTTAATAGACAAAAATATATACATTTTGTAATTAAATATAATGTAATTAATGTAATTAAATATAATGCATAATAATCTTAATAAATCCAAATGTGTTAATCTAGTAAATAAATAAGCATGCTGTGCTATGTAGAATAAAAAATAAATTGAGCTAAGTACTGAGGAAATATAGCATTTAAACATTTAACTATTTAAAGTAAACCGAATTTCTATTAAATTGTGTAAAATCTACCTTTATAAGCATGTTTTACAACTAACCCTCTGTCTGTTACAACTTGCTCCGCAGCTGGGTTAAATAGTAAACATTTTACTTCTGGCATTTTTTTTGCAATACTGCACAGAAACCATAAGTCCCGTGATCATACAATTAGTGCTCATCTGTAGGAGGCATGTGTGTTGTTGGTAAAAAAAAACAAAAAACAAATGGTTTGTCTAACCCCATTACTCTGTTTATTATTTGACTAAAACCAAAAAGTGTTACTTTGTGCTCCTTCATGCCATTTAAAGTGACACCTCTGTTATCAAACAAGTGAAGAGCAGCAAATGAATCTCTTGTTTTGTTTGATAACAGATGTGTCAGTGTAAAAATGCAAAGATCTTTAGGCTAATGAAAGCATTCGATTAACTGGTTATGCTCATTTAAGAGAAGAGTAGCTGTGTTTAAAATAAAAAACGCAGGACAGACATGTTTACATATTATCAAGCGTATTTTTCTGTTTAAACATACACCCGAATCCCAAACTGTCCTGCACATTAGCTCTTCTTTAAATAGCGTGTACAGAAGTTTCTTCAGTTTATCATACGAAACGTGTCGGTCAGTCAGCGCTAATACATGCTTTCACTGATTCAAAGGTTGCATATGAAAGGCAACGATTGATGCACAGCTTTAATGAATAGAAAGTTAATGCAGACATTTCTATATTGATTTCAGCGGGCTTTCAAGATTAAAAATAGGGGGGAAATATGGGAAAATTCTTAATGATAGCATGATAGAAGGATAGAATGGTAAAATACAGGAGAATCGTGGCAAAAACAGGAGGGCTGACATGTATGAAGTACACAGGAAGTGTTTGTGTTTTCGAGGAATGCAAAACATCTTTGCAAGGTAATGCAAAAAACTTATATTTGTTTTCCTATCACTCTTTTTTTTTTTCTTCCTCCCACCCATTTTTTACCCAACATCACATCCCTTCCAGGTCTTGGTAGAAATGGATGCTAAAATTCTAATCTAATTTTATGCTTGTTTTTTTTTTCCACCTCTGCATGTGATAATGTTTAACTGGAATATTGTCATACATCCCAGCAATAGTACAGTTAAACTGCACAGTTATTACTCATAATTAGTTCAAATAATTACCCCATAATTTACTCCCCCTCAAGCCATCCTCAGTGTATTTGACTTTCTTCTGTCAGATGAACACAGCTGGAGTAATTTAACATTTTATCCTGGCTCGTTCATGCTGCATAATGGTGTTGGGTAGTGGTCAGATTTTAAGCTTTCAAAAGTGCGTAAAACCTTTGTCAAATTTAATCCATGTGCTGATAAGGGTTTAACGCATGTATTATAAAGCGGACCAATTGTTTTTGTTACAAAAATCTAGAATTCGCATTCAGTGGACGCAGAAAGTCAGTGATCTGGCAAAAGAAAGTTATATACATATAGGATAGTTTAAGGGTGAGGAAATTATGGGGTAGTTTTCAAAATCTAAATCTAATACATATTAAAAACATATACATAATAAATAATAAATATATATTCAATGATGATAATGGTATTATCATTTTTATTACCATATCAAATAAATATTCATATCCAGTATTTTAATAATTAAATCTTAAATTTGGGATGCTCATAATAACCGATTAACCGTTAACCGAAAGGGTGCGTTTTTAACCTATTAATGGTATCAGTTAAATGATTTAAAAATATTTTTGATATTTTCAAAGTTTGGCTGCATAAGGGCCAATCACAGCGAACGTGCTTTTTGCATTGAGAGGCGCATCTGTTGAATGGTTTATTAATGGCTGCGAGCATTTCGCAGATGAAATAAAGTCAACTCTGAGCAGAAAAAGTGTTACATTATTCATTCTTCAATCAAATCAAAGCAGAGGTGGGTGTTCCGTTGAGGTGACAGCAGTGTTTGTGTTGTCAAGACGACTAAGGAGAATTTTTAAAGATGGAGGAGAGACTAGTGGTCGCTGTTTAAGTTATTCAGAGCTGCATGACTTTTAAATTACAATTATAACAACAGCAACACTCGCACACAATACGCAGGTGATTCAGGGACTGATCACACACTGAATGCACTTATGCGTGCTATAAACAGGAGGGGCACCACATTGCCTTTTTGCTGACAAGAAAATTAGAAGCGGCATGCTATTTTTGTCACTAGGCAATGACTGAATCAGCTGGGTACTGTGCCAGTGTTGCTGTTAATATTGGTATAATTTTTAATTTTACAGCTTATAAAACATTTATGCAAATTTATGCAATATCATTTTTGGACAACATAATAGTTGTATGCTATAGTAGCCTATATTTTACAAAAAGTCAACATACGAGCCTTGTCATTGTCTTTCATAACGTGCAGCGCACACGTGAACCCTGAGTGAGCACACAAAGCACACAAGCTCTAAGGTGAAACCAGACGCTCAGGACATAATCTTTAAACTAATGACTTATATAAATGTTGACAGAGGTTTGTGATATGATAATAACAGTGGAGCAATAATTAAATGCATATTTTCCATGAAGCTATTAATTTAAGGTATCCTGCTATTTTTCTTTGACGGAAGAAAAAAATCATATGATTAAACAAAAAGCCTATGCTGGTTGCTAAAAAGAATTCAGTCAGTGTTTTTGCTTTGTAATCCAACTTTGTCATATAAGCGAAAAATATTTAGGGCAGACCTATTTATTTTATTCTTTTTATTTAGGTTATTCTTTTTTTTACGCAGTTGGAAACATTGCAGTGTGTGAAGATGTTCTGTATGCTGTTGTTCGCATGTTAAAATAAATCAGTAGTTTACATGCAATATTTAATGTGTCGGACACAAAATAGACACGTCAATAATTAATATATTTTTATTAAATAATCATTTAATATTAATCTGACCAGTTAATCGTTAATATTCAGTTAACGAGTGGCAGTTGTCGATTGGCAAAATTAACCAAAATGAACATGTACATATTATGAATGTACATGTCAATGTAGTCTGTATCTATAATGGATTCACTTCATTTACAGCCAGCAAAGAAATATTTAGCGAACTTCAAATTGTGTTTTTATCATTTAAATAATCACTGCATATCAGATATTCAACTATTCATGCACACCTCTTTAGGTCAGATTTGATCCTGAGTTGTCCTTATGCATGGTAGCTGGATTTGGATTAACCAGTCCAGGCATTTCCAGTAAACCTTTATACCATTATAACCTCACCATGTGTAAGATCTGCGCTGTTCAAAATCAATGAAACATACTGTGGGATTGAGATCAAGTTTAAAGTGTGTCACACATTGAAAAGAAGTACTACATTAAATCGCATTTTTAAAATAGTTATTTTGCCACAAAATATTTCCAATGGATTTTCAATGTTGCTTCTCAGTTGTTGTTTTCTCGTGTTGCATCAATTTAAGCATCTTTTTTTAATCTAGTTTAACATTGCACAACTAAATGACTATTTCACTGATAATAGTCTGATTATAAAAAAAGCTTTTCGCAACCAATGCTGTTATAGAAACCTAATGAACCTGAAGAGAAAGTCACACCAATCTTACTACAAGTTTTTCAGCTGGCTTAAAAATGATCCCTACGTAAGGCCAGTTGAGGTGATTTATGATTTTAAAAAGTCAAAACTGATCCTTTGTGCTTCTCAGATAAAGATGATGAAGACTCGAATGGCCGGGACAGAAGAGACGACCGACGAGACGACCGGAAGTCTAAAGACAGGTCATCTAAAGATAAAGTAAGTCAACTATGGAGTCAATCTCGGGCCATATATACTTGCAAAATAAAAGAAAGTTTTGCAAACCAAAAATAAAGTATTGAGCAAAAAAATAAATAAATAAATGCAAATCTCCAAAAATCGCAAAGTGAAAATACGTTTTTGAGAAATAATAATGAAATTTACAACAACAAAAAAAAAAACTAAATAAAAATCAAGCAGGGCAAAAAAGCAAAAAAAAATTTGCAATAAAAATTTTATAGCAAACCAAAGGTTAAAAGAGAACTTGGGCATTTATGACAGGCATGATACAGTGTCTCCAGGGCCCGGTTTTTCAAAAGTAATCCACTAAGATTTTGGATAAGGGATTGGATCAAATCTTAAAAATGGGTTTTTCAAAAGAAAAAATGGATTACATAATCGGATTAGATCACGTAATCCAATCTTGGTTTTGATCCGGATCAAACCTTTACTTTGGGTTTTTCAGACCTTTTTTGTAGGATCTGGATCACTTTGATCCAAAGAACCTGAATTAAACTGATCCCATCAGAAGGGTGGATTTAGCGTAGATTTCATGCCCAAAATGTAATGAAAACTTAAAAAATGTATTAAATAATACTATTTTTGGATCATACAGTATCTTACGATATATACTATTTATTCATAAGGTTTTTATTTTATTTGTTCATCTGTCAGGCTATAGTGATTATTGGCTTTAACGTGTTCAGTCTTTCAGTATAGGCCTACAGCAAAGTAGAAAGAGTTTGGCCTCATAAAATAATCCCCCAAACAGCTGTCAAAACTGACCAAAAACAATCAATTTTATTCTTTTACTAATTGATAGATATATTCATCACAATGGAAAATGTTTTTCTTTTTAAAATATTTATTAGTGATGCATGCAATGATTACAGAATAAAAAAAATGCAAAGAATGGCAATGACTGATTTTTTTAAATCTCTTTCAACAATTGCAAAAAGAGACTGAAAGGGCAGAAGCACAGCTTCATCTGGCAGAGAAACAACTGACTCTGAACAAACTGCAGCTAACCTAGCCAATGACTTGAGATCTGCCTTCTAAAGGCTACGCTCAGACGAGCTGCTCTCTCCACATCAGATGAGGAAGTCAGAACTTATTGTGGAGTTTTTGACATTAAGTCTTTTTTTATTTACATCTATATTTGAAACTTATTATAAATATCCTCAATGTACAGTGTTGTAGGTCTCAAATGAGCGGACTGCTTAAAGATGATGGGGTGTTGTTTTTCTTGTTTTTATTATTATTATTTATTATTATTATTATTTTAATAATTATTACATTTTCTTAGTTTTCATTTCAAATAAAAATAAAGTTATATTGACCCCATGCTATTCTACTCTTTACATATCTATAGTTCTACATTGTGATGTCCTATCCTGTTTGAGCACTGGTTATCCAGATTTAGTGATCCTGAAAAGTTCCTATCCAGATCAGATTGATCCAATCCGATGTTGCTTTGAAGAACTGGCTCAAAAAGTGAGCTGGATTACGTGATCACAGATCACAAAAACAGGATTACTAAATCCGGATCAATTTTATCCGGATTAAACCTTTTGAAAAACCGGGCCCAGGTGATGACGTCGCTTAAATGGAGGCAGGCCTGCCGTAAAAGCCAAAATTCCCTTGACTCCACCCCCTTCTCAAATCAGGGCTACAAAGTTAAACATGAAGTGCAAAGAGAAAACAGCATCGCAAACTCAGGATTTACCAAAAAGCTAATCAAAATGCGAATTGCAATTGACTAGACGGGTTTTGAAGGTAGTGCTATAACCATGTGTTGCAAATATATCGTTTTTTGTTGCAAATATTTTAGTTTTAATTATACTTTTTAGTTTTTTTGCACTGGTTGAATTTTTTTATTATTTCTATTTTTTTTTTGTGATTTTTGGAGATTTGCATTTATTCATCTGTTTTTGTTTGCAAAACTTCCTTTTATTTTGCAAATATATATGGCCTGAGATTGACTCCATAGTCAACAACAGATCTCTTTTTGCAGCATGAAATGTCTGTGAAGAGTGGCATTTCCTAATATTTCACTGTGTCTATAGGACGAGAAGAAAAGGCAGATGGTGACGTTCAACAAGGATCTGCTGATGGCCTTTGTGTACTTCGACCAGAGTCACTGCGGGTACCTGCTGGAGAAGGACTTGGAGGAGATCATGTACACACTGGGCCTGCATCTGTCCAGAGCTCAGGTGCTGCTTCTGCTCTCTGTGTTTTAGTGTTTCTTGGTTAAAGGGGGCTGTAAAGTTCAAAAAATTTACTCATTGTAATTTCTTAGAAATGTCATCAGATTCAAATCTGTCCATTTTTTGCCATGGAGAAAATATGCAATATCACTTTTTTACTGTTCATGCATAGCAGTATTTAACCAATTCTGAGTTTAATAACTCATTCATCCATTCATTTTGTTTTTGGCTTAGTCCCTTTATAAAAAATAAAGGGTTCACCACAGTGCAATGAACCACCAATTTATCCAGCATATGTTTTATGCAGCGGATTCCCTTCCAACTCATTACTGGGAAACATGCATGCACACTCATTCACACTCATACTCATGCACCTCCACTGACTGCGCATGCACCCCGCGAAACGGACAAGGCTTTTATTCTTGCCTCATTCGCTGTTGTGATATTCTTAAAATGGACTGGGCGCGTTAAAAAAAAACCTTATAAAAACTTATAACTTTATAAATTATTTTAATGATTATAAGGATTTCTATAACCATTCAAGATTTTTTTTATCCAAACTTTGATGCGTCACTTGCTTTTGTTCATATATAGGACTGTTCTACCTATTAAAGTTTATTAAATGTTAATGACAGCAGAACACGGGTTGCTCTACATATATATTTTTTATTATGGCAAGAATAAAAGCAAAAAAAGAAAAAGTACACTTACTAAAAAATCCAGCTGATTTATCCCAGACAAAATCTCTTCTAAGTGTTTCATATTTAACTTAAATCAAACGCGACGCCGCACAAACTGTTCGCTCGAGTCTCAAAAAAAATCATGCTCTCGCCAGCCGAAATCATATCGCGCGCAGCCAAAGCAAACCTCTGCAAACACCGTGATGATGTCACATTTGTTACGCGCAACAAGCGGACATGTGGAGTATAAACCTGGCTTAAGGTGATTGTGCAACCCACTGCGCTACTGTGACACCCATTATGAATTCATATTATTTAAAATTCTTACAATTTAATAAAAAGTCATATTATAATTATTCATAATAATCTATTCATTATCTAATATAATTGTTACATTAACAAACAATTAAATAATAATGAAAATAATAATATAAATACAAAAATGTAAAATAATAAAATAATTATATAATAATAATTAACTAATAATAAAAATAGTTTGAACTAACATAATATTGATAATCATAATACAAAATTCTCTCAAACGCACACACACATTTATATATAACACACGTAGTATTGTAGCAGTTATAAACAAATTCAAGTAAATATTAGTACTATTTTATTAATAATTTACAAAAAATATATATATTTTTTTATTAAATTAAATCATTATTGTATTAAGTGACAGATATACTTGATGATGATAACAGTTGTAGTATTATTATTATTACTATTATAACCCTAACATATGAATATTCATGCAATAATAATTGTTTGAACTAGCATAATATTGATAATCATCATAAACTATTCTCACACACACATAAAAGAAATGTAATATTGTAGCAGTTATAAATAATTACAAGTAAATATTATTATTTTTATAAAGAAATAAATGTTTTAAATTTTTTGGTAAATTGAACAATCATGCTATTAAATGACAGATATTCTCACAATCAGTTCGTGAATATTCATGCAACAATAAATACTTACTGTTGAATTGATTATCATAATACGTGTGCACACACATAAAATAAATGTATTTTTGTATTAGTTATAAACAAATGCAAATAAATATTATGGATATTTTATAAACTTAAGTATTTTTTATATTTTTATTAAATTTAAAAATTATTCTTTTAAATAATAGATATAGTTGAGGACAATAGTGATGATGGCTGTATTATTATTATTACCATTTCAAACTAATATTCATGTAATAATAATGCTTAAAATAACTTTCATATTTTGTAAAAAAAAAAAAAATAATAATAATATATATATATATATATATATATATGTATGTATGTATGTATGTATGTATGTATGTATGTATGTATGTATGTATGTATGTATGTATGTATATATATATATATATATATATATATATATATATATATATATATATATATATATATATATATATATATATATATATATATATATATATATATATATATGTATGTATGTATGTATATGTATGTATCATTTATGTATCAAAGTAATTGATTAAAAGGAAAAGATGTTTGTTGCATCATGCCTGATCACAATATAATGTGTTACTAGTAATTTTCTAATTGAACGCAATGTAGCATATTTATTAAAAGACTGTTTTTTTTCTATCTTTTCAGGTGAAGAAGTTGTTAAACAAACCTTTGGTTAAAGAGTCGTGCCATTATCGAAAGCTGACGGACAGGCCTAAAGATGAGCCTTGCCCCGCACTGATCTCTGAGGCTCACATAGACAACCTTTTAGGTGTGCAAAGAGGAGGATGACTGAAACTGAGAAGCTCATTTGTAACAATAGAGCACATATCAATGACAAACTCTCTGTGCCCACAGGTAACCAGATTTTACTGACCAGCCAGAAGATCAAGCGAGAGCCAGATGAGAGCGGTGAGTCAGGGAGTCTAATCGTCTACAAGGGAGCTCTGGTGGATGTGGGAAGTATGATGCAGAAGCTGGAGAAGAGCGAGAAAACACGAGAGGACATTGAGCAAAAGCTCATGCAGCAAGATGTTAAAATGGGTAACACTTTTTTTATTACATTCAAATGACTGTCATGAGCAGTTTGATTTGTGGTCAGTGAACCTTAGTGACCCATTATGTTTATTTTTTTGATGGGATAATAATAGTTGCTCCTTTTTAGATCCAGGTTGTAGCACATTTTGTCTTCACAATGAGTAGAGGTGTGAACCTACATTAGTTTCATAGTTTGGTTTGGTCACGATTATCATGCCATCGATTCGGTTTAATTCGATATCTCGTAGCTTCACGGTGCATTGACAATGCTTTCTATAAACAATTGAATATTTTACTTCACAGCACAACATTTTATATAAGCCAGAAAGGGCTGTGATCGGCTGTGAACGTGTTGGCGCTGTTCACTGATAAGTGACACTGCAGACACGCTCATGTCTGGATCCACAAGTATTGCTATAACAACTGAGAGGAGAGGAAACGTCACGCTAACAGGCCATATGAGCCATCGTGAGAAAGAGAGAGTTTACTTTCATTTTCTCTATAGCAATTAAATCGGGGCTTCTGCTGTAACTTCAGTGTCAGTAAAAGACTGTCCAGCAACACAGTGAATCGTGCAGAGTTTCTGCACTTTTCCCTCCCCGTAGTATTCTACCACGACATACTGCATATGAAATAAATGGCATCAGAATGCAATAACTGGTTAGGATCTATTACTGAACCGATACCGAATTGTTTGTGTCTGCGAACAATGGAACGTGGAACAATTCATTTTGACACCTTTAAGTTTTACCCCATAACTTACTAAACTCACTTCCACTTTTTGTACATGGACATGAAAATGACATGTTCAACTTAAACAAATGCCACTTTGGTGCATAGTTTATTTTATTAGGTCTCATTTTAAAGAAGACAGATAAGAAAAGTTAAATAAGGGTGCTTTTACTCCTAAATGTTTATTTTGGAACCTGGAGTGTTTGCCTCTTATTCACAGTATTCACAGCCTTTGATGTGAAGCTCTAAATTGAGCTCAGGTACAGTCTGTTTCCACTGATCATTCCTGAGATGTTTCAGCAGCTTAATTGGAGTTCAGCTGTGGTGAATTCAGTTAATTGAACATGATTTGAAAAGGCATACACCTCTCGATATAAGGTCACAGGGTTCACAGTGTTTGTCAAAGCACAAACCAAGCATGAAGACAGGATTGTCTGGAGGCACAAGGCTGGTGAAGTTTACAGAAAAAATTCTGCTCCTTGCTACGGTTACGCCATCCGTCCACACTACGCCGGAGTTCTCGAGCGCCGAAAACGGAGCTTTTTGAAAACGCTGGAGAGGCCGTTTTCATTCTAAAACGCTGCTGCTCCGTCTCAGTGTGGATGATGGAAAACGGAGACATCTGAAAACGGAGGCGGGGCTGCAGACATTCGCCTCTCTGATTGGGGCTTTTCCTCAATATTAAGTAGCCCACACACAGTTCAGTCTCGCATCCTCTTCTTGTAAGTTAAGACCTCGCAAGTTTGATCAAGGCTGCAGTCTCCCCCTTCTCAGTTTGATATGGAAAACATACCGAGGACACGGGTAAATCTTCAAAGGGAACAGTGTACTTTATAACTTCATTCACATCACCTTGGCTACGTTGTTTCACTTTCTCAACAATAAAATGTAAACATGATTTAAGGAACTGCCTATTTTCTTTTTAATATTAGCAACTTAACAGACAGCAGAAATGTTGAGGCGCCGTGTTGTATAGGCTATATGAGCGTCATCTTCACTGTGTGGATATTTATAACAAAACGGAGCCTATAACAACTGCCTCCTTTCAATTTCAGTGAAAATACGAAACGCACCCTCTCTTTTGCTGAATAACAGTTTTAATAATCGATAATTATAAAAGTATAACATACAATAAGTTTTTACATTGTAGGAAATAAAGGCAAGCGATCAGTCAATGTACCTGGATTAATCATTAACTCATCTTTGCGCTTAACCAAAACATGTTACCCGTGAACAAACTTAATAGATTCCAATGACCAAAGTCAGGGAATTGGCCTATGTCGTTAGATAAAGACAACAACATGAATGAAATATCACATTAGCAAATATAGTGAGATTAGATCCAGCGGGAGATGCGTGATGAGCAGTCCGACAAGCAGAGCTCTCATCTGGGTAAAAATGCTGGAGCGCATGCCCGAGAGTGTGTGTGTGGTCACGTGATGTGCGTTTTCAGCGTTTTGGTGTGGACGGAGAGCAGTTCAGAAACGCTGGGTAAAACGCGAGTGTGGACGCGGATCGTTTTCATTCTACAACGCCGTTTTAAAACTAAAACGCACTAGTGTAAACGGGGCCTTAGTCAGGGAGGTGATCAATAAGCCGATGGTCACCTTACAGGAGAACCTTATAGAAGGGCAACCATTTGTGCAGCAATCCACTAATCAAGCCTGTAAGGTAGAGTGGCCAGACGGAAGCCACTCCCGTAGGAGGAACTGGAAGACTAGTCAGGATAGAGGAAAAGATGAATGCAGCAATGTACAGAGACAACCTGAATGAAAACCTGCTTCAAAGTGCTCTTGACCTTAGATTATGGCGACAGTACATCTTCCAGCACGACAATGACCCAAAGCACACCACCAAAATATCAGTGGAGCGGCTTCACATCAACTCAGTGAATGTCCTTGAGTGGCCCAGCAAAATGGCTGTACAGCGTCGCTTCCCATCCAGCCTTACCGAGCATGAGAGGTACTGCAAAAAGGTGGTCCAGGCTTGTGGTATCATATTCAAAAAGTCTTGAGGCTGTAATTGCTGCCAAAGGTGCATCAACAAAGTATTGAGCAAAGGCTGTGAATACTTGTGATTTTTCAGGTTTTTTATTTTTAATAAATTTGCAACAATTTCTTTTTTCACATTGTCATTATGGGGTATTGTGTGTAGAATTGGAGAAATAAATGAATTTAATCCATTTTAAACAAAAATATTTAGAATATTCAAATGAGAGGGGCATGATGAAGGATGCACAATAACTGAAAAGATCCAATCAGTTCGTGAATGTGTGAGGCCAGTCTACATTTATGTTTACCCTCCTTGAAAAACAACCACAGATTTTTGGACGTTATACAATTTCTTGGCTTTGATAATCCGGAGTATGCATTTATCCACTACTGCATATGTTTTGTTTTGCAGAGGAGGATTCAAAGCATTTATCAGAGCTAGAAGCTGCTAACAGGAGCCTTCAAAAGGAGCTGGACGATGTAAAGAACACCCTGAGGGAGACGGAGAGCAAACTGACAGCCTCAGACCAGCGCAAGGGCAGATTTGAGCAGCAGCTCCACAGCACAGTGTCCAGCCTCGACACCATCAAGAAGGAGCTGCAGGGGGTTTTAGCAAACGTATGCAAAACATCTCTTTGTTTCAGCACTGTGTAAAATGTGATTCATGTATATATAAAAAAAATATCTTCAAAGTGTGCATACCCTGAAATGTTTTCAGATTTGTTAAACAATTTGTAACGCAGAATTTAACACATAATGGCAAAATACAATTAGTACCCAGAGCTCCTGATGAAAACAACGCAAATCAAAGTAACAGGAAGACTAGGCGATATGGGCAAAAAAATCATATCTCAATATTTTTATGAGGAATGATGGTATACTAATATATATCCGGTATTTTCCTATAAATGGTTACTTGAGAGTCAAAGCCTTTATTAAAATTTTACTAAACAGTTTTTGAGCAAAATATAATGAAACACAAGGGTTTCCCCTTTCTCTTATTATCATTATAATTATCATTCTTATGTTGTTATTTGTTAAAAGAGTAGCTAACAAAGAAATATTAAATTAGAAAAAAAAAAGTTTAATAAACAAGTGCATGTTTTTTTTTATTTTACTTTTTTTAAGTTTTAATAATCGTTTAAACCACCAACCATTTGTACACTATAGGCACAAACACACAAATCAAATCACGTCTTCCAGTTAAGGGGCTAAAATAAATAAATCAATTAAACAGAATAAATAAATAAAATGATTAGAATATAAACAGTATTTAAGTCAACATGCAATAACAGACCAGAACGCAGGGCTTTTAACTTATAATCATTGAATATGAGGTGGTTTCATTTTCAAAATGCGATATAAATTCGTTTGACGTTTTTAATTCTTTTAAACGCATTCAGGTGCTGCTTGTCAATTTGACAAGGCTTCTACGTTGATTCTAGCTGTCATTTGTGGAAGATTTCAAATTTAGATACAACACCGGCACTGCATATTCCTCCATGTTGCGTGCAGTGATGGGTCGTTTCTGAATGATTCGTTAATTTTGAACAAATCTTTTGTATGACTCATGAATTGAATCATTCATTTGTGCATGCGCCCATTTGTGCAATTGGAGCTCGCTTGCTACCTTGGAGTGGTCTGTTTCCAGCAGAATGTGCATGTGTCCTCAAACCATATCAATATGAAAGATATTGGATAATCCTGCATCGCGTTGTTGAATCATATCAACATATTCCCAGAACTGGATATACCGCCTAGCCCTACACTATTTACTAAATTATCAGTCTCGACAAACTGTACTCAAAAACTGCTAAATCACACCGAAGCTGATGCTGTTTGTTCACAGCAGAAAATAAGGATGTTTGTTGTTTTTTCATCAGAACAAGCTTACTTTTGCTTATCCTCAATGCTGCAAACTACAAACTTTACTGATAAAAGTCACTCTCTGTGCAAAAACGCATCTTGAAAGTCCAAAAAGCAACTGTAACATAGTTTGATTTTTAGTAATTAATTGGTTTGAAACTGATATGTATTTAGGGGACAGATTTAATCAATTTGTAAAAAATAGGTATTTTTAATTCAATTACTTTTCATTTTTAATACTTCTGATGTAACCTACATAGGCGGAGTGTGTAAGGCTGGAGAGGCTTGGCCTCACCCTGACCAGAGACCACGGATATAGCAGCAAAGAAAAAAAGCATTGAAAACATGTAACGGGTGTAAGACGGAATATGAATGTAATGTATTGTTGATGATTAACAGAACACTTTAGTTACTGTAAGTCCCCCTCCACACACAAATGGAACTGTACCCCGCACTTTGCACTGAGCGCTGTTTATTACTGGAGTTGGCAGCAGCTCTGAAAACGAAACCAAAAGTGCTGGTGCAAACTATTCTGATTTGCCGGTTAAGGATAAAAGTAATGAAATGACGAATGAGTATTACGGGAGAGGTATAATAATATATTCTTCTGGTTTAACTGGTTTTCAGCATTAAATTAAATGGTATTTGGTAGTTTCATTGTAACATAGTCTAAGCATGTTCACATTTTACCGGAACTGAAAGTACATATTTGGTGATGTACCATATCAACGTCGATGTGATCAAACAAAAGATCCGAACCCAACTCGATTCATTTATTCAAATCAATAGTTTTAAACACGGTGCACTTTCAGATTTAAACCCCAGCTGGTGGTTTTCCTTCACTTAGAGCTGTTACACACTGCATAGAAAGTCATTTTCAAAAACCCATAATAGGGGCTCTTTAAAACACACTGAGTCTAATTTGACTTTAATTTTAGACTATATGTAGATGCAAACACTTTTTTTCCAAGGAAAATTAACAATGTACAGTGTTTAGCAGTAGATATTTTCGAATCATGCATTGACAATAGTATGAGCCACTATAGGGGTGGTCAAATCACATTTACTTGATTATTTAAGATTCAGATCAGTGCATGCTATTTTCTATTATGTAAAGAGCAACTTCCCACATCTTGTTTTGACATGCTTCAGGGGTGATTTATTTGGTTGCGAGAGTGCTGTTTCCCCAAATATAACACATTTGCAAGTGAAAGCAAAGACATATCTGTAAAAACAGCTCCAAACAAAGTCAAAGCAGGAAATTGTCTCTATATACATGTTTATACATATATGACTTGTGGAACTGTACTTTTTTATATAATGTATAATAATCATGTTTGTTTTGTCACACAGAATGACCATTCAGAAGACGCAGACCACAAAACTCAAGCTAATGGCTCGGATGAGTGAACTCCCCTCTCCAGTTCATCCACATTTAATCTCCTTTCAGATATGTAAATAAGTGGAACGCTAACACAATTACGAAGCTAATTAAATGTAGATTTTTTTTTCCGATTGTGTACAAAGTTTTAATGAGCGTGGAGGCGAACTCCCAGTTTTTTCAGAAATCTGTATTTAAAAGTAATCGATTTCATCAGAATCGAACTATTGAATTTAACAGGTTCACGTTAAAATAGATTGTTTGATTTGTGTATGTTTTGGTTACTTGCCAGTTTAAGTCATTTTAACGTTGCGCTATCAGCATATTTCCTCGTGAAATGACACATGACTTGTGCCAGTACGCAGACTTAATTTAGCAATAAAATTGTTATTTATGTTTAAATGCAACTGTGTTTAGAAACAGCGATTGGGATTGTATTAATGTCTATGAGGAGCTGCTTTCTGATCCATTTCACTGATCGACTGACATGTTTTTGTGTTGGGTCACACCTGCGCATGCATCTTAATAAGCAAATGCATATCAGCTTGATTCCTGACTCGTTTTTTTTATAGATTGTTTGTTGAGTGTAATTCTTCCAGGTTATGTTTGCTTGAATGGGGTTGTGTTTATTTTGTTAATACAAACAAAACCAAGGCAGTTAATGTTCGTTCTGGGTCTTGGACTTTATATAAGTGCGACTGTAATATGTGAGAATAGCGTGACTCAGATACTATGTGATTTATTTTTAGTAGTTTGTTATTCTGGAATTGTTTTGAAGGCAATGAATTCAGTTTTGTACGTTTTTCCTGTTTTTGGCCCACTTAGGAGGATGGGATTGATTACAGTGTTTGATTTCGGTTGGTGGAAAAGAGCCAAAACTTGGGAAATTTGAGCCCAAAGCAACCAAGTGCACATAATTTTTTTATTCTGGATGTACTCTCTGGTTGTTCTGGATAAAGGAAACAAATAAAAAGTGGTTTGTTTTAACATTTCACTGACTTGAATTATGAATTTTGTCCCCCATTTAATTTAGATTTGCTTGGGTTTTTGCAATGCCTTTTCCTCCCCAGTAGATGGCAGTGTTTGTTTAAACTATAGGAATTTCGCATGCAGTTTTTATGAGAGGGAACTACAAGCAGGTGGTTTCATAAACATTGATATAATAATTCTGGTCACAGAGTCTTTAATGATTTGTTTTTTTGACGACTGCAAGATTGTTTTAGTACATGCATATTTTTACTGTAAAAAAATGTTGGGCTCAACACAATTCCTTCATGTTGTCCCAACACCAATCAATAAAGTTTAATTTATTAAACTTTATTAAGTTAAACACTAAGTTAAAAATAATATGGTTTGAATGTTCAACAATTAAGTTAAAAACTAAATAACTATATGTTTCAAGCCACTTTAAATATTGTGTTGAGCATAATTACAGATGTTTATACCGTAAATAAATCTGTAATTACACTGTTGACCTACTGATAGCACTAAACCTGTTGCAATGCAACATAACAGGGTTGTTTTTAGTATTACTGAGTAACTATTGTAGTTTTAATTGGGTTTTAATTTTAACGTTTTAGTGTTTTGTTGATTGTACATTTCGTTTTTAAATCCCGCTTCATTTCTCTTTTTTCACTCCCATAAGGATAACTTCAGTAATAATAAGCAGTGAACTTTAAATTTAGCAAAGTTTCCACTGTATATGTGGTAAAATGTAATCATTTCTTTCAGTTAACGATAATTTATTGTGGGTGGAATTTTTTTTGTTAATCTCTAAAATTAAACATTCATAAATATAAATATGTCCTCGTTTTCTTAGAAATGTTCTTTTTTTTTGTCATCTGACAAATAAGTGATGAGTTTCACTGATGTGTTTGAATATAGCACTATGAAAATATTAAACTAAATATCAGACTAAAAGTCCAGCAGTGAAGTTAAAAGAAAGGACTTTGACATATTCAGTGTACCTGAAGCTGTTGAAAACAGTCCGAACTACAAAACCTTGAAAAACAGAGAGGCCCATGATTGTTTATTCTCCTCCATACAGTGAACACAATCCTTACTCATTTAAATGATTGTATTAGTTTAATTAGCCATATCTTAAAATAAAGCCTGCCCCATTGAAGTTAAAGATCTTTTATGTTAAGGTTAATTCATGTTAAAATATGGTGCATTTCAATCAAAAGCACAATATCCTTTCATTACAATACAAGTGCAATCTGTAGGATATGTGTGAATATATTCATTCATTCATTTTCTTGTCAGCTTAGTCCCTTTATTAATCCGGGGTTGCCACAGCAGAATGAATCGCCAACTTATCCAGCAAGTTTTATGCCCTTCCAGCCACAACCCATCTCTGGGAAACATCCACACACACACACTCGTGCACTATGGACAATTTAGCCTACCCAATTCACCTGTACCGCATGTCTTTGGACTGTGGGGGAAACCGGAGCACCTGGAGGAAACCCACGAAAACGCAGGGAGAACATGCAAACTCCACACAGAAACGCCAACTGACCCGAGGCTCGAACCAGCGATCCAGCGACCTTCTTGCTGTGAGGCCACAGCACTACCTACTGCCCCACTGCTTCACCCGAAAATATATTCTATACCAAAAATGAGGGGCAGCCGAGAGGCAGATGAACCATGAGATTAACTGGTAGAACTTGTCAAGACCTCAATTTACAATATCTGACAAGTTCTTTTTTGTGGGTAAAAGTAGTAAAAGAAACATTTGAGCCGTGTCATAATGTTTGTGGACATCTTGACCCTGCTGGTCTGTCTTTGGTGTTTGGATGAATATGCTGCACATTGTCCTTTCAAAAGCACAATAAACAGAACTTAAGTTACAGGATTGATGAACCAGCAGTTAAAATGAGTTAAAATGATCTGTTTAAGTATCTGGAGGTGTTTGCTCAAGCTTTGCAGTTTTCTACTCCGGTTTGGTTTGTCCTGACCAGTATTAAGTGATATTAAACTCATGGGTTTTCCTAATTTTACTTCTGTCTGATCTTGATAAACGGAATTAAAGAAATTAATAGGAAAAACACAAATCATGTCTACATGATTTTGCTCTGACAAAATTTAGAAATATTATCAGTCAGAAAATGGATGCAAAAATGGTTGCAGATTAGTTTGTTATGAAACATTGATAGTTTGATTGATAGTTTTTAATATTAAGTAAACTATACTACTAGTATTACTGTTGTTGTTGTTATATAGCATCACACTATTGCTGCAGATTTGCCGGCTGCGAATCTCCTGTTCCACGGCATCCCAAAGGTGCTTTATTGGATTGAGCTCTGGTGACTTTGGAGGCCATTTGAGTACAGTAAACTCATTGTCATGTTCAAGAAATCCGTCTCACATGATTTACGCTTTATGACATGTGCATTATCCGGCTGGAAGTTGCCATTAGAAGATGAGTACACTGTGGCCATAAAGGGATGGACATGGTCAGCAACAATACTCGCGTTGACACGATGCTCAATTGGTAATAATGGGAAAAAGTGTGCCAAGATAATATTTCCCACACCATTACACCACCACCACCAGCCTGAACTGTTGATGCTGTTATCTTATAATACAGCCCAACAGGCTTATCAAATTGAAAAACAAATTGTACTGAATGTAACTGATCATTACTAGGCTACTTTCCTCTAAACACAACAATTAGACACAAAACATTGTTCTGAGCCTTAGTAGTTTAATGCAAAGCTGACAAAAAATGAGACAGCTGAATGGAGCAGACATGGCAAAAGTGCACAAATCCTTTACTCAAGTAGAAGATACTCATGTTTAAAACGACTCTGGTAAAAGTTGAAGTACTGACTACACTTTTGTACTCAAGTAAAAGTAAAGAAGTACAGCCTCAAAAATGTACTTAAGTAAAAATTACCCATTGCTACTACATGTCTTTCACTAGGTAGGTAAATATCTGGTTTCCCCCATATATCCTGATGCAAACTCACAACGTTCATCATGTTGTTTTGCGGTTGTTACATTAAAAAACTACAGTTGCCATTCATGTTTATGCACACTAAAAATAATTCTGTATATCTTTATAAATAATGTCTTACATTTTACACCGAATTCTGTCCAACATATATTGATTTTGTATGAAGTGTTCGAATGCAAAAACTTCCAAGTGCCGTCTGAAATTTCCATCAAAAATGAAAGTTTTTCTCAGCCTCCTTTGCTTATGATGGGATATTTTATTTTAACGACCAGGAAAAGGGCTCATTCTTATAATAAAAGTAATATTATAGAACATACACAAAAGGAGACTAATAAAAATACTCATTTTATAGGAAAAATTCAGACGGCATTTAGAGGTTTTTGCATCTAAACTCTTCATATATTTTCTTTTGCTAAAGTAAATAGTTACTGTATTTGACTGCGAACTATTTAATTATTGTTTTGCATTAGCAGCTCTCATACATAACTAGTGATTTAAGTGTTTTTTTCCAGGGTATTGTGGATATTTTATTTAACATATAAACATTATTTCTGTTAATGTATTCTATGCTAAACGCAACACAAATGCGTGACTTCAACCTACAAAACATGTGCATGATCTTTTATTCACTTGATTAATTCAGGATCTTTATTCATTCATTCATTTTATTTTCGACTTAGTCCCGTCATTAATCTGGGGTCGCCACAGCGGAATGAACCGGCAACTTATCCAGCACGTGTTTTACGCAGCGAATGCCATTCCAGCTGCAACTCACTGGGAAAGATACACTCTCATTCACACACATACTCTAGGGTCTTACCCAATTCACTTATGTCGCATGTCCTTGGACTTATGGGGGAAACCGGAGCACCCAGAAGAAATCCATGCAAACACGGGGAGAACATGCAAACTCCACACAGAAACGCCAACTGACTCAGCTGAGGCTCGAACCGTGCAACCCACTGTGCCACCGCGTCGCCGGGATCTTCATATAAAATAATATGTTTCTTCATGAATTGACCAGCATAGTTACATTTGTTGTAAAGCATTTGTTAAAACAATTATTTGAAGATTTATATGCCTGTAAAATCATATAGTCTATAAAAAACTGTAAAACAGCGTATATTCTTTATTAGAAAATATAAACTCATCGGAAATAAATCTCGATGCATAGTTTTTATATAGTATTTAATTGCTTTAGTACTAAATGTTAAGGCTGTGCAATTAATCAAAAATTCAGTTTCGATTTTTGCTTCTAACTATTATTTAAAAAACATTAATCAATATAAAATGGTTATTGCATCATACACCGCCCCTTTCCAGTTGTACACATTTGTTGCTCTGCAAAGCTCAGTTTCACATGAAAATGACTAATAGCATGTACTGTAATGTAACTTTTGCGCAGGATGCGCATCATTCATTGATGTACATTTGAATCATTCATGTTTTTAAAAGCGCGAAAGAGATCGCATGCTGTTGTGTGCGCGCGCTCAGGCTCAGGCCCCGTTTACACTAGTGCGTATTAGTTTTAAAACGGCGTTTTAGAATGAAAACGATCCGCGTCCACACTCGCGTTTTACCCAGCGTTTCTGAACTGCTCTCCGTCCACACCAAAACGCTGAAAACGCACATCACGTGACCACACACACACACTTTGGCAATCGCTGGAGCCCATCTACCCAGATGAGAGCTTTGCTAGTCGGACTTCTCATCAAGCATCTCCCGCTGGATCTAATCTCACTATATTTATTAAACGTGATATTTCATTCATCTTGTTGTCTTTATCTAACGACATATTCCCTGACTTTGGTCACTGGAATCTATTACTTGTTCTCAGGTAACGTGTTTTGGCTGAGCGCAAAGAAAAGTTAATGATTAATGTAAGCACGTAGCCTACATTCTGTATATTGACTGATCGCTTGCCTTTATTTCCTATAATGTATAAACTTATTGTATGTTATACTTTTATAATGGCCATTATCGATTATTAAAACTGATATTCAGCAAAAGAGAGGGTGTGTTTCGTATTTT